CAGGGAAATACCCTTGATTGTTGATACCAGGTGAGTAGAATTTTGTACCGCAGAGGTGGTCTTTCCAGTGAAAGGACGCAGGATTTCAGACAAAAAACGAGCTAGTTTGTAGGTGGGGGAGCTGATAGTAGAGACTATGGGACGAAGAGGTGTATCAACTTTATGTATTTTTGGTAAGCCGTATAATCTTGGTGGCCTGGCAGCAGAAGGTTTCAACGAAAACTGTTTAGATTGATCAATTAATGCGGTTGAATCAGAAATTATTTTGTTGGTTTGTGTGACGAGGCTGTTGGTGGGATCTCTTTTTATTTTTGTATAACTACCATCGTCGAGTAATTCTTTAATTTTGTTGTTGTATTCTATTTTATCCATGATAACAGTAGCATTGCCTTTGTCAGCTGAGAGAACTACAATATCATTCCTCTTTTTTAATTTATATAATTCAAAACGCTCATCTTTGCTGAGGTTGCTAGCTGGCATCTTAGCGTTTTTGAGGGTTGCAGCGATTTCAGATCTTGCTACGTCTGCAGCGATGTGACCCAGGCCCCTGAGAGCAACGTCTACTTGGGCAATTATATCATTAACTGGTATGTGTTTAGGTGTGACTGCAAAGTTTAGACCTTTAGCTAAAACGGATTTCAGACCATCGGAAATAGAACTGTTACTGCGATTAATTACGACTTTATTAACGTCTAACTTTTTGGTGTGTGGGTCCGGTCTTTTGTTGAAGAGGAGGTTAAATTTGGAAATCAGGTTTTCCTTACATTTGGTCGACATAGTAGCAGCTGAAGAGGCAGTCATATTGTCTACATGTTCCCAATCCGATGTGGACATTATTGCCGTCAATGATAAGTGTGATTTGTAGAGTGTCTTGTCTAACTGATCTAGTTCTGTGCGTATAAGTCTGATTTTTTCTGAGATAAGAGCTAAGCTAGTTTTGAAAAGAATTCGTTTCGCATTAGAAGAAGTTACAGTAGCAGAGGTGAGTGTAAATGCGATTGGTATTACCCCAGAGTCGCGGCATCTCTTCAGGAAGGTGAGAGACTCGATCAGCTGAGCTTTCTTATCCCGGAGTTTGTTGAAGGATCTTAAAGTTATGTGAAAACCCTCCCCGTAGAGGCGATTAAATTTTGATTTAAAGCTTTCGTGACTGCAGTAATTCATATTCTTAGTTTTTTCGGTAAAGTCACGTTGAAGAGAAACAACAAAATAACAAAATATATATAAAACAATAAAAAATTCTCACGACGTTTCGACCATAACTCAAACGGTCATCATCAGGTGTGTCGGTTTGCATAAATTTATTTTGAAAACGGCATATTTATTTATTTATATATATATATATATAAATAACGTTTGCGTCACGTGCAACGATGGCAGTTTGCCAGGACTAGTCCATCTATTTTTTGAAAAGAGGAGGGGGGAGACGAAATTTGTTTTTATGTATGCTGTCTGAAAGGCACTGTAAGCGTGAACAATCAATCAAGAACTGAAATGATTTATCAAATCTTTCCAATGATTGCTAAGATAGAATCCATCTTCTCGGTTGAAATTGTCTCTGTGTTTGTATATGTGGATAGCCTCATGAACGAATCTCTCATGGAAGCCAGATGGCTTACAAAGAACCTCCGTCTTGGAAAAGTCAATGGCATGTGAGCCTACTGAATTAGAACAATGATCTGCTACGGCCGAGGTGTTGGTCCTACCGTGTTTAAGGTCTGCTTTATGTTCACGAATGCGGTCCGAGATATGGCGTTTGGTTTCTCCAATGTAACTACTACCACAGAGGCAACTTAGTTTGTAGACACCAGGGTATTGTATGTCCGGAATCACATCTTTTACAGACGGAACCAGATCACGGATTTTATGTAATGTGTTGAAACGGACCTGGATCTTGTGTTTATTCAAGATTTTGGAGATCTTTTTTGTGATCCCAGCAATGTAGGGTAAAGTGATGGTTTTGAAAGGCTCCTCAAGAGGGTTCTTCTTCATGGTTTGAGTGATAGCTTTGCGGATTGTATAGTCGGAGTAACCATTAGCCCTAAGAGCTTGGTGTACGTGCTTGAGTTCACTGCTTATGTGTTCCTGGTCGGATATGCATTGGGCTCTATGATACAGAGTCTAAAACTAAGAATATGAATTACTGCAGTCACGAAAGCTTTAAATCAAAATTTATGTAGGATCAGTTACTCTCGATAAGATTAGTGACTTCTCTAGATAAGACTTGTAACTCTAGATAAGATCAGTGACTGTGTAGGATCAGTTACTCTCGAAAAGATTAGTGACTTCTCTAGATAAGACTCGTTACTCTAGATAGGATTAGTGACTATGTAGGATCAGTTACTCTCAATTAAATTATTAGTGACTTCTCTAGATAAGACTCGTAACGCTAGATAGGATTAGTGACTATGTAGGATCAAGTAATAGGTTTTACCCTTTTAACTGGCACAAAAATTGACACCTTTATTCAAGGCATCATGTTTGCAATAACCACAGCACAAGCAGTCAAAATGCAAACAAAAGAGACAACTCTGATCATAAAATGCACTGTCCTTGAATTTGATTGGTCCACACCCGAGACGGCTTTTCTTAGAGCCTAGTCTCCACTGGTGTTGGATCAGAAGACGCCAAAAGGCGTACAACTCAAAAACAGCACACTATCAGAGTATTGAGGGCTCGGGGTGAGCATTTACATTATGAGACCTCCTTTGCCAGTAACAAGATATAGTAATAGGTTTTACCCTTTTAACTGGCACAAAAACTGACACCTTTATTCAAGGCATCATGTTTGCAATAACCACAGCACAAGCAGTCAAAATGCAAATAAAAGAGACAACTCTGATCATAATATGCACTGTCCTTGAATTTGATTGGTCGACACCCGAGACGGCTTTTCTTAGCGCCTAGTCTCCACTGGTGTTGGACCAGAAGACGCCAAAAGGCGTACAACTCAAAAAACAGCGCACTATCAGAGTATTGAGGGCTCGGGGTGAGCATTTACATTATGAGACCTCCTTTGCCAGTAACAAGATATAGTAATAGGTTTTACCCTTTAAGGGTAAAACCTATTACTATATCTCATAATGTAAATGATAGTGCGCTGTTTTTTGAGTTGTACGCCTTTTGGCGTCTTCTGGTCCAACACCAGTGGAGACTAGGCTCTAAGAAAAGCCGTCTCGGGTGTGGACCAATCAAATTCAAGGACAGTGCATATTATGATCAGAGTTGTCTCTTTTGTTTGCATTTTGACTGCTTGTGCTGTGGTTATTGCAAACATGATGCCTTGAATAAAGGTGTCAGTTTTTGTGCCAGTATAAAGGGTAAAACCTATTACTATATCTTGTCACTGGCAAAGGAGGTCTCATAATATGTAGGATCAGTTACTCTCGATAAGATTAGTGACTTCTCTAGATAAGACTCGTAACTCTAGATAGGATTAGTGACTATGTAGGATCAGTTACTCTCGATAAGATTAGTGACTTCTCTAGATAAGACTCATAACTCTAGATAGGATTAGTGACTCTAGATTAGACTAGTGACTCTAGATAAAATAATTCACTGGATACATCTATCTTAGACTAGATAAGACTGGTGACTCTAGATTAGACTATAAACTAGATTAGACTAGTGACTAGATAAGATTAGTGATTATAGATAAAACTGGTGACTCTAGATTAGACTAGTGACTCTAGATTTCGACTAGTGACTCTAGATTTAGACCAATGACTAGATAAGACTGGTGACTCTAAATTAGTCTAGTGACTAGATTTAGACTAGTGACTAGATAAGACTCGTGACTCTAAATTAGTCTAATGACTCTATATTTAGACTAGTGACTAGATAAGACTGGTGACTCTAAATTAGACTAGTGACTCTATATTTACACTAGTGACTAGATTAGACTAGTGACTCTAAATTAGAATAGTGACTCTAGATTTAGACTAGTGACTAGATAAGACTGGTGACTCTAAATTAGACTAGTGACTCTATATTTAGACTAGTGACTAGATTAGACTAGTAACTATATTTAGACTAGTGACTAGATAAGACTCGTGACTCTAAATTAGACTAGTCACTCTAGATTTAGACTAGTGCCTTGATAAGACTAGTGACTCTAAATTAGACTAGTGACTCTAGATTTAGACTAGTGACTAGATAAGACTGGTGACTATAAATTAGACTAGTGACTCTAGATTTAGACTAGTGACTAGATAAGACTGGTGACTCTAAATTAGACTAGTTACTCTATATTTAGACTAGTGACTAGATTAGACTAGTAACTATATTTAGACTAGTGACTAGATAAGACTCGTGACTCTAAATTAGACTAGTGACTCTAGATTTAGACTAGTGCCTTGATAAGACTAGTGACTCTAAATTAGACTAGTGACTCTAGATTTAGACTAGTGACTAGATAAGACTGGTGACTCTAAATTAGACTAGTGACTCTAGATTTAGACTAGTGACTAGATAAGACTGGTGACTCTAAATTAGAATAGTGACTCTAGATTTAGACTAGTGACTAGATAAGACTGGTGACTCTAAATTAGAATAGTGACTCTAGATTTAGACTAGTGACTAGATAAGACTGGTGACTCTAAATTAGACTTGTGACTCTAGATTTAGACTAGTGACTCTAGATTTAGACTAGTGACTCTATATTTAGACTAGTGACTCTAGTTTAAGATTAGTGAACTCCAGTGGTCCACGCAGCAGCAGCTTTTGGTTAACAATCGAACAAAGATGGCCACTGCATCGTGCGTTTTCAGATGCACTTCTGTGGCCGTCTGGAACGCTCTCCCTTCCGATATTAGGAAGCCACTGGAGATATGCCCTTTCAAATAATCTAGATTGAAAAACTCTTCTTTAGAACTGCTTTTTATGTTTAGCTTATTGTCCTTCCCCCGCACCTCCAATGAGCACGGTTTTGTACGTACGGTACGAAAGACATTCAACATACGTACGTACATCTCATCGAGGATTGCCCCCATGTTTTCCAGTCCCGCCCTCCATCAATAAAGATGACAACCCAGGGGTGGGTCTCAGCCCCAAGGAGATCAAGCTCAAGGTGAACAACTCCCTGACGCTGGAGTGCGAGGCGACGGCGGTGCCGGTGGCCGTTCTGCGCTGGTACAAGGACGGCCAGGTGAGCGAGCGAGAGAGAGGGAGCGGCGAGGTGAGCGAGAGAGGGAGTGGCCAGGTGAGCGAGAGAGGGAGTGGCCAGGTAAGTGAGAGAGAGAGGGAGCGGACAGGTGAGCGAGAGAGGGAGGGAGGGAGTGGCCAGGTGAGCGAGAGAGAGGGAGGGAGTGGCCAGGTGAGCAAGAGAGAGAGGGAGGGAGTGGCCAGGTGAATGAGAGAGAGAGGGAGGGAGGGAGTGGCCAGGTAAGTGAGAGAGAGAGGGAGTGGCCAGCTAAGTGAGAGAGGGAGGGAGCAGACAGGTGAACGAGAGAGAGGGAGTGGCCAGGTGAGCGAGAGAGAGAGAGGGAGGGAGTGGCCAGGTGAGCGAGCCAGAGAGCGAGCAGCCACGTGAGAGAGCGGTGCCTGCCATGGCTGCGTTCGTGTGGCAGGGTCAATTCGGTTGTCTGGAGGTCAGCCAGCCTGCACGGGGCTTAATGATCCGATTCCTGGTATAGCTGCCTGGTACATTTTTGCTGGGTGGAGCAGTGGCGCAGTGGTTAGTGCACCGCGCTATGAACACCTGGCGACCTGAGTTGAGTTCCTCATCATGGCACCATGGCAACCTGTGGGTTATATTTGAACCAGATCTAGACACCTTTCCTTGATCACTCTGCAACAGACAAGATGGTGAATAATATCATTCAATCCTAAGGACCAATACAGTTTGGTGAGGCCTTCATTTCAGCAGTGGATTAACAAAGAACTGTAACATCATCATAATTTATGTGCACTTTATTACTGATTAACACTTTCCGCCGGACATTGTAGATCACGTGGCATGTGGAGTGTACGCCATCATGTGCAGTTATCAAAGCCTATTATACAAACTTTATCATATTTACTGCAACTCAATTATGAATACTTGCAACTCACAGTGACAATTAAAAACAAATATTTCCATAAAGTTCATCGTATCTCGAGACCCTGCGTGAACCAATAGGACATGGCCATGCTGGGCACAGGAGGCATTTAAAATTTATTATTTTATATTATTCGTTAATAAATTAGTCCAACATTTCGAGCAGGACTCTCCTGACAAAGAGACTTGAGACAAAAGTCGAATAATGCCACGTTTGGCGAGATGTTAACTACATCACCTAGTATTCAGGAGGTCATGGGTTCGAACCCAACCCTGAAGCTTGATGCATATATGTAGCTTGCACGTTCTCCCCCTGATCGCGTGGATTTTTCCTCGGGTCCGCTGGTTTTTCCCTCCACATTTAGAAACACGTGTTTTTCCGGTAGTTGGGTGCTATACATTTCCATATGTTAAGCCACTTCGTTGAGCTATCATTTGTGGCCAGGTCGCTTCTGAAAAAGAGCTACGTAGCTCAGTGGGCCTTACCCGGTAAAATAAAAAGTTTAGTCTAGTTGAGTAACGCGGTGCAGCCCTGCAAGTTGCCTGCTCACACCGTTGCTTGCAACCGGGCCTGTGTCTTCGAAGAGATTGGAGTACCTACACTTTACCCCACCACGCACCGCCTGCTGATCATCAACTAACTGTGGCTCAACCCGCTTACACTGCTGGGTGGACAGAGATGGCTGCGCGAGGGGGATTACAAAAGTTGGCCCGTTGTTTCAAATCAAACCAAGCGACCTCCGGACTGCCAGTTCAGTGCGCTCACCGTTACACCGCTGTTATCATTATTGTTGTTATTATTATTTATTGCACAAATGAAGATCAATCACACTTATAACAGCATTGCGTTCAATGCGAGAATGCGTTGTAATGTTTGACGAAAGAACGAGCGGGCGGGCAGACGTTGACAGGCGTTCCCCCTCAATGCTGTCCGTGCAGCAAATCAGCAGCGGCGAGCACCTGGAGATCATGGCCAGCGGTCGCATCCTCAAGATAAAGAACGCTCAGGTGTCGGACACGGGCCGCTACACCTGCGTGGCCACCAACCTGGCGGGCGAGGACGAGAAGGAGTTTGACGTCAACATCCAGGGTGAGCGGGGACGTGGTGTCGCACGGAGCGAAGGTGCAAGTTTCAAGGCCCCTAATCAGGGCTGCCCCGCCCACACCTGCCCGAGATTCCGCACGTGTAACGGTAGCGTGAGGCGCGGCCCTGCAATTGCTCGCCTGTGCCACTGCTGGCGGAAGGGCCCCTGCAAGAGGGAGGGAGCTCGAGAGAACCCCTCTCTGGAGCGTATTTGGCCTACTTTTCCACGCTGGCCCGATGTCTTAGAAGAGGTGGGAGTACCCATACTTTACCGCCCCACACGTGAGCTGCCGGTCGACGAACTGTGGTGAACGCATCTACACTGCCGGGTGGACGGAGGCAGCAGGATTTAAGAAACGTGCACTGTTGTTACGACTTCCGTGCCGGAAACCCCGCTCGACGTATATCCGCACGTACGTACGTTGAACTTCTTTCGCATCGGGCATAATCGGAGGTGCGGGGGAAGGACAAACACACGGTAATATTCCTAAAAAAGAATGCAGCAGCCGGTGCGCGCTTTGATTCCATTTATGTTGACGTTCTTCTCCCGCCGTGCATTCGTTGGCCGCGTGTCGGCAGTGCCTCCCGCGTTCCAGAAACCGGCGGGGTCCGGCCGTGGCGGAACGGACGCGGGGAGGCCCGACGGGAAGGACGTGGTCATCAACAACCCCATCTCCCTGTACTGCGAGACCAACGCGGTGCCGCCACCCATGCTCACGTGGTACAAGGACGGCCGCCCCCTCTCCTCCAGCGACAGGGTCCTCATCCTGCCAGGTGCCCGGCCCGGCTCTCGCGGCATTTGCGGTCGTTCAAAGTGGTCGGCGGCATTGGGCAGAGCGGCAGGAAAATCCATCCGTCGTTGTGCTGTGCTTCTAACCGCTCCCTCGGATGATGCTGCCCAACTTAATCGACCTGCGCCGACCGGCGCGTGCCAGGTGCGGTCGACCAGGGGCAGGCGTAGGGAGGAGACGCCCATCCAGCAGTGCATTGGATTGTCAAAGAGGGCTGTACCGTGTACAAGGGGATATCGCGGCATGGCCCGATGTTGTTACGATCGCTGTCTCTTCTCGCTTGCTTGCGAGCGGTCGAGGTCGCTTGAGGCAAGTGTGCAAGAGAACCCACACTCGCATGTGCTCGCAGGCTACGTTTTTGCCCAATCCTGGCCAGCTGGCTGAAAAGACTTCATAAACTGACTTGACTCGTGCCGAATGCAGGCACGCTCGTCTGCATTTGTCTGTATCAAGTTTTAATCTGTAAATGGCACCTTTGATGCCATGGTAATGTCACAGTCATCCTATGCAATGCTGTCAGGTACACGTGTACAAAGTTGGCTGTGATGTGATTAGGAAATACACTGGCATTCCAATGAAATTGAGTTTAATTCCTGGCGATGCACATCAGTGACACGGGCACTATCTGAACCTGTCATGGATATACCCTAGGTCAACTGGGCCTTAAACGAGTAGCCAGTGTATTGTGTGAACATCATCACTGGGGCAGCCAGGTGTGTTTGTGGCCACACCACTCACTCGAGCACAGTGTGGGCCTTGATAGATGCTCGCTCACTGACTCAATGGCGGAGCCAGGATTTTCAGGTAAAGGAGGGCAACCCCTCCAGCAATGAAAAATTATAGGAGTTGTTAGTAAGGAAGGACTTGTCCCTTGCTTTTTATTCAACACGTGTGCGGCGATGGCGCAGCCATCGATCGAGGGTCAAATTCGAACCGCGTTGTGTGATCGGCATCGCGCTCGCTGAAGGTGAATGCCTTCAGGGAAGTCGTGGACTGTATATGCAACCGCGCACAATTATGTGAGTCACTTTTAACTGATTTGCCGTTACTTATTGCCAATTATGGACTCAGACTATTGTCCTATCATCTCATGGAGTCCCTGGCACGTAATAATATGTTACACCGTGGCAGTGGGGGTCGCAAAATGCCGATTTATTACTAATAAACCGCAATGATCCGATCAAAATTAGGGATTTCGATCCGATCAAAATTAGGGATTTCGATGGGATCATTGGGGGGGCATGTGCCACCCCCCCCCCCCCCCCCCACTGACTCTCTGTCTAAACACACTGACTCTCTGTCTAAACACACTGACTCTCTGTCTAAACACACTGACTCTCTGTCTAAACACACTGACTCTCTGTCTAAACACGCTGACTCTCTGTTCCCCGTCGCCCACCAGGAGGCCGCGTTCTGCAGATCCCACGGGCGCAGGTGGAGGACGCCGGCCGCTACACGTGCGTCGCCGTCAACGACGCGGGCGAGGACTCCCTCAGCTACGACGTGCGCGTGCTCGGTACGGATGCGCACGTGCTTAGTACAGACGCACGCGTGCTCGGTGTGAACAGTGCTCATAGAGGGTGCTCGGTACGGAAGCGCGCATGCCCGGAATGGGCACGTGCACTCGGTACGGACGAGGTCGAGCACGCAGCCGTACCAAGCATGTGCCCAAGGCAAGACATCGTCGCCATGCTCGGGTCGATGATGTCGTCCCCGCTGATGTCGTTGCACCGATGCGTTGACGACGCCAGGATGACGTCGTCGCTTTCGTCGCTCCCGTGTTTGACCGAAGACGCCTTTCGTGAACTACCTTCTCAGCTCTCATTTGAGCCAATTGCCAGAAGGGATCACGGTTTGCTTAAATGGAACACTGCCTATTCATTTAAATGCAACTTTGTTGCGTTTTTTTATTTTATTTGCCGTGGCCGTTGCCTTTAGTTACCGTTGCGGGATCGTGCCACACTTTTGAGTATCGTACCCCGGTCGTCGGAAGCAGTGCCGCCACTGCCATCCCGGGGCCTCGTGTTCACAGTCGCGCCTCGTAAGCCCCCCTTGGTTAGCGTGCGTTTGGGGGGGGGGCGGGGGGGGGCACTATAATATAGCAGCTAATCGGTGCGGATCACTGCCAAAGTACATTGCAGCCTGCAGCCTTCAGCTGTCACCTCAATCCTCTTAATTTTTACCAAAAGCATTCAATTGAAGATGAGGAAAGCAGTGGAAGATGCAGCCTTATGGTCAGGCGTAGTTGGGTGAGGTGAAGCATAACGGAGAAACCTCAACAAGCGAGTCGGTGGTCCCACATGGTGGGTGAGCGTTCTCAGTGGAAGAGACCACAGTGGAGGCGGTGACGCTTTGAGGAGTGTTGTGGGAAGAGGCGAGTGAGGACGTGAAGGTGTGGTGTGTGTGTGTGTTGTGGAGGTCGGGCGACTCGTGGGGTGGTGGTAATCGATGAGTTGCGTGGTCGAGTGACGGTACGTCTGGTGGGGCACGTAGGAGGGGATGTGTCAGTGGGGAAATGTGTGTGGGGGGTGCGACGACGCCAAGCACAATCGTCTTCATTTTTATCATTCGCAACGCGCTTCTCTCTGCTCGGGCGACCGCTAACGTCACGCTCCGCCGCGACTCTCTCTCCCCGACCTCCCCCCTCCGCCAGTGCCGCCGAGCGTGCGGGGCGGCGCCGGGGAGGCGCCCGAGGAGGTGGCGGTGACGGTGAACGCCACCGCCCGGCTAGATTGCGCCGTCGACGGGAGCCCGGCGCCCTCCGTCTCGTGGCTCAAGGACGGGCGGCCGGTCTCCGCGGACGGCAGACACTCCTTGCTGTTCGGCGGCAAGACTCTTCAGGTGGGAAACGTCCGGGAGCCGGAGGGCGAGCGAGAGAGAGAGAGAGAGGCGCAGCGCGCCCCGAATTCGCGTCAGCCTCGTTTGTTCCGGTGACGGTGGCTTTGACGGGCTGCCTGTGATGCGGCGGCTGGGAGGTGGGGGTTGGCGGGTCGCGCGGGCGTTTATAGCCATCGTGTGTTTGACACCTGCCTTGCGGGGGGTGGGGGATAAGTTGCCTGCAGGAGGCTGTACAGCAAAGAGGTTTTTGACTTGTCTGTGAAGTTTGAGCCGGGCAGTGGTGGCTGTGATGCATGTGGCCTGTAAATCCAGCGCTGTGGATGCAGCGAGGGGGGGTTGGTGGATCGCCGCACACAAATGTTGTGAAGCGCCCTTCCCGTGGGCGTCGAGGTGCCCTATACACTCGCTCGCCAGGAGAAGGCAGGGCGGCAAGTGGACTAATCGCCATCTGTTTCCATCTGTACGGGGATAGAGCGTTTTCTCTTCGCACGCCCGGGTCTTTCTCCGCGTGCTCCGGTTTACTCCTACTTGTATGAAACTCACTGATGGGCTGAAGACGTCTTAAAATGAAAATCCAATCGCAGGGCCCTCCTGACAAAGAGTTATACGATTCAGCGTGGCTCTCCTGGATAAACACGTGAATAATTGAGTGTTCTTCACTGTTTTCAGAATATTTATTTAGACTGGAGGAATCCGATGAGCTACGCAGCTCTTTTTTGCATGGATGTCTTGTGGTTTTGAGCGGCTTTTCTCTGACAACTCCAGTGTGCTAATACTCAAGACTAAACTTTCCAAACAGGACCCCATAGCAATAGTTTTGAGACACGATGCGAGCTTTCTAGGTTGATATATTTTGTTCCTTTTATATTACAGATCCTGTGATCTAACTGAGAGCACACGTGAGATGTAATTAATGGCAACTGAAGTCGGGATCGTAAGGACATGTGTTCATATATTGGTCAGGTCCTCATCTCAGCCCATCATCCACAATGGGTTCGCTAAAATAAGTACCATTTTGCACAAAGTCAATGGTAATTGTCCTGTGGAGAGATTGCTTCCCGTCATGGGAATGTGGAATTTTCATAGTTGGCTCAGGACGACCAACAGAGGTGGACACTGCCCCTGTCCTCATGTCTCGAGAGACATTTACTTTTGGCACTGAAACGGATTATGTGATTGCACTTCATTGAGTTTCCTGGGCCAATGGGACAGTGCTTCGTGTGCATCTGGGTTATAAACTGAGGCACAGGCCGTAGCTAGAGTGAGCGGTGCGTGATATTTAATATTTAAAAAGTCTTGGGCCCCTTGTTCATCAACCTGCACTGACCAGCATGGTGAAGTATGGTTAAAAAAATGTACACACATAATTTAAGTGATAGGGATGCCTTCGCCCACCAGCAGATTGACGAAGGGCTGTAATTTCAATGATAAAAAAAACAATTCCATTATGGTGTTGTTTTTCCAATAGATTGAGCGTGCGCAGGTGATGGACACGGGACGTTACACGTGCGTCGCTGAGAATTCCGCCGGTCGGGCAGAGAAGCTGTTTAACCTCAACGTCCACGGTGAGTTTTGCACTTGAACATGGGTCACCTGGCTTCTGAAGACACACCTATTCATCGTTCGTACCTTCGCCTCCAACCATAATGTCTCCTGCATAGCCGTAATAATATTTCATGTATAACGATAATCAATATGAATGCCCTTCAACCCAGAAAAACCTCACCGGCGGTTCCTGTCCTGGGATGTTTTGCCAATTCCATTAATCAGTGTTCGGCTTTATGTCGGAGGAAATCTGAGTAGCCAGCTATACATACAAGGGGGTAACACTCAAAGCTCTGCGCAAACCGATTCAGTTAACCATGGTTGAGAGTTCAGATCCCGGTTGGGGTCGACTCAGCCCTCCTTCTCTCTAAGGTTCGAAAACGGCAACACCAAATTGTGGGAAGTCAATAGTAGACACACAATCGATTGACCTGAATGTTGGAATCTCCACCACTGGCTTAGGACCGTCGTAAGCAAGGACATAAGCAGTACACCGGGAACCTCTTCCGGATAGCCGGTACCCTGCCCGAGCAATATGAGCGCAGGAAGTCAAATATTGTTCTATGTTGAACTTATTTTGCTCCGTACGTAGCCAACCGTGCTGATCGGAGTTGTGGGAGAAGGACAACAAACTAAAGGCAAAAAGCAGTTCTAAAGAAATTAGATTTCAATCGAGATTATTTAAAAGTGCATAGCTCCAGTGACTTCCTAATTTCGGAAGAAAGAGCGTTCCAGACGGCCGCAGAAGCGCATCTGAAAGCGCACGATGCGGTGACCGTCTTTGTTCAATGGAAAAGCAGCCACAGCGAGGATGACCGGAGTTCAGGTGATGATGCGTTATGCTTCTTGACGAGATCAGCAAGGTATCGTGATTCCTTTGTGACAAGCACTTCGTGGCGTTATCTGTGCGACCTTATGAAGTCATCACTTCCCAACAGCAGCGACACGTCGCCAGTCAACCTAACTGGTGTTTCCCACCCCGCAGTGCCACCGGCGATCGTGGGAACGAACCCGGAAAGCCTCCACGTGGTGGTGGACAACCCCATATCGCTCATGTGCGAGGCCACGGGATTTCCCCCGCCCACGCTCGGCTGGGTCAAGGACGGGAGGCCCCTGCAGCCAAGCAAGAGCCTCTTCATTCTTCCCGGTGAGGCCGCACGCAAGTTACCTCTCTTGTGCATTCATCCCAGGTCTCGCTTGTAGAAGGATCGCGTCGTTGTTGTTGTTTGTTGTTTACGGAATCTCACTTTGTGTCCGCAACTGATACGTAAACTGCCGGTCTGCCTGCCTGCTTTACAGATGTGTGTGTGTGTGCATGTGTGCCGTGGTTACCAAGCTGCGCTATGAACCCAGCGACCCGGTTTCGATTCCTGCTCATGGCGAACACCAGTGACGATTATTTGAACCGGTCTGCCCTAGGTCGACTTACCCTCAAATTAGTACCTGGTGCGGTGTGTAAACATCGCCACCGGGGAGACAAAGGTGGCCGGGCGTGGTGCTGGCCACCCACCCCCTCGTCTGTCCTGCCGACCTTCATAGGTGCTCGCTTGCCCCAACAGTCTATTAAGGCGACATGGGGGGTCTTTGTATTTGTGCCTTCTCGCATTGCTAGAGTCGTATGCATGTATGTATGTTGAACTTTTTTCACATCGTACGTAGCGAACCGTGCTAATGGGAGGTGCAGGGGAAGGACAACAAACGATAAACGAATTTACCATTGTGAACCTAACTAGCGTCGGTAGTGCAGACGTGTAAGTGGTGACCAGGTTGACATTGTGGACTGATTATTCCGTCGACTGTAATCAAGTGCGAAGAGAGAGGTGGGATTGAGTTTCAGAGATCGGCAGCACGCAATGTAAAAGACGAAGTGGGGGCAAAGCTTTGCGCAGCAGAGTCAGCGAGCGGACATTGCCCATGACGAGGTGGAGTAGCACAGGCAGTTGAACGGACAGGACAGGTGGAAACAATGTGGTAGACTTCAGAAGAGCATCGATCTCGGTCGGAGAAGCGCTAGGCGAAGAGGAATCCAACAACCATGAGATGGACGAGGCTAGCGCTCACACTAGGAGACCATCGATGCTGCAGCTCTCCATTGAATTCTATCTTAACCCTGTCCCATTCTGATGACATACGCGTTTTTGACATCGGAACGGAACCGGAAGATAAACTAAAATAAAATAGCTTTAGCGGTATTGAGGCTCCCACAAAGCCATGCGGGAGGGCTTGTGGCACATTTTGCCACCAGCTATTATAGAGTGCGGTCGTGTCGCTAAGGTTCTCCGCGTTGAGTAAAATGTCGTGAAAATCAACAGCGCTATGCCTCTCTAAATAAAATTAACGCCGAACTCCTCGCGTGTTCCAAGATTCAGCGGTGAACAAGACCCACCCACCCTGCCACTTGCAGCCGTCTAACGGAATGGGAAAGGGGATGAAGTCCAAGCGTGGACTTTGATGCCGCGCACCGGATGCAGAAGCAACGCTTGCGTTGTTGGGCAGAAGATCGCTCCGCAAAGCGTCCGCCTAATTCTCGCAACCCCCTCGAATCGATGTCTGCCTGCAGGCGGTCGCATCTTGCAGATCCAGAGGGCGAAGCTGTCCGACGGCGGACGCTACACCTGTGTGGCCATCAATGCCGCGGGCCAGGCCAAGAAGCACGTGGTGCTCACCGTGTATGGTGAGTGTCGCACGCGCAGCCCCGTCGCTCGCTCGCGTTCACTCCGCTCGGCCTCGTCCACTCGCCGAGACTTGGGCGTGGAAGCGCCTGCCGACCCGGTTCGGCGCGTGACTACGACGCACGGTTCCCGTGTCTTCTCGGTCTTGGGTCTTTAGGTCAAGGGTGTTACCATCGACAAAATTCCTGATGTGCGTACGCTTCATTGTGAGTTCATCCGCTGCGATCGCATCGACATTATTCCCATTTTGGGCATTGCGTTGTGTGAAAGTGAATTGCTGTTTTCATTCATATTTGATGTGGTTTCTCCGTGTTCGAATGAGCGTGGCTGCTGTCGTGTCTTTTGGTGGTCTGGAGCAGATGGACATTGGAGGTGAATATGAAATGGACCAGTATATCCATATAAAGGCCAAAGTTGACATCCCATTAAGTGGTGTTCATTTTATTGAATCGTAATAAAAAACAATAGCAAAAGGATGCACACCGAGCCAGCGCTATTGTGCTCCTAAGTTTGAATTGAGTAAGCCTGGGTTTGGATCCAACTACACTTATGGTCGCTCTGCGATCCACTGCCGACCCCAGTCGATCATCTCCACTCGCACCCGGCTTAAGAATTCCACCCTTCTCACCCCCTCCCCACTCTTGCCCCCACTCCCCCCACCAGTACCCCCCACAATCCGCGACGGGGGCGGTGAGGCCCCCCTCGTGGTCAGCGTGCGAGCGGGAGGCTCCGTGTCGCTCGAGTGCGAGTCCAACGCCGTGCCGCCCCCCGTGGTCACGTGGTACAAGAACGGCCGCCCCCTGGCGGAGTCGGAGAAGGCCGTGCTGCGCGGGGATGGAGGACACGTGCTGACACTCGTGGACGCGGAGGTGCACCCCGAGACGTGGGGGGGGGGGGGGGGGGGAGAGGCGTGCGCGTCATTGTTTATGACGTCGTTGTTGTTGATGTTTGTTCTAATCTGTATTCACTGCGCGTGTTAATGTGCAAAGCTGCTTTGGGAGGGAAGCAATGTCGACGAATGCGAAGGCTGCTGCTGCTTAGTTGGCCGTCCTTGCGCGTCTGCGCAGGCAGCCACAGGTCGCTGGCTGAGAGAGCGCACGCCGTACCTACGTATGAGCTCCTTTCACACCGTACTTAGCCAACCGTGGCAATTGAAGGTGCGGGGAAAATGCTGAAACGTGCTTTTGCCGGCGGCGATGCTGTCGTCTCAGGTGGCCGATGCCGGGCAGTACGTGTGCAAGGCCACCAACGTGGCCGGGCAGGTGGACAAGGTCTTCCACCTCACCGTTCACGGTACTGTCCACTGCCGCCAACCGCACGCCACTGAATAGAAATTCAAAACAAAAAGGCAACTCGCTGATCCGCCAGTGCAATCCTCTCCGTCATCATCAGCCATGATCGATCCACTGCTAAATGAAGGCCTTCCAAAGCCGCCGCAGCCTCGCAGTGCACCGGTCCATCCGGCACCTGCACGTGAACTGATTTCATCGCTCCACCTTCTTGGTGGACGTGCTCTTGAGATGCCTTCTACACCTTGGCCGCCACTTTCAGTTTCAGCACAACGAGTGTTATTTTAAACATTATTATTAAAAACTCTCCAGTCGTGTACGACTGTCGTCATCCAGAACAGAGACCGCACAACGTATAACGACGCAATGCCCGTTCCACAAATACGAAGGAGACATCACAGTGATGACGATACACTCCGCTGCTCCTGACGCGGATATGTCTAGCTGGACCACCTGAATGGTGAAATCGTAGTTGTGGCTTTTCATCTAAAGCGCCGTGGCACCTCAGAGCGGCTGCTCTGCTCTCTCCGCGCGCGTTCCCGAATGCGAAGTGTTGCACTGTTCCGCGAGAGATCCGGAAGGACACCTTTTGTCGCGTGGCACGCCGCTGACGGCACGGTCCGCATCTTGAGCGCTAAGCGCGGTCTGTATGTCAAACGGATCCGCGACCCCGGAATCGTTGCCAACGGCATCGACTCGCATGGGGGGGCGGCGCCGGCGCCTCTTGAACGTGCGGCACCGCGCCGGTTCCGCGTCTGCAGTGCCGCCGAGCATCGAGGGCCCGCCGGAGGAAGACGCGAGCGAGATCATCGGCAACCCCGTGACGCTGGCGTGCGACGCCCTGGGCATCCCGCCGCCGGCCATCACGTGGCTGCACAACGGCCGTGCTTTAGGTGAGGGCCGCGGGACGCCACCTCACTGGGAATGTTGCACATTGTGAATCCCCTTTCCCCCTCCGAGACGTCTGCAAGTTGCAAGGGTGGGCGTCCCGTTCGCCGCTGAATCTCGAAACGCACAAGCGGTTTGCGTTAGTTTTATTCAGAGAGGCGTAGCGCCATTGTTTTCAAAGACATTGTACTCGCCGCGGAGAACCGTAGCGACACGACCGCACTCTACGATTGCTGGCGCCAAACTTTGCCACGCGCCCTCTTGCATGGTCTTGTGGGAGCCTCGGAATCGGAAGAAAAACTGATGACGTACACGTACGTCATCGGAAAGGGTTAAAGTTTATTTCGATTTCTTACACGGATGATGGGCCTCGTTTAGCCAGTTGCCCGGCTATTTTACAAGGGAGATCCGTGGTGTGTGAGTACAGCATCAATGTGTTTGTAGAATGTATGCCTGTCTGTGTGCGGGGAGCGCCAGTGCAGCGGTTAGCGTGCTGCACTACGAACCCGGCGATCTGAGTTTGATTCCAGACTCACGGCCAACATCAGTGACAAATATCTCAACCGGTTCTGGGCATCCCCTAGGTCGACTCAGCCTCAAATGAGTACCTGGTATGGTGTGTAAACATCGCCACTGGGGAAACAAAGGCGGCCGGGCATGGTCCTGGCCACCCCCCCTTCGTATACAGTGCCGGCCTTCATAGGTGCTCGTTAACATCACTTGCCCCGACAGTCTGCTAAGGATATACAGTGAGGGAAAAAGTATTTGATCCCCTGCTCTTTTGTACGTTTGCCCACTGACAAAGAAATGATCAGTCTATAATTTTAATGGTAGGTTCATTTGAACAGTGAGAGACAGAATAACAACAAAAAAATCCAGAAAAACGCATGTCAAAAATGTTATCAATTGATTTGCATTTTAATGAGGGAAATACGTATTTGACCCCTCTGCAAAACATGACTTAGTACTTGGTGGCAAACCCCTTGTTGGCAATCACAGAGGTAAGACGTTTCTTGTAGTTGGCCACCAGGTTTGCACACATCTCAGGAGGGATTTTGTCCCACTCCTCTTTGCAGATCTTCTCCAAGTCATTAAGGTTTCGAGGCTGACGTTTGGCAACTCGAACCTTCAGCTCCCTCCACAGATTTTCCATGGGATTAAGGTCAGGAGACTGGCTAGGCCACTCCAGGACCTTAATGTGCTTCTTCTTGAGCCACTCCTTTGTTGCCTTGGCCGTGTGTTTTGAGTCATTGTCATGCTGGAATACCCATCCACGACCCATTTTCAATGCCCTGGCTGAGGGAAGGAGGTTCTCACCCAAGATTTGACGGTACATGGCCCCGTCCATCGTCCCTTTGATTTGGTGAAGTTGTCCTGTCCCCTTAGCAGAAAAACACCCCCAAAGCATAATGTTTCCACCTCCATGTTTGACGGTGGGGATGGTGTTCTTGGGGTCATAGGCAGCATTCCTCCTCCTCCAAACACGGCGAGTTGAGTTGATGCCAAAGAGCTCCATTTTGGTCTCATCTGATCACAACACTTTCACCCAGTTGTCCTTTGAATCATTCAGATGTTCATTGGCAAACTTCAGACGGGCATGTATATGTGCTTTCTTGAGCAGGGGGACCTTGCGGGCGCTGCAGGATTTTAGTCCTTCACGGCGTAGTGTGTTACCAATTGTTTTCTTGGTGACTATGGTCCCAGCTGCCTTGAGATCATTAACAAGATCCTCCCGTGTAGTTCTGGGCTAATTCCTCACCGTTCTCATGATCATTGCAACTCCACGAGGTGAGATCTTGCATGGAGCCCCAGGCCGAGGGAGATTGACAGTTCTTTTATGTTTCTTCCATGTGCGAATAATAGCACCAACTGTTGTCACCTTCTCACCAAGCTGCTTGGCAATGGTCTTGTAGCCCATTCCAGCCTTGTGTAGGTCTACAATCTTGTCTCTGACATCCTTGGAGAGCTCTTTGGTCTTGGCCTTGGTGGGGAGTTTGGAATCTTTTTGATTGATTGCTTCTGTGAACAGGTGTCTTTTATACAGGTAACAAGCTGAGAATAGGAGCACTCCCTTTAAGAGTGTGCTCCTAATCTCAGCTCATTACCTGTATTAAAGACACCTGGGTGCCAGAAATCTTTCTGATTGAGAGGGGGTCAAATGCTTATTTCCCTCATAAAAATGCAAATCAATTTATAACATTTTTGACATGCGTTTTTCTGGATTTTTTTGTTGTTATTCTGTCTCTCACTGTTCAAATAAACCTACCATTAAATTATAGACTGATCATTTCTTTGTCAGTGGGCAAACGTACTAAATCAGCAGGAGATCAAATACTTTTTTCCCTCACTGTATGGGGGAATCTTTATCTTTGTGTGCTAGCTTATATTAAGGCAGACGTATTGATTATTATGGTCTTGCATGAACCAGAATGATCATTGGAATTTCATGGGACGAATATTTTGGTTGACAAGATGCGTATCTGCGATCCAGTACATTGAAGGCCAGTAATGGCCCGGAGATTACAGTTCAGCAGATGGATTCATCACATTTGTGACGATGGTGGTGATGCTGATGATTCTACCTTTGATGATGATGATGATTATGACGCAAATATGATGATGATGCGAGTAATGCTGATGATGTTTCTTATTATGCTTGTGATGATGACGACGACGACGATGATGACAATACGACGATAATGCCATTGGCGATGATGATGATGATGATGTTGTTGTTGCTGATGCCACAGCTCACGGTGGTTTGTGTTCTTACCTCTGCGCACCGCGTGCAGAGAACGCGGCGTCGTTGGAGATGCGCATCTTGTCGGGCGGCAGCAAGCTGCAGATCATCCGCTCGCAGCTGTCGGACGCCGGGCGCTACACGTGCGTGGCTTCCAACGTGGAGGGGGAGGCACGCAAGACCTACCAGCTCACCATACACGGTGCGAAGCACATACAGCACATGCAACCAGCACGTACACATACACACACATATACCTACCAGCTCACCATACGCGGCGCGACACAGGTACAGCCAGCACGCGTGCACAACAACAACAGCCGCCATTCGCCACTAAGTGGGAGTGAGATCACCACGGTGCCTGTGCCAGGCCAGGTGCACTTTGAGGCCACGTGGAGTGTCGAAGACTCGCTGACAGGAGGTCACGGGACAGACCCAGGTGCCATGGGTTGACTGACTGAGATGACTGGCAGACACACCGGCTGTGTCCCCTACTGTAACAACTTGCTGTATTTTAGCCACCCGGCACTCTGCTCGTTGTTGTGAGCATCGCTCCTCTGCCCTCCAACTGCTCAGCAGCGTCCTTCACACACACACACACCTACCAGCTGACCATACACGGTGTGACGCACACACAGCCAGCATTTTCTTCTCCCATTGCATTTGAATCGCCGTCCCTGTTCCAAGTCCAGGCTAAGGCCAGGCTGGGAGCACTCTCTCGATAAAATAAACATCCCCCCCTCTGTTCCTGTACGGCATCTTCAGCAGCGGTGGCACGAAGGCGCTCGCCGTGTGAACCCAAGCTGTATTGTCACGGTGCGTGTGGGAGTTAACTGGAAGCGTGCACTCCCCCCCCCCCCCCCACCGCTGCCCCTCGCGAGCAGTGCCGCCCAGCATCGAGGGCTCGGAGCTGTCGAGCGAGGTGGCGTCGGTGGTGAACGAGACGGTGTCGCTGGCGTGCAAAGCGAGCGGCACTCCGCCCCCCGCGCTGCACTGGCTGCGCGACGGCAAGCGCCTCGACGGAGTCGCGTGAGTTCCCGTCCGGAGCCCGGAGCAGCGCCCCTGGTGGCCTTTAGTGCGGCCCCTGCACGTGCGGCCCCCGACGATACACAACATGTGAAGACACCGCCCCTTGCCAGGCAGTACGGCGGCCCTCGCACTGGTGATGTCTTATCGGCGAAAGTGGCCCCCCTCTGAAAATTAGTGAAGAACGCTGGTCCAGCGTGTCGCCTCCCTCCCTCCCTCCCTCCCTCCCTCCCTCCCTCCCTCCCTCCCTCCCTCCCTCCCTCCCTCTCTCCCTCCCTCCCTCCCTCCCTCCCTCCCTCCCTCCCTCCCTCCCTCCCTCCCTCCCTCCCTCCCTCCCTCCCTCCCTCCCTCCCTCCCTCCCTCCCTCCCTCCCTCCCTCCCTCTGGACGTGACGTCTCTTCCTAGCAAGTGATGCCACTTCCCGCCAGCGTGGCCCCGCTCAAGGTGTTCAGAGTTATTCTGCAGGTAGCGCTGCACTGATTCATCGCTCAGAATCAATGATTGAGCAGTGAGTCGAATTGTGCTCGTGAGAACCAATTCGCTCGTTGGGTTTTTGAGCCAGGCTGGGCCGGCATTGGGAATATGGCACGGCCCCGCTTTTCACCCAGACAACCGGCGAGCACGCACTTGAAATACTACGATCACTAAACAACAAATTATTACGTATATTTAAGAGTGCCCAATTAAAAAACAATATAAAAAATTACAAATATGCAATTACGAAGGTGATTTCAAATTTTTAAAAAGTCTAAACTTAAAATCGTATCAGTGATCCTCATACTGTTTGGGACACTCTTATTTTAATTATTCATGACTTTTGTATACTATTCACTCATGTCACGTTTAGACTAATGGAATTAATAAGACAGAAAAAAAATGAAATTATACAGGCAGTAAAAACGAGATGTTTTAGAATAGATTCCTGGTAAATCAAGCGCGTCTTTGCAGAGTCAAAACTAATGATGCTGGAGTCACTTCAATTTGAGTCTCGAACTCAACATTATCCAGTGCTCCGTCATGTTGTGCGAAGAGCAGTTTGCCAAATTTCAGTCATCAAAAAGTGAAACCTCAAGTGTCTCCCTTAGCAAGTGGTGGAAATCCACAATCTTCTGTGATGCACGTGTGACATATTAGCTATCAGAGCTGAAATTTTCTAGAAAACAAGTGAACAACCAAATGTTGCATATTTAAGTATTATTTTAACCATTATATGTAACCAAACCTAGGTCATAAAGCTGTCTACATGGGAGAACGTGGTTTTAATTGCCTGTATTTGAAACCTGGATTGGAACCCAGATCTCATTGTTGCTGGCTCCGTGTTGTGACATTGTTGTTATGAGCCCCGTGACGTTGAGAAAGAGAGATGCAGCCACTCAGCTCCTCCTGCTTGCTGCTGCCTTCCCAGCTTCATTCTCTCCGTGTCACCGCGCTCCTTCCTCCTCTGCCTCCTCCACCCCCCCTTCCTCCTCCTCCTGCCTCCCTCCACTACCCCCTCCTCATCCTACTTCTCCCTCCTCCTCCTCCCCCCTCCTCCTCCCCCCACCCTCCCTCCCTCCTCCTCCTCTCTGTTCACCTGGCTCTTTCCCGGTGCCACCGCAGGGTCTCTAAGGACAGCAGCGTGCTCACGCTGAGCGCCGTGCAGACATCCGACGCCGGGAAGTACACGTGTGTCGCCACCAACGTGGCCGGGGAGGAGGACAAGATCTTCAACCTCAACGTGTTCGGTGAGTTGCCGCCCGTGGACGCGGGGGTCGTGCGATCCGCAGGTGTTGCGCTCTTCACGGGCGCCGGTCCGTAACTGCTCGACTTGAAGCTTAGAGTAAACTAAAACTTTCAACTATTTTTATTATTCTTGGTTCTTTCGGTGAAGTCACGTACTGATAAAAAAAGAAAAAAAAAGATTTTTTTTATTTCAAATAACAATAATTAAAGCAAAAAACCCACAACGTTTCGATCACAACACAAGCGGTCTTCATCAGGCCATTTAAGACCCACTGTGATGTGTAGCTCTTTTTCAGAAGCGACCTGGCTATAACAAATGATAGCTTAACGAAGTGGCTCATCACGTGGACATTTATAGCAGCAGTCAAATACTCTAAACGCGTGTTTCTAAAATGTGGAGGGAAAAACCGGAGGACCCGGAGAAAAATCCGCGCAAGCATGGGAAGAGATAGACATGCGAATTCCAAATATACAGCCGTCAGGGTCGGGATCGAACCAACGACCTCCTGTATGCCAGGCGAGGTAGTTAACATCTCGCCACCATGGTGAGATAAGAGCTTGGCTCACAATCAGTAAAATGACCCTGGGGTGCAAAATTTCCCTGAATAGTCCGTGCCATGGGAAAGGGGAATTTACAATGACTGATTTAGGGCCACCAACTCTGGCCAAAGGTAAATTCAAACTTGGGATATTTGGATATGAATCGTGTACATGTACAGCCATTTTTTTTGTCAAACCACTGCTGGATGAGGGCCTCCCCATGCCTTGTGGGAAGTGGAGGTAATTTAGCCATAATTCACCGCATTTACAAGTGTGGTTTGATGAAGGTGAGGACCATAGATGTGGGAGCATAGAAGTACAGTATAACAATCGCCTTTGCTGCACTGCCCTGCACTGAGCACCACGTAACACTGGCCTCCAACTGCCTATGACAACCTGGTCTTACCTGTCAACCCATACGGTTTACCCGTATTCTTGTACAGGGAAACTGAGCTTTCAGGTCCATACGGCGTACAGTCGTTTTCGTACGGGCAAAACAGAAACACGTGGCCAAATAAAAAAAAATCGTGGTACAGCTTTTTTTTACTTTGGAGAGTAGCGATCCCCATAGCAGCCGACAAATTTGATCCGGAATTAAGACTCTCTTGGTACAGATCATGCGCACAAACTACACTTCCACATGGGAGAGCCCGACCTATGGGTCAAGGGCAGTTCACAGGATGGGTGCGGTCATTTGTTTGTGTTTCTCCCTTGTGATGGGACTTTGTCGGATGAACGTTGAGATTCATGAGGGTATGGGGTGACCAATAAGGTCTGAATTGGTCTGTAATAAGGTAGGCACTGATAAGGGGTTGATGGGTATAACCTAGTGTGCATGGTGGTCACCCATCCAAGCACTCTCAAGGCACTGCTTAGCCTCTTGCTGAGCTTCTGAGATCTGATGAGATCGGGTGCATTCCAGGTGATTTTGTCATAGGCTTCGATTCGATTCACCTTTTAACAAATGTCCAATTTTGGTAGATTTCCTGCAAAAATATTCCAATGTCTCCCATCACCAACAATGATCAAAATCGCCAAGATGACGTATTTCATCGAATTGTGAATTTGGCCATAAACTGTCATTTCGAATAGTTAGCCCAACCGATTGCTTTGGCTGATGAACTAATTTGATCTGAGACAGTTCGAACCAATTGTCCCTCTTGCTTCCCTATCCCCCTGCACACAAAAAAGACAAAGATCCCCCGGCTAGCCTGTAAAAGAATGTTGGGAGCGGTGCTGTTAGCGAGCACCTACAAAGGCTGGCACGGCACACGAGGGGGTGGGTGACCAACACCACGCTTGGCCCCCTTTGTCTCCTCAGTGACGATGTTTACACACTATACCAGGTACTCGTTTGAGGCTGAGTGGACCTAGTGTTGGCCGTGAGCAGGAAACGAACTCGGGTCGCAAGGTTCGTAGCGCAGCGCGCTAACCACTACACTACCGCTCCCACACGCGCACGCACACACGCGCACAGTGCCGCCATCTATTGAAGGCGCGGGGCAGGTGGAGGAGCTGTCCGTGGTGCTGGACGGCTCGCTGAGCATGGAGTGCGTGGCCGTGGGGGTTCCGCCGCCCCAGATCACGTGGATGAAAAACGGACTTCCCCTGCCGCTCTCCGCCCACGTGCGCCTCCTGTCTGGGGGGCAGACTCTCCGGTCCGTGGTCCCGTGCCCTACCCGCCGCCTCACTTCTCACTCGCATCACACAAACCCAAATATGATAAACAGCAAGTTCACCCCGTTCGGCCTGATAAGAAAGCAGGTGCGAAGTGCAATTGTCGAACACCGATGAAGGCCATCGCGCGAATGAGTGGTGTGATTAACACCAGGCCTGGCTGCCTTTACCTCTCCAGTGCTGATGTTAACACACTGCTCCAGGCACTCAATTGAAGCCTAGTTAAATAAAGAGAGATTTCCGTATCCATGTTCAGGTACCACTTGCCACATATGAGCATGGCCAGGAATTTAACCCCAAATTGTCAGGAAAGTGGAACTATGTATAAACCACTACACTCTTGCTCCCCACTTATTACACATACAAATACATGTGATGACGTGTGTTTTTTTTTTATTCAACAATTACTTACATATTCCACACGTGATATAATTCCAGGTATGATACGCTGAAAGGGTATTAAATCGACGCGTTTGTTCATCACGTGACAGCATTATTCATCGTGGCAGTGTCGGGTTTGGGGGAGGGGGGAGGGTTTTACAGCACACATTTGACTCGCGCGACCTGACCCTACAATCAGTCACGGAATCGTCACGACCCTGAACTCGCTCCCTCTCGCAGGATCGTTCGAGCGCAAGTGGCGGACGCGGGGACGTTCTCCTGCGTGGCGTCGAACCGCGCCGGCGTGGCAGACAAGCACTACAACCTGGAGGTGCACGGTACGGAGTCGGTGCAGCGACACAACGGATTTCATCTTGTTCAGATCGATCACCATGGCTCTCTGATACGCGCATCGAGCCGTCCACGTGAGGATCGGCTTTGATTCATGCAAATTCGATACGACTTCAATGTTATTGTTACATCGAAGCCGCTGGATGAAACTGAAACTGGTGTATTAAAAAAACGACGAAACGAATACGATCCACCGCGTAAGCCCCGCCAGGCCCGACGACGGCCTGCTCTTGTGTGGTGACCACCCATCCACATTCTATTCAGCCTCAGCCCTGCTCAGCTGTTGAGATCTGGCGAAGGTCGAGTGCATTCCAGGCTATTTGGACATAGACTCTGTATATGTATGTATGTGTGTAAGTTGTCTGTTTGCACACAGTGGTGTATATAGGTATGTGAATTACACCTGAATGTGTGCACGGTACATATCAAAGAGCCATCTTTATCCTGCGCACTACTCTTAGAGCACATTAAATACAATTTACTTGAATGCCCAACGATTCGAATGTGCAAAACATAAAACTTTAGTTTAATAAAGAATTAAAGCTTTCGTGACTGCATAAATTATATTAAAATATAACTTTATTGTATTTCTACATACATGACTTTACCGAAAAAAACAATGAGTAACTTTAGTTTATATCCATAGTTCTTTCGGTAAAGTCACGTTATTTTTATTGTTTTATATATATTTTATTATTTTGTTGTTTCCCTTCAACGTGACTTTACCGAAAGAACTAAGAATATGAATTACTGCAGTCACGAAAGCTTTAAATCAAAACGTTAGTTTAGTTTAGATAACCGAGCCACGTATCCCAGGGGTATTTTGTGAAGCTAGTAAAACTTGATATCATAATTAAAACTAAATACTTAAATCAAGGTTTATCACAGGAGACGAAGAAACCCAGCTCGCCTTTGTGTGTTTGCTCTGTATTATGGGTGCACTGCAAAGGTGGGTTTTAAACGAATGTTGACATTCATCTAAACTATCTGCTCCTCTCATGTTTATGGGGACATCATTGCGTGACATTGTAGCCACACAGCTAAGGGAACTCCCACCCCAAGCCGTGCATATGTAAGGGAAGCTGAGAGGTGATCATGGCCTCATTACTTTAGACCCGTCGCACGCGGCAAAGCTTACCGGCCCTGTGAACTGAAAGTCGGTGCGGGTTGTCGTCACCAGCTGAGCACAGAGCCACGCTATCCCCGATTGGCTGAGCAAGGCAGCCACTCATGTTTCACACCGGGATTGGCTAACCGCTGGGTAATTTGGCTCGCGGATTTGAATGGGAAAAAGTGGGAGAAGTTGGGAATGGGTAACGGAAATGGGATGATTTGTGAGTGAGGGGAGTGGTGCTATAGATGTCCACGTGATAAGCCAATTAGTTGAGCTATCAATTTGTGGCCAGGTCACTTATGAAAAAGAAACTAATAGCTCGGTGGGCTTTACCTGGTAAGATAAAATATATAGTTTCGTTTTATTTGTATATTGATTTGTTTACCTTTCCTATACTTTGCATTTCTATCATGTGTTTGTATTGCTTGTTGTTGTAACGTTGTGTTTGTATTGCTTGTTGTTGTAACGTTGTGTTTGTATTGATTGTTGTTGTAACGTTGTGTTTGTATTGCTTGTTGTTGTAACATTGTGTTTGTATTGTTGTTGTTGTAACGTTGTGTTTGTATTGATTGTTGTTGTAACGTTGTGTTTGTATTGCTTGTTGTTGTAACGTTGTGTTTGTATTGATTGTTGTTGTAACGTTGTGTTTGTATTGATTGTTGTTGTAACGTTGTGTTTGTATTGATTGTTGTTGTAACGTTGTGTTTGTATTGCTTGTTGTTGTAACATTGTGTTTGTATTGTTGTTGTTGTAACGTTGTGTTTGTATTGATTGTTGTTGATGTTGTAACGTTGTGTTTGTATTGCTTGTTGTTGTTGTTGTAACGTTGTGTTTGTATTGCTTGTTGTTGTAAAGTTGTGTTTGTATTGTTGTTGTTGTAACGTTGTGTTTGTATTGTTGTTGTTGTAACGTTGTGTTTGTATTGATTGTTGTTGATGTTGTAACGTTGTGTTTGTATTGCTTGTTGTTGTTGTTGTAACGTTGTGTTTGTATTGCTTGTTGTTGTAACGTTGTGTTTGTATTGTTGTTGTTGTTGTTGTAACGTTGTGTTTGTATTGTTGTTGTAACGTTATGTTTGTATTGTTGTTGTAACGTTATGTTTGTATTGATTGTTTTTGTAACGTTGTGTTTGTATTGCTTGTTGTTGTAACGTTGTGTTTGTATTGATTGTTGTTTTAACGTTGTGTTTGTATTGATTGCTGTTGTAACGTTGTGTTTGTATTGCTTGTTGTTTTAACGTTGTGTTTGTATTGATTGTTGTTGTAACGTTGTGTTTGTATTGATTGATGTTGTAACGTTGTGTTTGTATTGATTGTTGTTTTAACGTTGTGTTTGTATTGTTGTTGTTGTAACGTTGTGTTTGTATTGATTGTTGTTGATGTTGTAACGTTGTGTTTGTATTGCTTGTTGTTGTTGTTGTAACGTTGTGTTTGTATTGCTTGTTGTTGTAAAGTTGTGTTTGTATTGTTGTTGTTGTTGTAACGTTGTGTTTGTATTGTTGTTGTTGTAACGTTGTGTTTGTATTGATTGTTGTTGATGTTGTAACGTTGTGTTTGTATTGCTTGTTGTTGTTGTTGTAACGTTGTGTTTGTATTGATTGTTGTTGTAACGTTGTGTTTGTATTGATTGTTGTTGTAACGTTGTGTTTGTATTGCTTGTTGTTGTAACATTGTGTTTGTATTGTTGTTGTTGTAACGTTGTGTTTGTATTGATTGTTGTTGATGTTGTAACGTTGTGTTTGTATTGCTTGTTGTTGTTGTTGTTGTAACGTTGTGTTTGTATTGCTTGTTGTTGTAAAGTTGTGTTTGTATTGTTGTTGTTGTTGTAACGTTGTGTTTGTATTGTTGTTGTTGTAACGTTGTGTTTGTATTGATTGTTGTTGATGTTGTAACGTTGTGTTTGTATTGCTTGTTGTTGTTGTTGTAACGTTGTGTTTGTATTGCTTGTTGTTGTAACGTTGTGTTTGTATTGTTGTTGTTGTTGTTGTAACGTTGTGTTTGTATTGTTGTTGTAACGTTATGTTTGTATTGATTGTTTTTGTAACGTTGTGTTTGTATTGCTTGTTGTTGTAACGTTGTGTTTGTATTGATTGTTGTTTTAACGTTGTGTTTGTATTGATTGCTGTTGTAACGTTGTGTTTGTATTGCTTGTTGTTTTAACGTTGTGTTTGTATTGATTGTTGTTGTAACGTTGTGTTTGTATTGATTGATGTTGTAACGTTGTGTTTGTATTGATTGTTGTTTTAACGTTGTGTTTGTATTGATTGCTGTTGTAACGTTGTGTTTGTATTGATTGTTGTTTTAACATTGTGTTTGTATTGATTGCTGTTGTAACGTTGTGTTTGTATTGCTTGTTGTTTTAACGTTGTGTTTGTATTGATTGCTGTTGTAACGTTGTGTTTGTATTGCTTGTTGTTTTAACGGTGTGTTTGTATTGATTGTTGTTATTGTAACGTTGTGTTTGTATTGATTGTTGTTGTTGTAACGTTGTGTTTGTATTGATTGTTGTTGTTGTAACGTTGTGTTTGTATTGATTGTTGTTGTTGTAAAGTTGTGTTTGTATTGATTGTTGTTGTTGTAACGTTGTGTTTGTATTGATTGTTGTTGTAACGTGTTTGTATTGCTGTTGTAACGTTGTGTTTGTATTGTTGTTGTAACGTTGCGTTTGTATTGCTTGTTGTTGTTGTAACGTTGTGTTTGTATTGCTTGTTGTTGTAACGTTGTGTTTGTATTGCCTGTTGTTGTTGTAACGTTGTGTTTGTATTGCTTGTTGTAACTTTCTGACCCCGTGCCCCCTACTGGACATCTGTGAATAAAGAGCTCTGTAGCTCATCGGATTCCCCCTGCAACCTAAATAAATAAATGCTCTGATGCTAAGGGACTGATGGTTGTCACGCCCTTTGAAAAATAACGCTCGCACTGTCCCCCCCCCCCCCCCCCCCCACTTTCTACATGCACGCGCCGTGCTCCCCCCCCCCCCCCCCCCCCCCCCCTCGTGCGTGCAGTTCCGCCGAGCCTGGACAACGCGGGCGGCACGGAGGAGCTGACGGTGGTGCGCGGCACGGCTGTGTCGGTGTCGTGCGAGGCGAGCGGCAGCCCCCCGCCGGCCGTCACGTGGCTCAAGGACGGCGAGCCGCTCTCGCTCGGCCCGCACGTCCGCCCGTCCGCGCAGGTGACGTCCGCCCCGCTGTCGCCGCGTAAACATTAGAATCTGACGTGACCATCAAAAGGTCCCCTAAATGTAACTGCTCGACCCAATCTTTAAGTGCTCTGATACTTGCATTGTCTTTGTGCTGTTCACCTTTCTCTGGTCTTACACTGGTGAGGCTAGGCCATAAAGAAGGCTATCTCTGCTGTAGACCAATCGGTGTCAAGGACAATGCCCATATAATGTCAGAGCATATTTGTTTGCATGTTTTGCCACAAGTACTGTGTGTGGTTAATGCAGACTTGATGGTGTTTGAACATCTTAACACCTGTTTTATTTCCAGGAAGGGTAAAACCTATTCTTATTTTTCATCATTTTGGATACTACCAAAAAGGTCCCATAGATATAACCATCTAGTACAACTTTATTAACTATGACTAAGGTGTTCATCACATAGGTATATATATATACCTTTATATTTTTCTATCTAAAATAATTTATTATAAGCTAAAAATAGCATTATTCATGTAAATACATTATACTCTTGGCACTTCCAGCTCCCTTGTGGGCGCACATTGATGCCATCACACCCCCCTGGGTTCTCTGCACTTGTAGGTGCACAGTGATGACATCACATTACTCTAGTTGAGGACCAGAAACAGGAAATCTTCACAATTCTGGCAATCGCCTGATGCTGCTGCTTGAAGTCACCAGCGAGACATCGTACTCGAATTGTAAATGGTGTGGCGTTGATCTCCAACACATCGGTTGTGCTGAAGCAGTAATAAAATGGCATGTTCACGTGACAACTTTATTAATTGACTGTGTCGGCTGGATGAGGGTTTACGACAAAAATTTTGCTTACGTGATCTGACTGAAAATGTATTATGAATCACGGTTCTCATCTTTCATAGAAAGTGTTAGAATGTGTTCATAAATATCCCTTGTTTAGTCGGATAGGATGTTCTGTCAAACAATACATTAGCAGCTAAAACACTTGACTAATAATACACACAAAGGGCTATTCTAGACAGCGAATGGCACGATAATGGCCATTGGATCGGTACTCCCATGATGCCTTTCATGTCACATAACATGTTGTTATCAAACACTTATTAACGTCGGCACGACATACGATGGAATAGTGGAGCCAGCACCACATCCTGTTAATATTGTCTCCCCCGTTATTGATGTTAATATCGCTCATGTGCTGTGCTGGCTTTCATAGGTGCTACTCGCTAACAACAGCACTTGCTCCAATAGTCCGTTAAGGCAATACGGAGGGGGGGTCTTTGTCTTTGCTTCCGCCACACAGGGCATGATCATAACGTTCAGCAAGGCCCGGCTGGAGGACACGGGCCGCTACACGTGTGTCGTGAGCAACCAAGCGGGAGAGCTCAGCAAGCACTTCAACCTCAAAGTCCTCGGTGGGCAATTGCCGCCAATCACAACAACCCACACCTGCACGCCTGTTTCCCATGTGTGATCTTACGGCGTTTGAGGCCAAAATCATGAGTGTGTTTCATTATTGATTTTCGGGTCAGATTGCCACCCGACTCGACCAAATAAATTAATGTCGGATGGAGAGGGCGGTGTACGACGCACGTTGGCATTTTACTCACGCGATCTGACCCAAACATCTATTATGAATCGTAGCATCGGTCGCGAAAGCCTACGTGTTGAATCGGCACGTCTTGCAAGTGTGTGTATGTGTCTTCCTGTATTTTTTTTTCCTGGCACTGGTTTCAGGACCACGAACAGCGATGACCAAAGCCCCAGGCTCGTTTGAGAAGTGAGATACGTGACCCACGGCTTAGATTCCTTTTTCCAGGAGGGCCTGGTTTTATTATGGTGACCGATTTGACCTTACCACTGTGGCACTAATAGTGGTGCACTGAATATTTGCATGAACTTCAAATTCAGCCAAATTTCTAGCGGTTTTTTTTGGTATTTGTATTCAGCTGAATTGTAGCAGGATAAACATGGGAAGCCAAATATTTTGAACACTGGACCGCTGTAGTCACGTGACCAAAATGGATGGTTTGTGGTGTTCCCCCAACACAAGCATGTGGTAAGGGTGAGAGATATAGTGGAAAAATACAGGTGAGACAAAAAGACAAAGACAGAGTGGGGTAAAAGAGAGACAGACAGAGAGATACAGATACAGAGGGAAACAGCCACAGAGGCAGAGAGACAGAGGGATTTCAGTGAGACATGGACAGAGGGAAATAGTCAGAGAAAGGGACAGATATAGAAGAAAGGAGACAGAGTGGTACACAGGGGTGGAGGCGACAGAGATACAGAGACTGGGAGACAGGGAAAACGTTCGAGCTTCTTCAAAAAAACATGTGTACAAAACAAATTACAATTCGACTTCAAATTCAACTTGAGCAGATTAACCCGATTGGGCCTCACGTTTCCAGCCACGCAGCGCAGACTTCCGCCTGGTGCAGCCGGAGCCGCGTCGTTAACGGCGACGACGCATTCCCTTCCGCCGCAGACCCGCCGCGCATCTTGGGCGAGGGCGAGGGCCCCCGGGAGCACTCGGTGGTGGCGGGCAAGTCTCTGGAACTGGAGTGCGTGGCGCAGGGGGTGCCGCCCCCCAAGCTCACGTGGCTGCGGGACGGGCGGCCCCTGCCCGCGGGCGACGGCGTTCGCGTGCTGCGGGGAGGACAGGTGCTGCGCATCGCGAGCGCGCAGGTGAGCGGCTCGGTGTAGGAGCAGTGGCGTAGCTACGGAGTGTGCAGGAGGTGGCGCGACTTTCACCAGGGCCCACGGAAAAAAACACCGGAAGGCAGCAGCAACGGAGGCCAGGGACGTGGAGGTGATGCCCGGCAAGGGGCCAGGAGGCGGGCACCATGACCAGGCCGCCAACAGTCGAGGGGGAAAACGGCAAAAGAAAACTCGGTGGAAAATACAGCGAGAATGGAATCATATGCACGAAAAGGGAGATAAGGAAATCGATTAGAGGGAAGGAGACTTTGGCAGTGGCAACATTTATCGCACAGCTGCCGCAACCCAAGCAGAGAAGGTGGCAGTTGAGATGCAGACACAGCCAAACTGCAGCATTGCTGCCCATCCCATGATGTGTCTCGACATCCCACGCAGTGGAATACATTTTATTAACCCCGTAGGCATAGGGGGGGGGGGATAACCCTTACTTGTATTTTACCGTATATCCTTACAATTGAGATACAAACACCCTGACTGCAATGCTAACCAACTGGATGATATGTGTGTGTAGATGTTTAGATCGGCAGTACACCTGTTAGCACGCTGCGCTACGAACCAAGCCACTCGAGTTTGATTCCCGCTCACGGTCGGAACCAGTGACGATTATCTGACCGGTCCTGGGGCTCCCCTAGGTCAACTGAGTACCTAGTGCGGTGTGTAAACATTTCCACAAGGAAGACAAAGGCGGCCGGGCGTGGTGCTGGCCGCCCACCCCGTGCTGGCCTTCATAGGTGCTTGGTAACAGCATTTGTCCCTACGTGCTGTTAAGGCTATGCAGGGAATCTTTGTCTTTTTTATATATAGAAAGGGTGAGGAGCACAGGTGGTGCATCTGTCAGTCATCTCAGGCAGTTAACCTATAACACCTGGATCTGTCCCGTGGCCTCCTGTCAGCGAGCCCCTACGCTTCACGTGACCTCAAAGTTCACTTACCCTGGTGACATCACCACTGAGTAAGAAATGGCGACTGTTGTCGTGGGAATATGGAGAGTGCATCCACAATTAGATATTTTTTTCATCTGATCATGATACTGATGATAATGAATAATAGTTTAATTATTTATGCAGAAGAGCTAGACTGAGTCATATGACTTTTTTCAGGAGGATCTCTAAGGCGCCTTGAGACATTTGTGAAAGGCGCCTTACAAATAAATGTTAATTATTATAAAACCCCATACAGATGGAAGCAGATGACGATTAGTCCACTTGCTGTACTGCCTTCTCCTGGCGAGCCAGGGTATGGTGGCCACGGGAAGGGAGTTTCACAACCAACCCTCGCTGCCTCCAGTGTGAATTACAGGCCACGTGCATAGCCACCACCTCCCGCCTTGCTCGTGATGACTGTACACCAAGGGTGGCCATTCTGTAACAGACCCAGAGCCAAAAAAATACCCATTAGTTCTACAAAGAGCCAAGTGTCTATATAAGTAAAACTTTTATTTAAAGTTTTCGGCACAGCATGGAAGACATTAATTATTCTTTGCTACTGCAATACTACTTCTTACGTTATGCCCCTTCGATAGAACCGCATGTGGTGGATTAAAGAGCCGCATGCGGCCCTTGAGATGCCAGTTGGCCACCGCTGCTGTACACCACACAGTGCGGTAACATGGGGCGTGTGCACGTGTGTGTGACTGCGGGCTTGTGCAGGTTGAGGACACGGGCAGGTACACCTGCCTGGCGTCCAGCGCGGCAGGGGACGATGACCGAGAGTACCTGGTCAGGGTGCACGGTTAGTATCTCACTCATACACGCATTTATTTGTCCACATTTGTGTTTAATCGGTTGTTTAACATTTCCCCGTGTGTCTTTTGTTTTTGTGCACACGGGAATTTGTGTGGTTACCATTGTACAGAAAGTGGCGGCAATAGTGCACCTTTTTGCCAGTATACGCGATTTGGTGTTTGAACATCTTCGCACCTATTTTATTGTCAGAAAGGGTAAAATCTATTCTTATTATTTCATCATCTTGGATTCTGCAAAAGGTCCCATAGATATAACTGCTCGACCTGAGCTATAAGTGTTCGGATAGTTGCATTACCTTTGTACTAAACCTTGTCTTAAAGCTTCCGTGACTGCAGGAATTGATATTCTTTGGGTCTTTCGGTAAAGTCACGTAGATTGGTTCAAAGAAAATAACAAAAAACTACGACGTTTCGATCGCAACACAAGCGGTCGTCTTCAGGAGTCTAGAACGTCGTAGGTTTTTGTTATTTTCTTTGAACCTATCTACGTGACTTTACCGAAAGACCCAAAGAATATTTCGTACTGTTCGCCTTTCGGCATTTTCTGCTCTACCACTGATGAGACAGCCAATCAGTTTTAAAGACAATGCATATTAATTATCAGAGCATGTCTGTTTGCATGTTCACCACAAGTATGTGTGGTTAATGCAGACTTGATGCCTTCCAAAATTGATATATTTGTTGTTTGAACATCTGAAGACCTGTTTTATTTCCAGAAAAGGTAAAATGTATTCTTAATAGTGCATCTGCCAACCTAGTTTGACCTGGATTCAATTCCGAATCGTGGCTAACAAGTGGAAAGCAGTGTTTAAACCAGGCTTCGGCCTTCCTTAGGTTGACTAAGACTTAAGCGAGTACTCCGGTAAGATGTTTGAACATTAGACGTGGGGAGACAAAGGTCGCCGGTCGTGGTATTGGCCACAGTACCCCCCGGTGAGCCTCGTCTGCCTTAATAGGTACTCGCTAATCCAACTGGTACCCATTCACTCAGCCCTGAGCCTCGTTGAATAGAGTTCCTTTCCTACTATCACCCAGCTATGTCTGCATGAGGTCACAAAATGTGCTGCTGTCTCCTTACAGGTGGACGCTGAATAGCCCAGTATGCGCTTGTTGTAGGTTTGGATATATATGTACTTTACATATGTAATTTGGAAATTACTTGAAAAATAACAATTTTAAACGTTCCTTTGTGAAAATGTGTTCATCCAAAAGGCATCATCACGAATCTCAATGTCTCCTCACCAAGTTCCATTAAGGCTGTTTCATCAGTAAAAGGAATAGAATTCTCTCAGTAAAGCAGACTGCCATGCATACCCATAGATATATTTTATGTTCATTCCAAAGCCATCCCTTTGCTGAAATGAGCATGGGGTGATTTCCCCCCCTCCCCCCTTCCCCCCGAGTGGCAGGCCTTGAGCCAGGGTTGAAAGTTCCACAGTTGACTTCTCACAAACTGGAACTATTTGTATCGACCCCCAGAAGGATGATGGGCCAAGTTGATCCCCAACCAGAATTTTAACATGTTGGATGCTCTTGCCATACTTTCAAGCATCTTGAAAGTATGGCACGTGTGTCACCCCTTGAGTAGCAAGGGGTGGCACACGTAGAGTGAGCATCTCCCGTCTACTGTGCCACACCCAAAGAGAATTCATGCCCTCCTACCTTCTCTCTTCTCTACCTCCTCTCCCCTCTTCCTCCTCCGCCTCTTCCTTCTCTTTCTCCTCTACCTGCTCGTACAGTTCCACCGAACATCGCCGGCGCCGGCGGCCCCCAGGACCTCACGGTGCTGCTCAACGGGCAGCTGACCCTCGAGTGCAAGTCGGACGCCGTACCGCCCCCCACGCTCAGCTGGCTCAAGGACGGCAATCCCCTGCAGGTACCGCGGCGCCAGCGCAGGAGTGCGCGCGAGGACGTACAGGAGGGTTTACTAAAACGAGAGGGGCAGCCGTTCGGTCCGCCCGGCTCGTTCAGTCGCGAGTAGCGGATCGATTCTAGAATCTCGTCGTTCTTGGTCCTGGGTCGTGAACTTCTCTACACGCAGGGCCCACCGATGCCCTCCGGTTCTCCTCCCCTGGCCATGGACCATGGATACGTTGTGTAACGTCTTACGACACGCGCTTGTCCTCAGAAGTCTACAGTAGCGGGATGGAAGCCGCAAGGGGAAGCCATGCGGGCGCAATGCGTTTGCGTGTTTGCATTGCTCTGGGTCGAGGCTCTGAGGTTTGGGAAATGCTTGGATCAATTTTGGCCGGTTTTCAATCAGGTTAAGTCCCAAATAGTAACACAACTTTAATCTGTAGGTTAATTATTAATGATAGATCATCTTCAAAGGGGGGGGCCTGCTATCAGCATAAATAATTTCGACTTTGGTGGGAAATCGCTAATAATGGCACCATTGCCCAAATCACATTGGTTGGAAAACTCCGTGCTTGGATGGAACATGCCATTACTGCAGGTTACACCCTCAAGATGATGAAATGGAATATACCACTAATTCAGAATGAATCGAATATTTGACATGTTCAGGTAACATCTCTGTGGCCAAAATATAATTTACAATTACTGTGGCTAACATCTCAGTAACAAAATGTAATATGTTGTGCTGATACTTCAGATTAAGTCCACCGTGATTGAATAAAATATGTTGGTAATGAAGGTTTTACCACTAAGATGATTGGAATATGTCACAACTATAGGTTCTACCTTTGTTGTTAAAGGGAGAATTTAAAAAACTAGACGTGAGTGAAATTTATGAAACAACAGACTACACCCCCTTTGCTTGACTAGAATGTGCCGCAAGTGCAAATTGAGGTTGAATTTTTTTAAATATCACAGCTAAACCTTACATCCCGCCCCCGCAGGGTTGAATGGAGCATGCCGATACTCTCCATTACACCCAATGAGCCTTAATGGAATATTCCACAATGCCAGGTTCCCACCACATTTGGGTGAAAACCGACCGTGGCCGTCCGGCGTTCACCGAGCTGCATTGGCTTCCAGTTGCCGAACGAATACGTTATATGAGGTCGCACTCGGTACCCACAAAGTGCTTGTCACAAATGAACCACCGTACCTTGCCGATCTCGTCTACGAGCATAAACCATCACGCATACTCCCGTCATCCTCGCAACGGATTTTGGCTAGCCATCGAACAAAGAAGTTACCGCATCGCGTGCTTTCAGATACGCTTTTGCGGCCGTCTGGAACGTTCTTCCTTTCGATATTAGGAAGCCACTGGAGCTATGCACTTTTAAATCTCGATTTAAAACTCATTTGTTTATAACTGCTCTTTGTGTGTAGTTTGTTGTCCTTCCCCACACCTCCAATGTGTACGGTGCGAAAGACGTTCAACATACATGCCGCAAGAACGTTCCACGTTACACACCCCCAATGTGAAATGGAACGTGCCACACTACTCCGCGTTGACCCCCCACTCCCCTTTATTGCAGGGCATGCACCAGGAAGTCCAGCTTACACCCCAGTCGACGAGTGGAACATTCCGATACTCCCTGTCCCCGACTCCCCCCCACCCCGTAGGTTGAATGGCGCGCTCCGTTCGTGTGTTTTGTTTTTCTCCCCGCAGGGCTCGGCGCGCCTGCGACTGCTCTCCGCCAGCCGCTACCTGCAGATCAACAACGCGGAGCCGGGCGACGCGGCGCGCTACACCTGCGTGGCGAGCAACGTCGCCGGCAACACCCAGCGCCAGTTCAACGTGGCCGTGCACGGTGGGGCTCGGTGCTGGACATCTGCGGGAAAAAAGAGCTTTATAGCGCATCGGATTCCTCCAGCGTAAACAAATATTCCGGACTGTCACGGGATTATCGTTGTCGCCAGGTCATCGCCGACTTTGGCACCATGTCACTGCTACGGCCATGTCCGGATGGATGATGAATGGCCTGCAGTCCCCACTCTCTCTCTTCGCCTTGTCCAAACAAGCTGTCGCCCCACTCTGTTATAAAGTAATACCCCGGTTTACGTCGGGGAATGCGTTCCTGTGAAGGTGCAACGACGAATATCGGCAGCGGTAGTGCAACGGTTAGCTCGCTGCGCTATGAACCCGACGACCCAAGTTCCATTCCCCGCTCAGGGCCAACACCAGTGACGATCCTCTTAACCGGTTCTGGGCGTCCCCTAGGCCGACTCAGCCTCAGTTGAGTACTTAGCACGGTGTGTAAACATCGCAACTAGGGAGAGAAAGGCAGCCCGGCATGGTGCTGGCACTCGACCCAACAGTCTGTTAAGGGGGATCTTTGTCTTCGTGCGTTGCCTCGTGTGCCGCTCGCAGTGGTGCCGAGCATCCGGGAGGGGCCGGGCGCGGTGACGGTGCTGGCGGAGAGCGACGCGCTGCTCGAGTGCGTCGCGAGCGGAACGCCGGCGCCACGCGTCACCTGGAGGAAGGACGGAGCCGTGCTGTCCCCGGGCAACTCCAGGTGAGCGCCCAGTAAACACACACACGCCAACGTTGGGCCAACGTTCGACCACCAATCCGGTGTGCGTTCGGCTCGTGAGAGCCGTTAGGGCTGACATGCCGACTTCATTGACCTCCGCTGGGCACCACGTCAATTACATACGCATATAACTGGGTGCGTTAAAAGTCAATGCTTCTTCTCACATGACCAATGGAGCTACACTCAGCTCCACTAGTGGCTATGAGCCGGGGCGTAATTCCACATTTCCATGACGTCACCGGTGCCACTCCACGACCACAACTTTTTTTAAAATATATTTTATTTTTATTGATCCCGTTTTTTTATAGTCACAACAGAGGACGAGCGTCCATGTAGGACGGCTTGAAATATCCGTAGAAAGATCGCGCCCTCTCTTCACTTCCCATAAAATATTGTTCCGCGTTGCCTTGTATCGATCCGGGTTAAATAAAAATGGACTGAGTCGACCCCCGACTGCGATCGAGGGCTGCAGGCCTCCCTTCCCATTGCCAGTGAGTCGCTCTCCACGGCGGCGCTTCTTGGCCGGTTTGTGTCCTCTCGCCGACATCTCTCCCGTGGCCTGACGGTATCCGAGCCCTAGCTCTGCCCGCGTCGATGCCACCGCCACCGCCGCCGCCACCGCCGTGCGCGCGTGTGTAGGTACGTGTTCCTGGAGGATGGCTCCCTGCGCGTCCTGGCGAGCAAGGTCTCGGACACGGGACGCTACCTGTGCCTCGCCACCAGCCCGGCTGGCTCCGAGAGGCGGCGCGTGGACCTGCAGGTTCACTGTGAGTGCTACCACCGGGCCCTTCTGCGCCCTCGCCATCGCGGTGGCTGTGAGATGTTAACTACCTCGCCTGGTGTGCAGGAGGTTGTGGGTTCGATCCCGACCTTGACGCCTGTATGTTTGGAGTTTGCGTGTCTCTCTTCCCGTGGTCGCGTGGATTTTTCTTCTGGTCCTCCGGTTTTTCCCTCCACATTTAGAATCAACGTGTGTTTAGAATTTTTGGCTGCTATACATTTTCACGTGAAAAGCCACTTCGTTGAGCAATCATTTGTGGCCAGGTCGCTTCTGAAAAAGAGCTCTCTATAGCTCAGTGGGCCTTATCTGGTAAAATAAAAAGTTGTTTAGTTTAGTCTCCTTGCCGTGTCACCAACGCAAACCGTGGCTACTACCCTGGTTACTGTTCCTGTGAAGTTCACTTATTGCTTGGATCATCTACTCTTAACTGTATTTGTAACTTAACTGAAATTCCACGATGATCGGTAATAACAATAATCTGATGAGCCGACTTACTTTACAAGAAATGTATTATTCAACATTGATTTATGTTTGTGCAATACTTCTCATGTGGGCACAGTTGTTTTCGCTCTAATTTCTGCTTGCTTCATTCTTGAAAATGAGACCTATCCTGGTCTCTTGAGTTCTCAACTGGGTAAAGAAATAAACTTGAACTTCAAATCTGCCCATAATTACCTTGATGTACCAAGTATGTATCAATAATCATCATCATCTTTCTAAAATAACATTTTTCCACCAGCTCTTTTCCAATTCATGAGCTCATTCTACTCTTTCTCAAGACCCATCAGCTCTCACCTTCACCACATCACTCACCATCACCTACCAAGCCATCTAATCGTTTCTCCAAGTCCTCACTGGACCATCTTATTGTTTGATATGATGGATTTTCCAGCCAATATCACGATTCAGAGGGCATGTAAATTAACTTGCCAAATTTTCGTTGTAGACGTCCATTACCCGACATAGCCAACCAATAAAATTGTCACGCTGCGTACAAGCATTGAATGCGTGCCAATTATTATTCTTTCAGCTCACCTGTAAGTTGAAGAACATTTCTCACAACCAGTGGTGGAATGGTCGCTGGACGATCCCATGACGATTATCACCCTCTCGCTCTGTCTCATCGTCGGCCCTCGGGAACCGATACCACCACGCTTGCTGGGCCACACGACCAGGGAAACCGGGGCCTTGCCTCCGTGCATACGCTCCGCCGGTGTGAATTTCTCATTGCCTTTGTCCTGCAGTGCGGCCGTCCATCGCGGCCGGCCCCACCAACGTCACGGTGGTGGTGAACGTGCAGACGACGCTCGCGTGCGAGGCCTCGGGCATCCCCAAGCCCGAGGTCACGTGGCTCAAGAACGGGCGGCCCCTCAACACGGACTCCAACCAGAACATGTACAGGTGAGGGCGCCGAACCTTAAAGGGGGGGCTGCATTCTCGACAATGAGCGGTGACGGATGGGAAACCCAATAGCTCACCACAAACATCCTTTAATGGGTCAGAGTCAAATGTTGAAGCGTGGACAGTGTTCATCTCCTCTTGGGAGTGTTGAGCCAGTGGTTAAAAGTCCGAATGAATATGGCAGGGACTCGTCGGTGAATCTCTGTTAAATTCCCAACAAAGTAGTTGTCGTCTTATTGGAACTGGAGGGATGATGTATGTATGTACGTTGAACTTCTTTCACACCGTACTTAGCCAACCGAGCTAATTGAAGGTGCGTGGAAGGACAACAAACTAAACACATCTTCTTTGGTTCTTTCGGTAAAGTCATGTAGAATGAGAATAAAATAATAAATTGATAAAATAAAATAACACAATAATATTCTCACGACGTTTCGGCCACAACACAAGCGGCCTTCATCAGGTGAAGGGACGAGACTGTCTGGTAGGACAGCGCTGGAGTGTCCTACCAGACAGTCTCGTCCCTTCACCTGATGAAGGCCGCTTGTGTTGTGGCCGAAACGTCGTGATTTTTGTTGTTTTATTTTTTACCTACGTGACTTTACCGAATAGAACCAAAGAGTATAAACGAAACACATAAAGCAGTGATGATGATGATGATGGACTGAGCCACCCCTGACCAGGATTTAAACTCAGATCCTTCCAACTGTGTTATTTCCACACAACACACGTTGGTGCCAAACTGAGGCATATTACGGAGTCTTGGCATTCGACAATAATACCCAATATTGTAAAAAAAAAGGAAAAAATTGGCAACTAATTACGAACGTGAAGCATTGTAGGCGAACCGTCCCGAGCAAGCCCACAGCAACCCCGCTGTGCTTAAATGCCGTTGAACGTGGCGCGTCTGCGGGGAGCACAGGGTGCTGTCGTCAGGCTCCCTGGTGATCATCTCGCCGTCCGTGGAGGACACGGGCCGCTACCGCTGCTCGGCTCAGAACGAGGCCGGAGCCGACGAGAGGGAGATGGACCTGACGGTGCAGGGTGAGCCATATCTCCGGGACCTTCTGCTTTTTTGTTGTCCAGTAACAAGACGATAAAAAAAAGAAGAAGAGGCTTTGCCCAATCTGGCAATTAAACAGGACGCTAAGATGTTCAACTGCCAAATAAATACCCATCACTAGATGTTTGGTGTTTGAACATCCTAACACCTGTTTTATTGCCAGAAAGGATCAAGCCAATTCTTATTTTTTTCAGAGTGAGCTATGCCTGCAAACCCCAGCAGATGTTAATTTATTGTTGATTTAATTGCCGGGGAATCGAGTTGAGTCAAGGTCGGCGTCTCGGAGAGCTTTACTGCTGAGCGAGTCTGTGCCGAAATGATTGTTTTTTATCCCAGAGGCAAGCGGCACGATGCGCACGTTGCGCTACGGCCCGTTTACACGAGCACGACAATAATAGATTAATAAATGCTGATGATGATGACAAAGATGACAGTGGTTATAATGATGATCATGGTCATGATGAATGATAAACGGTGATGATATTGAACTGAGATTGACCTCCAACATAGACGACGACCTCTGGACTGAGATTCGAACTTCACGACCGTCGCACCGGTTGTGTGTTGGCGCACTTGCGAGCCGGTCGCCCCGTCGTGCCCACGCGCAGTCGCGTTTACGCCACCCCCCCCCCCCAACACCCCACCGTGTGCCACCCAGTGCCGCCCTCCATCGCGGACGAGGCCGCCGAGCTCGTGGTGACCAAGCTGTCGCCGGCGCTGCTCACGTGCCACGCGTCCGGCGTCCCCGAGCCCACGCTGCACTGGAGCAAGGACGGCGTGCGGCTGCCGCTGCGCGGGGAGGGCTACAGCGTTCTGCCGACCGGTGGGTGAGCCGGCGTCAGGGACAGCCGCACGCACAACTTAACAGCAACGACGACGACAACGACTCACGACGACAACCGCCATTAGCCACTAAACGGCGGCGACGTCACCACGGCGCCTGTGCCAGGCCAGGTGCACTTTGAGGCCACGTCAAGTGCCGAAGGCCTGCTGGCAGGAGGTCACGAGACAACCCCCCGGTGTCATGGGTTGAGTGACTGAGATGACTGGCAGATGCAACCAAGCAAGCCCAGCAGTCTATAACACAACTCAACACGTTCGTCAATAGCACACTGTGGCCTTCAGATAAAATATCTGAATATATAACACGTTATGTTTTGGGCAATGGGCCTTTTTCATTGCATGCAAAAATATAGATGCCAGATAAATAATGTTAACGATGTTTGTAGTGTTTTTGATTACCAGTTTTTTTTTAATACAGATGTAAATAGTTACACTGTAAGTATCTATTTGATAACATTCACTCTTCTGTCGCTGTTAAATGAACTAAATTGTATTAAACGTAAACTGATAAAATATTGCTGGCACATTGCAATGTGGGTAGATTTGTCTTTGTGAGCACAAGGCACAATCTACCTATCAATGCATTATTAACGCCGTCACTCTGGCCTCTCCATTTTCGCTATGAAGGACCATTGCCCGAAACGTCACCTATTTTATATTTTACTCTTTTAAGGCCACACACAATCATATTGACAAATATGCTGGGATTTTGTTTTGTTCATCGTGCTTGTGCACCACTGCCAACGCATCAACATCACACAAATAATCAGCAGTATATACTCTAAGTCGGTGTCTCTCAACTCCAGTCCTTGCAGTATATCACGGTAAAGCTACCCATCATTACCACCCATCTTCTTCCAGCGTACGGCAAGTCGGTCTAAACTACACGTATGTGAGCCATATGATGATAGCTCCAGGAAGTAGTGCGACCGGCGGACGTGGATTGATGCAGTTGTTGGCGATACGGTCCATTGTGTGGTTCGGGTGGCCGCAGTCATTACACCGCGGGTCATCTAAAGTTCATGGAAGATGTGTGCGCAAAGACCGGTCGCCGTTCTGAAGCGGCTGAGGGAGCAGCACAGGTTTCTTGGCAAAACAAAGCCGTGCGGAGCAGTGGTGGGGGCGGCCATCCATCATGCGCATGCAGCGTGCAGTGCCTCAGTTGTTGGCACGTGAATGGAAGAGATTGGTAGCTTAAAAAAACGGTGAACCGTGGGGCAGGGGTGTCGCGAGGACTTGAGTTGAGGAACACTACCGGTAGATGGGACATGGTTTGGCCAGCAATGAACGCGTGCACGCACACACGCACATATACGCATACAGGCATGTACAGGTACAGATCTTTTGTCAATCCACTGCTGGATGAGAGTCTTCCCATGCCATGTCAGTCATGGTCATTCTTTGACCGATGCATATGGAGCAGCACGCTAACCATTGTACCTCCGATCCAACCCCCCCCCAAAAAAATACGTGCAATATAATTTCTAAATGCAGTTTCTCTTTTAGATCGTGAGATGGATGATACTCACCACAGTGCCACTCATTCATTCGTAATTTGCCTCTCATCCACACACTGTCCACGTTCGATGCTGCTCAGATTGCGAGACACGATGACCCACATTCCAAGCTTGCCACAGGTGCACGTAGGGCACTCTCCTCCGCACTGCATCGGTCGTTAATCGATGGCGTTGCTGCCCTTGCAGGCACGGTTGAGATCACCGCGGCGCTGTTGCACCACGCCGGCAAGTACGTGTGCCACGTGAGCAACGCAGCCGGCTCCGCCAAGAGGCACGTCAGCCTCGTGGTGCACGGTGAGCATCGCCGGGCTGGGCACGCCGCCCTCACCGTAAACGTTTTAAAAACTACACTCAACTCAACTATTTTTTATTTTACCAGGTAAGGCGCCACTCTGCAATGTAATGTTTTTTTTCAGTAGCGACCTGGTCAAAAGTGATAACTCAGCGAAGTGGCTTATCACGTGGGAATGTGAAGCAGCCAAATGCTCAATGAACACACGTTGATTCTAAATGTGGAGGGAAAAACCGGAGGAGCCAGATAAAATTCCACGCGACCACGGGGAGAGAAATGCATTGTCCTTGAAACTGATTGGTCCACACCAGAGCGGCTTTCTTTTGAGCCTGGTCTGAATTGGTGCTAGACCAGATGACGCCAAAAGGCGTACAGCTCAAAGACAATGCAATAACAAAGTAATGAGGGCTCGGGGTAAGCATCTACATCATTAGACCTCCTTTGCCAGTACAGTGAAACCTTGGATTGCGAGCATAATTTGTTCCGGAAACGTGGTCGTAATCCAAAGCACTCGTATATCAAAGCGAATTTCCCCATAAGAAATAATGGAAACTCAGATGATTCGTTCCACAACCCAAAAATACTGTATTCATATAAAAATGATTAATACAAAATTCCTTTTTATATGTTTATTATTTAAATTTAATATAAAGTAATCAAATTTATTAATTACATTTAATCGTGGCTGGTGCGAGGGAGACGAGAGAGAGGAGAGGAGGAGGAGGGTTATTGTGTAGGACGACTTTCAATTGCAGTACAGTTACTAAAGAACAGTCACTACACTTGGACACAAAATAAAAAAAATGCTTTACGCGCACACACGTGGCCACAACACTATAGTACTGTAGTAAACAGTATACACGTGGTAACAACACTATAGTACTGTAGTAAACAGTATACACGTGGTCACAACACTATACTGTAGTAAACAGTATACACGTGGTCACAACACTATAGTACTGTAGTAAACAGTATACACGTGGTCACAACACTATACTGCAGTAAACAGTATACACGTGGTCACAACACTATAGTACTATAGTAAACAGTATACACGTGGTCACAACACTATAGTACTATAGTAAACAGTATACACGTGGTCACAACACTATAGTACTATAGTAAACAGTATACGCTCGCACAGATGTTGACTATACGAGTAAGGCACGCCGACTGAGACCGAGCATGGAAGATGATTACCCACAATCCCGCAGCGAGAGAGAGAGAAGAACCATTGGCTCAGTTGTGATCACGTGACACTCGGCAGACAAAGCGTATACTGTACGTACTGCTCGTATTGCAAGACATCACTCGTTTCTCAATTTATTATTTATTTAAAATTTTGCTCGTCTTGCAAAACACTCGCAGACCAAGTTACTCGCAATCCGAGGTTTCACTGTACCAATATAGGGCAAAACCCTATTCTTATATATTGCCGATTGCTGAAGACCTCAGAGGGAGTCACCGTCGAGTTTTTGTTTTCTGTCGTTCAGAGGCTCCGGTCATCAAGGCCCCGCCGTCCCAGATGGAGGTGATTGTCAACTACCCCATCACCCTGCCGTGCGAGGCCAGAGGGACGCCTCAGCCAACCATCACCTGGCAGCGAGAGGGCATCAACGTGATCACGAGCGGTACGGCCGCGCGAGGGATCACCATCATCGACGGGAGCGCTTGTCGGTACCACCTAGGGTAGAATAACTTAAGTGCTTCCAATTTACTTCTATGGCCAATAGCAGTGGGTTATGTCATAAACATTTGAACTGAGTGGGTTATCAAATCATTCTCTTATTCACCGTATATATATATAAAATGCAGTACTGCTAAAGCATTGCTACTTTAGGTGGTACCAATTTTTGGTCTGGACCATGGATTACCGCTTGGTCCAGGTCTGATCCAGACCGGGGCACAATATGGTGGCGCACGCTGGCAATTCGGGGCATTAAGTGCAGGGCTTGTGGATCATGTCGAGATCATTACATGCCTCATGCATGTGACCTCCCGCAGAGCCATGAGGTGGCCTTTGAAAAGCAGTACAGCAAGTAGGACGTGGATGAGCCAACATGGGTTTTCGATTGTCGTCCCCTTTCGTGCCTGCGGGTGTTCCTCGGGCTGTCCAGTTTCCGCTTGCACGCATGGAAGCACCCGACGATGAATTACCCAAGCATCCCAGTGCAGTGCCCTGCTCGCTAGAAAAAAAAAAAAAGGCCTTGAGACTCAGCGAGGCTTTCCTGGCTAAAGGCCATGAACCGTATTTCCATTGTTAAAAACGATTATTATAATTGTTACGGTAAAGTCGGCGCAGCCGTTGACGCCACCCGGCCCGCCGCGGCGCGCGCGTGCCGTTAGGAGAGGGCTTCACGGTGCTGCCCAGCGGAGGGCTGCAGATCGCCCGGGCGGCGGTGGAGGACGGAGGCACCTACATGTGTGTGGCGCAGAACCTGGCCGGCACCGCCTTGGGCAAGGTGAAGCTCCGCGTGCAAGGTGAGAGAGAGAGAGAGAGAGCGTGGCACTGGGTGGCCTCGCGCCACCACCAAACGCCGGAGTCTCCCGCTGACCCTCACCCGCCTCTCCCCACCCCCCCCCCACCCCCCCTCCGATGATAGTAATTGGCTACACAGTCTGGCGTTTGCGCCGTTCTTGCAGCGCAAGGCTGATTGCGATAGGCGCTGCGTTTCACAAACGGGCCATCCTCCGCCGTGATTGCAGTGTTGATGTTTCCAGATTAACGAACTTGCGAGTCGTGGTCGGGACTCGGCAACTTTGACCGTGATGCCAGCACGCGTCATGTGATCTTTAACTTCCACTGTGAAGCAGAGGGATAGCCTGTATATTTGGAGTTTGCGTGTCGCTCTCCCCGTGGTCACGTGGATTATTCTCCGGGTCCTCCGGTTTTTTCCTCCACATATAGAATCAACATTATGCGTTTAGAGTATTTGGCTGCTAAAATGAAATAGTTTAGGTTGGGTATGTGTATTCATTGATTATACACCTGTATTATTGACCAGGGCTGCCGTGGGACTCAAACCATCAACCTCCAAATGTTTCCCCCTCTTTGTCCTTTTTCCCCTATCTTGATTAAAGAATCCCCTTCCCGAAGGATGCATCTTCCTACTCTCTAACAGTGATTGGAGATGCTATCACATTCACACACTACTTAATACTGTACATCAAACTGAATTTAATTCGAAATAACCAATGGTATCGCTGACTCAGTAGCAGAGTTTCCACATTTATATGGAAACATGGCGAGATGTTAACTCCCTCGCCTGGTATGGAGGAGGTCGTGGGTTCGATTCCGACCCAGACACCCTGTTCTATATTTGGAGTTTGCGTGTCACTCTCCCTGTGGTCACGTGTTTTTTTTCTCCGGGTCCTCCGTTTTTTTCCCTCTACATTTAGAATCAACATCACCACGCGTTTAGAGTATTTGGCTGCTGTATATTCCACACGACAAGCCACCTCGTTGAGCTATCATTTGTGACCAGGTCGCTTCTGAGCAAGAGCTGCATAGCCAAGTGGCGCATTACCTGGCACAAATGAAAACCGTTAAAATAGCTACGTGGCAGGTTAACGACGTCAGCCATCACCGCCGCCACCCCCCCCCACCCTCGCAGTGCCGCCCTCCATCCTGCCCCACGCTGCCGAGCTGGTGGTGATGGCCGACCGGACGGTCACGCTGCCCTGCAACGCCGAGGGCTCCCCGACCCCCGTCATCTCCTGGCTCAAGGACGGGCGGCCTTTGGGAGTCGAGGCCCCTTCGTCTCCCGCCACCGCCGCCGCCGCTGCTGCCGGCGGGGAGGGCGGCGCGGCCGTGCGGAGGCGCGTGCTCGCCTCGGGCGCGCTGCAGATCGCCTTCGCGCGTCGCAGCGATGCCGCCCGCTACACCTGCACGGCCGCTAACGCGGCCGGCTCGGCGAGCTCCCACACCAAGCTCGTGGTGCACGGTGAGATGCAGCTCTCGCCGTGCGTCCCCCGGTGGCGAGTGACTGCACGCACCTGTGCACGCTAGTCTATGCCTGTACACGCCTGCACACGCCTGCACATGCCTGCGCAGACCTGTACATGCCTGCGTGGGGAGCGGTAGGCTAGCGGCTTACGGCCAACACCAGGGACGGTTATCTGAACCGGTCCTGGGCCTCCACTTGGTAAGCCGAAATCAGTACCTGGTGCGGTGTGTGAACATCGCCACTGGGGAGAAAAAGACGACCGAGCGCGGTGCTGGCGACCAACCCCGTCGTACCGGCCTTCATAGACGCTACTCGCTAACTGCGCTTGCCCCAACAGTGCTGTTAAGGTTACACGGGGTGGGGGGGGGGGGGTAGGACCACCACGTGTGTCCGCCAATGGGCTGTGCTTCACACGCCAGTTGCCACTGACTTGCCGCGTCCCTCCTCGCCCCGCCCCGGTCGACGCAGTGCCCCCGAGTGTCCGTGAGGGTGCGGCCCAGCTCACCGTGCTGGAGCATGGGAGGCTGGAGCTGACGTGCGCCGTGGACGGCCTCCCCGAGCCCACGGTGTCGTGGGAGAGGGAGGGCCGAGCGCTGCACGATACGCCCGGAAAGTACGCGCTGCTGCAGGGAGGCACGCTCGCTCTGGAGAAGGCGACGGTGGGTGTGCATACGCGCGCGTTGTATGTGCACGTGCGCGCGTTGTGTGTGTGTGTGGGAGGATCCTGGCGATGCGAGTTCGATTCCCGCTCGCGGCCAACACCAGTGACGATTATTTGAACCGGTCCTGGCCCACCTCTCGGTCGACTCAGCCTCAAATGAGTTCCTGGTGCGATGTGTAAACATCGCCACGAGGAAGACAAAGGCGGCCAGGCGTGGTGTTGGCCACCCACCCCCTCGTGTGCCATGCCGACCTTCATAGGTGCTCGCTAGCAGCACTTGCCCCCACAGTCTGTTCAGGCTATACGGGGGATCTTTGTCGACTGAAAACAATACAAACGAAACAGTAAAAATGTGACCAAAAAAAAGATTGTTTCAAAATATTTTAATCACAAGGGGGGTGGTGAATTGTTACTCCCCGAATGCACATATAACATAGAAAAGGGGCACGTGAATTTTCTCCTTTAACCTGCAAAACCGATGTACATGTACACACAAGGGGCGTTCAGAAAAAAACGATTCTGGCAATGAAAAGAACAACACTTCCATTCAATTGCTTACAATTATATGATACAAACTCGACATGAATGCTCTTGGTCCAGCACCGCTGCAGCTTGGCAGTGCCCGTCTCTTAAATTTCGATTTAAAGCTTTCGTGACTGCAAGGATTCCTCTTCTATGGTTCTTTCGGTAAAGTCACGTAGAATGAGAATAAAATAATAAAATAAAATAAGACAATAAAATTCTCACGACGTTTCGGCCACAACACAAGTAGCCCTCTTCAGGTGAAGGAACAAAACTCTCGGGACGACAGAGCTCTTGGAGCTCTTGGAGCTCTGTCGTCCCGACAGTTTTGTTACTTCACCTGAAGAGGGCTACTTGTGTTGTGGCCGAAACGTCGTGAGAATTTTATTGTCTTATTTTATTTTATTATTTTATTCTCATTCTACGTGACTTCACCGAAAGAACCAAAGAAGTGCCCATCTTGTAGAGGTCTTTGTCATGACCGCTACTTTCACTTCATTATCACTAATTTGCTATGACGAAGTCAGGTCATTGCCTGAAATGTCACATTAATACTTGTTTCTTCTAAGGAGGTGCTTATTAACTTACGTCCTGAGGCCTTGTCATTTCGAGATTGAAAACTATTTCTTGATAACTATTTTTCGTGTTTATTTTTGTTGTCTTTCACCCGACACCTTCGATTAGCACGGTTGGCTACGTACAGTGCGAAAGAAATTCAATGTATACATTACGCACCACTGCCAACGCGAGCGTCGCCAAACAATCCGTTTGTCCATGACCGCGATCGCTTCACCGTACTCGTGCGCGTGTTCGCGTGCGTACCGCCCCCCGCCCCCACCTCTAGCCGGCGGACGCGGGCGACTACACGTGCGTGGCGGTGAACGCGGTGGGCAGGGACTCGCGCGCGACGCTCGTGAGCGTGCACGTGCCACCCGCGTTCACCGAGCTGCCCGGCGATGTCTCCCTCAACAAGGGGGAGCGCCTCGTGCTGGGCTGCACGGCCACGGGCATCCCCACCCCCAGCATCACGTGGTCCTTCAACAACAACATCCTGCCGGGTAGATGGCCCGCTCAGCCGGCGCCGCCGCTGCCGCCGCGTTCCACCGCGATTCCCCCCTCTCTCTGTTGGCCACTTGCGTAGGCCATCAGGCGCTCGACTGGGCAATGAGACTCCCTGCGATGGGGGCGATGAGGCCATTTTGAGAGCAGTAAGGCACTTCAGTAGGGATTGAGCTACTTCAGTAGGCAATGAGCCAGTTCGGTAGGCGATGAGCCACTTCAGAAAGCAAAAAGACATATTCGATAGGCTATACTGTAATCATATAAAACCAGTGGAATGCAGTGCAGCAAAGTTTAGACTGATTTTGCCTGTCTGTTCTGTATGGGATAGAGCGTTACCCCCTCGCGTGCGTGGGATTTCTCCGGGTGCTCCAGTTTCCTCGCACATGCATAAATAACATTCACTAATTAGCTGGAAATATCTCAATACCAAACCTGTCGACCCCTTATCATTGCCTACCTTGTTACAGACCAATTCAGACTTTATTGGTCACCCCGTGCCCCCTATACATCTCAAAGTTCATCCTACAAGGTCCAATCGCAAGGGAGAAACACAAAATAAACAGACAACAAAACAGGTGTTGCCCATATTGAAACGTCTGTACACCATAGGGACCTGAAAACTCAATTTCCCTGTACAAAAATACGGCTAAACCGTATGGGTTGACAGGTATGCAATACACAGAGATCTGCGGAGCAGCTGTTGGCACCGGCTCACCGCCTGGCAGTCTTCCAGCTTGCCTGTGGTTCCACAGCCATTGTGAGATGCATTTTGCATGAACGGCGATGCTGTATCGAATTAAAAGATGCGTTTAGAGTATTTGAAATGTGCGTTTCGAGTGATTTGGCTGCTATACATTTCTACATGATAAGCCACTTCGATGAGCTATCATTTGTGGCCAGGTCGCTTCTGAAAATGAGCTATATAGCTCAGTGGGCCTTACTTTGTAAAATAAAATAAAAGGTTTCGTTTAACCATCAGATATTTAGATATGTATTTATGCCACAAACCCAGAATATGCGCAGGGTGTGGCTCGTCACCCTGACCTCTGTGCCACCTGACCAGCTCGCCTCGTTGCGCGTTCTTCTCTCTCCGCCGTCTCCTCTCCCTCGCCGTGTGTCATTCGGGATTCAGTGACGCCCTCGAACGCGAACGGGCGCAGCGAGCTGGTGGTCGACGGCGTCTCCAAGTCGGACGGCGGCACGTACACCTGCACGGCCACGAGCGCCGTGGGCTCCGTGAGGGCGCTGGGCTCCGTCTACGTCAAAGGTGCGACCGGTCACGACGCACCGTTGACACTCGAAAACACCTCCAGTGACGCACAGCGGTGCCACCTCATCGCGACGTGGACATTTAACCCTCTCCCGTTCCGATTCCATTCCGATGACGCACGTGTACGTTATCGGAACGGAACCGGAAGAAAAACTAAAATAAAAAATCTTCATCGGTACCGAGGCTCCCCAAAGGCCATGACGGGAGGGCATGTGGCAGTTTGGTGCCAGCTATCATAGAGTGTGGTCGTGTCACCACAGTTCTCTGCGGTAAGTACAATGTCCTTAAAAACATTGCCCCTGTGGCCTCTATAAATAAAATGAAGGCTGAACCGCTTGCGTGTCCTAAGGTTCGGCGGTGAACGGGACCCACAATGCAACTTGCAGACATCCGTAGTGGAAAAGGGTTAAGATGAGGGTTGAAGCGGTAAAACTCGAGGTATTTGCTGTTCGTGGGTTTTTTTGCAGTTGGGTGTCGTTCCACGCAAAGGGGCCTGCGTTCTGCTGGCAAGCGTGGTCGCCATACGTTTATAGCCGGGCCCGCGTAACGACAACATCATCAACGTTAACTCCATTCTAGCGTGCGACTCTTTAGGCGGGCAGTGGTGGCTATGCTACTGCACGTAGCCTCTAATCCAGGACTGTGGGGGCAGTAGCGAGGGTTGGTCAATGGCACAAATGTCGTGAAACGCCGTTCCCATTTGGCGTCAAGGAGGGAGTGTACCCCTGGAACGTTATAATAAGGCAGCAGAGCAGAAATGTCCACTCCACCTGTTCCGTCAGTATGGGATAGTGTGTTTCCCCCTCGCACGCTTGGGTTTTCTCCGGGTGCTCCGCTTTCCTTCTACGTGTAAACACTCATTGATTGGCAGATACCACCTTCATGTAGAAAGGACCACAGAGCTTGGGCAGTTGTCGGCACCGACTCATCGCGTGACTGTTATCCTGCTTTTCTGTGGTTCTTCGCGCTTCCGAGTCGTTCTCGCTGCACGAGAGTGAGCACAAACTGTGTGCATCCCTCGTTGAAATTATTATCTTTGCCACTCTCAATCCACCCACATCACTCCTCATCCACCAGCATCCCTCCCAATCAACCTGAATTACTTCGCATGCAACTGCCCCACTCCCCAGCCACCTACACAACTCCTCATCCACCCAAATCATTGCCCATCCACCTGAATCCCTCTCAATCTGCTCGCACCTCTCCTAATCCACGTGCATTGCACCTCAAATGGTCTGTAGAAGGCAGTGCAGCCAGTTGGTTAGTCATCTCTCTCTCTATGTGGAGTTCAGTATGTGTCGTCCCTCCCTGGTGGGGCACGCCGCCTTCCGCGCGTGGACCTGTTCAAGCAGGAATTGTTTTTTACTTCAGAAGCGGGATCCTTCTGAAGGATGCCTCGATACTCGGGGAGTCCCTCCTAGCTGAACAAAATGGACTTTCATTCCGGGACACGGTTGCATTCGTGCGAACGTATATAGCCAGTCGTCCATGATGGGGCCACGGTCAGTTCGCGCTCATTGAACGGCATAAAGTACGGTCACATGACCCACGTGACCCACACCGCATGGGGGTGGAGTGGGGGCTCTCATCCAGCAGTGGATTGACAAAATGGCTGAGCATGACCTATTCGGGTGGCTTGGTTCTTAGAGCGTTTGGATCGCAGTCGGACAGTCGTGCGTTTAAATCGCGGTCGGGGGATGACTTAGCCAACAATAGGTGAATTACCGGTGGTCTTGATCCTGTGTCAAGACTGGTACCCACCATAGGAACGTGGGAAGTCCATCATCACTATCTTAGTGTCGCCAGTGGTGGAAACCGAGCGCCATCACCACCCATCGTTTGAGCAGAGACACGGTAACGTCACCTCGACGGGGCACGCGCTCTCATCCGTTTACCCCGTGCGCAGAGCCTCCCATCTTCGACGGGGACGTGATCACCAATCGCATCGAACCCCTGGGCGGGAACGCGATCCTGAACTGCGAGGTGCGGGGAGACCCGGCACCGGTCATCCGCTGGAACAAGCAGGGCGTGCCCGTCACGGTGGGCAACCGCGTGCGCCAGCTCAGCAACGGCTCGCTCGCCATCTACGGCACGGTGGTGAGTGAGCGAGCGACCCCCGGGGTCCCGGCGCGGTACTAAACTATGAATAAACTATTTTGTTATTTTGTTTTGACCCAAAGAGTGACCAACGTAGGTGTAAGAAAAAGTTTGCGCATATGAAGAAGACAACCTGATGCAGGCAGTGATGAGAAGGAAACTGGCACTATTTGTAGTAGGATGGACAACAACAGGGAAATTAAAAGTGTGTTGTTGTTGTTGTTCGGCAAAATGGAAGGAACCGTAAAGAAAGGAAGACCTAAGAGAGAATGGCTTGACGATGACATAACAGATCGGTGCCAGGAAGATTTGCACTACTTGAGTATATTGGCACAAGACAGAGAGGAAAGTGGAAACAAATGACAAAATGCCCAGTGGACACCTACGGGCTATCTCCCCATGGATCGTGATGATTTTTATTTTACCAGGTGAGGCCCACCGAGCTATATAGCTCTTTTTCAGAAGCGTGCTGACCATTGCAAATGATAGGTCAACAAAGTGGCTTACCGCATGGAAATGTATAGCAGCCAAATACTCTAAACGTCTGATGTGGATTCTGAATGTGGAAGGGAAAAACCGGAGGACCCGGAGAAAAATCCACGCGACCACAGGGAGAACATGCAAACACCAAATGTACAGGCGTCAGGATCGAGATCAAACCCCCGACGACCTGCATACCAAGCGAGTGATTTAATATTTCGCTACCGTGGGGCCTGGCGTGTTGAATGAAAACACAACCCCCATGGATTTAAGTCGGAGCTATTCTATTTAATTACCAAAACTTTATTGACACAGAATAGTGCAGTGGTTTAAATCTGCTTCTGTAAATAAATGGTGAATTCTACTCTGACATTGCAGCTTCTTGGCTCTCGAATCGAATTGAGCACGATGGATATATGGGTACATGTTTGTGTGTGTACGTACGTGCGTTTGTCTCTGTATGTAAGTAGTGGGGAGCGGTAGTGTAGTTGTTAGTGCATTGCGCTACGAGCCCGGCAACCCGAATTCGATTCACTTAGGTCGACCCAGCCTCAAATGAGGACCTGGTGTGGTGTGTAGTAAACATGAAGAGACAAAGAGGGTCCCCTTTGGTGCTGGCCACCCACCCCCTCGTGCGCCATGCCTGCCTTCGTGGATGCTCGCAAACCGCAATTGGCCCAGCAGGCTGAGAAGGCTATAACACCAGGGTACCACTGTATACATATATGTTTGTGTGTGTCCTTGTGTCCATGCACAGAACGAGGATGCTGGCGACTACAAATGCGTGGCGACCAACGACGCTGGAGTCGTGCAGAAAATGGTCACCCTGACGCTGCAAAGTGAGAGGCGATGACACCGACACCGTCGCGCTCGCGACGGCAATCGCACCGCGGACGCTCGGCACGACTCTTCATTCGCGTGACGGAAAGGCTGTTTGTAGCAATTTTTCCTGTCTTTTGCTGATTGCGCTCGTCCTCAGCTGTCAAAATTGTGACAATTAGTCGGCCTGAGCTGGTGGTAGAAATGACAAAAGGCTGACAGCACAAGCAGAATTCTATTGTAATAGCAATGTTAACCAGCAATAAATTACCTTCCTGTGCGGTTCAGAGATTATAGCTCTGAGCCTGCTCAGATGCTGGGTTTTAATTCGGGCAGCACTCTTGATTAAACTGGGTTCTCAAGTGTAGCGAGTTGATGGTTTAAGCCCAGTAACCAATGAATGCACACGCAATATACCACCATATTAAATGTTGGTTTTGGCTAAACTGCAGTTCTAAAACCGTGCCCATCGCGTCGCATCAGTAAAGTCAGTTCTTCCGTTCACGGACAACCCGGTGATCGGCATGAATAGCTCTCCGGTGTGTTTTCGCACCGCGCACCCTGCATTGTTTACTGAACCACCCGTGATAAAGAGAGCTTATTAGCTCATCGGACTCCTCCAGATTAAAATAAAGATTCCGACTCTGAAAATCCAGATTTAGCTCGGGCACGACGTCCGACGGTTTCGCTCCGCGCAGCTGCGAGCTGCTTCAAAGGAACTGAATCACGCTGGGGTGCTCTACTGCCCCCGCGCGCTCTCGCAGGAGCTCCCACCTTCTCGGTGGAGCCGACGGACACCGTGGTGGACGCGGGCAGCGTGGCGGCGCTGCGCTGCTCGGCCGACGGGGAGCCCCCCCCGGCGGTCGAGTGGACGCGACGCGGGGGGCGGCCGCTGCGCCTCGACGGGCGCGTGACAGCGGCGCCCGACGGGTCCCTGCGGCTGGCGCCGGCGCGCAAGGACGACACGGACGAGTACGAGTGCGTGGCGCGCAACCTCCTGGGCTCCGCGCTCGTGCGCGCAACTCTCACCGTGCAAGGTCGGTGGGAAAGTTCGCGCTCGAACGCGCACTCGTTCTTCTGCCTCGCACTACTTCTACTTCTACTTCAACATGCTGTGCCAGGATGGCTCTGGGATCGTTCTGGACTGTGTGTACCTGCGCATGTTGAACTTCTTTCGCACCGTACCTAGCCAACTGTTACTAGTCGGAGGTGCGGGGGAAGGACGTCAAACTAAACACAAAAAGGAGTTCTAGAGAAATTAGTTTTCAGTCTCGATTATTTAAAAGCGCATAGCTTCAGTGACTTCCTAATATCGGAAGGACGAGCGCTCCAGACGGCCGCAGAAGCACATCTAAATGCGCGCGATTCAGTGACTAGTGCTGGGCTGGGCCCTAGGCAGGCTGTAAATTTCCTCCTTGTTGGTTCTGGCCCGTTTCTATCTGGGCTGGATCTGGAATTAAGCTGGGTAGGCTGCCAGATGTCTATGGGCTAGATTGGAGCTGGCTGCTAGCTGAATCTGAGCTGTTTATAAGCTTGCCATGAAGAGTATTAATTAGTAAGATCACCCTAGCAGAGCCGTCATTAGCAGGACAAAACAATGGATTGGAAAGATATTTCTTTCGCATCCATGATACGTTTATCTATTTCTATATTCTAAAAAGCAATCATGTTAACCAACTTCACACATCGTAACAAAGCCCTTTTCTCTCCCAATATACGTGCGCCCTACAGTGCCACTTAATTTCCCTTCGTGTTAAACTTAAAGTAAAAATCCGCAGGTAGTAAATTCAACGTTTTTTTGCGAAAGCCCACGCCAGCTGACGGGAGGGGGGCGACCGCGTGCCGTGGCTCCTGTGTCCGCGCCGTGCAGTTCACGGCGGCTTCTCCGAGTGGCTCGAGTGGGGCCCCTGCAGCACATCGTGCGGCCAGGGACTGCAGGAGAGGGTGCGCGTCTGCAACAGCCCCATCCCGGCCAACGGGGGGCGGCCGTGTGCCGGCGCCGCCTCCGACAGCCGCCCCTGTGCCAGCCGACCCTGTCCAGGTGTGCACCGCTCACCCCCACCGCTCACCCCCACCGCTCACCACCACCGCTCACCCCCACCGGTCACCCCCACCGCTCACCCCCACTGCTCACCCCCACCGCTCGCCTCCCATCGGTCGTCCCTACCACTCACCCCACCGCTCACTCCACCGCTCACCCTATCTCTCACCTCACCACTCATCTCATTGCTCACATCACCGCTCACCGCCACCACTTACCTCACCGCTCACCGCACCACTTACCTCACCGCTCACCCCACCGTTCATCTAACCGCTCACCTAACCACTCACCCCACCGCTCACATCAATGCTCAACCCATCTCTCACATCACCGCTCACCCAACCACTCACCCCGCAACTCACCCCACTTCTAACCCCACCGCTCAGGATGTGTTCAACACGAACGTTTTATCTGTCCCGCACTGTTATTCCGTCACGATTGTTTTTTTTGTTTCCACTCGTCATTTACGGATTCGAATCGTTTTACACTGCATGAATAATGAGGCCAACCAAATAAATTAATTGATTAATAAACACTCTAAAAATCATGGTCTGTTGTTGCTGCGTCACGGGGGTAAACGGTCAACTTCTACCCCTTCCACGCCTCCTACCGGCAGTGGACGGCGGCTGGTCGGACTGGAGCCCCTGGGAGGAGTGCTCGCGCTCCTGCGGCCAGGGGAACCGCACGCGCACGCGGACGTGCGGCAACCCGCCGGCCCAGCATGGCGGCCGGGCCTGCGAGGGCCGCCCCCTCGAGCGCATCCTGTGCAACGCGCGGCCTTGCCCCGGTGCGTGGCGCTCATGTCGGTTTTCAGAAACAGAATCTTTATGAGTCCTGGAGAAATCCGATGGGCTGTGAAGCTCTTTTTTTTTTCTCACAGATGTCCAGTAAATTGCTATGCTTTAAAAAAAAAAAAACAATCATCGAGCAATTTGCCTTAATTTTACGCGCCAGTATCACCCTCAGTAAAGGAAGCAGTAGTGCACATTACAGCAGAATGGGAACGGTACAGGGAGCACGGAGCAACAGGTATAAAGACAGAGACCCGTCACAAAGGTGGCTCTGTATCTACGTGTGAATTTCTTTCTTACTTTAAGTAGCCAACCGTGCTAATCGGAGGTGCTAATTGTAATCAATGCTTACGTGTGACAAGAATCTACGATATATTTGTAAAGCACTCACGACATCTGCGGAGCACGGTAATACGTCTCCTGAAGGCATGACTTGTCTCCTGACGTGTGGCTTGCGAGTCCGTGGCTTGCGGTGATGGCCTCGTTGCCTATAGCCCATGAACGCATGCCTCGTGGACACCTGCCTTGTGAATCCCTGACTCGCGATCACCGGTGTTAGAACGTGTGGCCCATGATCTCGTAGCTATTGCATGTGTGACTTATTGTGTTGCTCATGAATACGCGACTCATGAACATGCGACTCATTAACGTACGACTCATGAACATGTGACTCGTGGTCTTGTGGCTTTTGAACGCGTGACTCATGTGGCTCGTGACCCTGTGGTTAGTGAACTTGTGGCAACGTTAACGTGTGGCTCATGAACGCGTGACTCGTGACCCGTGAACATGTGACTCATTAACGTGCGACTCATGGACATGTGACTCGCGGTCTTGTGGCTATTGAATGCGTGACTCATGTGCCTCGTGACCCTGTGGTTAGTGAACTTGTGACAACGTTAACGTGTGGCTCATGAACGCGTGACTCGTGACCCGTGAACATGTGACTCATTAACGTGCGACTCATGGACATGTGACTCGCGGTCTTGTGGCTATTGAACGCGTGACTCATGTGGCTCGTGACCCTGTGATTAATTAACTTGTGATCCATGAACATGTGACGACGTTAACGCGTGGCTTGTGACCCGTGAACCTGTGACTCATGAACATGTGACCCGTTGTCGCATGGCCCTCGACTGCTTTTGCAGTGGCTGGGAACTGGGGAGCCTGGCAGCCGTGGGGGGTGTGCAGCGCCGCGTGCGGCGAGGGCACCCAGACGCGCCTGCGGCTCTGCAACGAGCCCCCTCCGGCGTACGACGGGCCCAGCTGCCCGGGCGCTGACACCCAGACGCAGGTCTGCAGTGCCCGCAAGTGTCCAGGTGAGGCCGTGGCAAGCTGTGTGTGCGTGTGCGTGTGTCTGCGGGAGCGGTGGTGTAGCGGTTAGCGCACTGCGCTACGAACCCGGCGACCCGAGTTCGAATCCCGCTCACGGCCACCAACACGAATGATGATTATCTGGAACCGGTCCTGGGCCTTCCCTAGATCAACTCAGCCTCAGATGAGTGGTGCGATGTGTAAACATTGCCACTGGGGGACACAATCTTGAGTCACAATTGGGAGCAATCGGGAGTATTGGAGAGATGTGAGTGCGGCTGAGGAGTCTGGCAGAAGCATCTTGGATGTATGGCGTTTGGAGATGTGGGATGGATTTGGGCGGGGGGGGTGAGGGGAGGCCATAGAGCAGATAGTTTCAGGATTCGAGTCTCACAACACGCGTGCGTGCGTATGTGCGTGCATGCGTTCCCCCCTGCCCCTCTTCGGCGTGTGCAGTCGACGGGAAGTGGTCCGTGTGGAGCGGCTGGGGCCCCTGCTCGGTGTCGTGCGGGGGCGGCTCCCGGCAGCGCTCGCGCTCCTGCTCCGAGCCGCCGCCCCAGCACGGCGGTCACCCGTGCGAGGGCAGCGACATCCACGTCGACTTCTGCAACAGCGAGCCCTGCCCCGGTGCGTTTCGCCGACGCGACGACGGCGATGACGGCGATGACGGCAATGACGGCAATGACGTGATGACGACAATGACGCGATGATGGCAGTAACGATGATGACGTGATGATGGCGATGACGCGATGACGTGACGACATGAGGACGGCGACGAGGCAATAATGGCGATGACGCGACGACGCTTCGAGGCGATGACGGCGCTTTTCAGTTAACATGAGCTCAAGAATCGGACGATCAATTGATTAAAGGACGTTTGTTATTCTATTTACAACTTAAAGTATCACAGCCCTGTGGTGGAATGTGCAGGCAGATAGCATCCAGTCCACTATTATTATTATTATTATTGCCAAAAATGGCACATGGCCCAGCCATTGTGTGCACAAGTGGCGCTTGCAATTTTGTGGAAACCCGAGAAGGCTGATTCTGCATGGAGCCTGTCTCTGCGCCTCAGAGTCACGGTCATTTGCGTCCGCCAAATATTGTGCACGCATGATAAATCGCATCATTTTCATTATTGACGGTGCATCTGATGAATGAATACTTTTATTGTACACGGTCGAGGGTGTACACAGCCATCGGGGCTAAGGAGCAACTAAAAGCCAGTCAATTCTAACCAGCGACTCGGCGAATCGTCACATCCCATCCTAAGCACCTGTGCCAGATTGTCCCAGATTTACCACCGCGCGATCTCTCCTCCCTCCCTCTCCTCCTCCTCCCCCCGCCGGGGTAGTTCACGGCAACTGGGCCCCGTGGAGCGGCTGGGGCCCGTGCAGCCGCTCGTGCAACGGAGGCCAGGCGCGACGCCACCGCACGTGCGACAACCCGAGGCCCGCCAGCGGGGGCCGCGCGTGCGTGGGCTCCGACTCGCAGATGCAGCAGTGCCACGGCGAGCCGTGCGCCGGTACGGGCAACGCTCTTAACCCTTTCTTCGCTGGCACACCCGAGCCGTGCCAGCCCCGTACAACTCGCGGGTACGGCTGGTTTTCCCACTGGCTGTCATTTGTAAGTCGTGCCTGGCTACGACGTAGAAATAGTTAACGTATTAATAGCAGTAGTGCCACGACTCGCAGGGAAATGGGGGGAATGACCCGTGCTCTGACGACAGTTGGTGATGTCACGGCGGCTTCTTCAGCAGTCAGGTGAGGGGGGCGGCCTCACCCGATTTCCGCGTTCGCCACCTGAGCGAGAACCCCGTACGTTCACGTTGAATTCAGAATCATGAATCTCTGAATCTTTTTTTAATCCTGGGGAAAATCCGATGAGCTGTGGAACTCTTTTTCACAGATAGATTTTTTTTTCACAGATGGGTAGCCCAGTAGATTCCATCATGAACAGTCTTCGGCCACCGGTGCGGAGGAGCTTTATCAGTCAGAATATGTTCAGTCTATTGGCACGGTATAAAACATTTCTTTCTCAACGTGACAGTCCTGTCAGGTGGTGGAGGGTTAATGACAACAGTTTTGTCATAAAACTACCACTTGGTGCCACATCCCGGCTCACCAGGCGAAGGCAGTACAACAATTGGACTCATTGCAATCCGTTTCCATCTTTACGAGGATCGAGTGTTGCTTCTTGCGCCGGTGGGTTTTCTATAGGCGCTCCGGTTTTCTCCCACACGTATAAACACTCATTATTAATTGGCTGAAAATGTCTGGAAAAAAAAAACATTAGCAGGACACTCCTTAAAAAGAGTCCAACTCAGTGTGGCTTTCCTGGATAAATAAGTAAATTAATTATCAGCAAAGTGGCCTAACCCCAAAAGAATATTCATTATTTTATTGCCTACGAAAACCTACGGTTGAAATTGTATAGCTGCGCTGACCACCCAACTAGCACAAAGTAGTAGGAGAGAAACTATCACTTCAAAAATAAGCAAGTAAATGTATACTCCCCTCTTTTGTAATTTTCCAAGCTAGATATCACCGACTGAAGGCAGCTGTGGCCACCTCGATCATTTCGTCGTCCATTTAAATCCATAGCACCTGAAGCCTCCTTGCAAGAGCAGAGGAGGGTCTGCCAACGCCAGGCCTTAGGCCCGTGCGCGTGCTCGCGGATTTTCCAACCGGTGACGTCGACGTTTTCCGCTCCGCAGTGGACGGGGGCTGGGGGCCCTGGCAAGCGTGGGCCCCGTGCTCGGCATCGTGCGGCGGCGGCGGCGAGCAGGAGCGCGTGCGGCGCTGCGAAAGCCCGCCGCCGACCCACGGAGGGAGGGCCTGCCAGGGCGACGGCAGCCAGGTAGCCAAGTGCAACAGCCAGCCGTGCCCCGGTGAGTGAGCGAGCGAGGGAGCGAGCAAGCAAGTGGCATCGGCGTCAGTAATGATAATAATGTACTTATGTATGTTGAACTTCTTCTGCACCGTATGTAGCCAACCGTGCAACACGGAGGTGCGGGGGAAGGACAGCAAACTAAACTCAAAATAATTATCGCAATTTGACTTTGCTGTGGCACCCTCCGGCGCGCCGGAGCCGTCTCTGAGCGCTTTACATCTCACATCTCATCTCAACACATTTGAAAGGGCACCCCCTCTACTCAGGTCACACCGGGCGATGTCGTTCGGGTGCCACGGTGGCAAGATGTTAAATACCTCGCCTGGTATACAGGAGGTCATGGGTTCGATCCCGACCGTGACGATGCCTGTATATCTGGAGTTTGCATGTACTCTCCGTGGTCGCGTGGATTTTTCTCCGGGTACTCCAGTTTTTCCCTTCACATTTAGAAACACGCGTTTCGAGTGTTTGGCTGCTGCTATAAATTGGGATATCATTTGTGGACAAAGGTTACTACTGAAAAAGAGCTACATAGCTCAGTGGGCCTTACCTGGTAAAAAAAATAATAGTTATTCATAATACAGGTTTTTTGGGTTAGATCGCGTAAATATATAAATGTGTCGTTAAAACCCGCCACCACCCGACACAGCCAACTAGTAAGGGTTGTCACATAAACAGAACGTGCCAATTCGTTACTAGTCCAGCACACCGGTGTGTTGGAGAGCCAAGCCAAAACATTTTGCAATCTGAGCACGACGTTTCGCCAGTAATTACAACTAGCTTCATCGGGGGACAGCCAGATTTGTGGAGAAATCCTCCTGTTTCTTGTCGAGTGGTGGCGGGTTTAACGACACATTTACATATTTACGCGATCTAACCCAAAAAAAACCTGTATTATAGATGTTATTGGTCGCGAAAGCCTACGAGTTTAGTTAATAACCCCTTCCATCTAAAACACGCCATATCCGCCGCAACGCGTCCCCCAATCTGCCCGTTGTCGCGAACCATGGGCTGTGACCATCTGGTCTCCACTACCCCACACCTGCCACCTGGAATTCCGTCCCCCACACACGCGCACACGCACACACGCGCACACGCACACACGCGCACACGCGCATACACGCAGTACCACGGAGTCGCCTCGCACGTTCGACACGCGCCGCGAGACGACGCGTCCTCGGATCCACTCCGAGGTGACGCTGAGCTGCCCGGTGATGAATTGATCGTCGTTGATATGTTACAAATTCGTTTCCACAGGCGGCCCGCAGCGCGCGCGCGGCTCCGTGGTGGGCACCCTCAACGACGTGGAGCTGGGCATGGCGCTGATGCACGTGAACATGAGCGACGGCGGGCAGGGCGCGCGCGTCATCGACGGCCACATCGGCAACGTCCCGCGGGCCGTCGGTACGCCACCAACGACAACGGCTCGCGCTGCTCGTGCGCGATGCACACGGGCGCGTGTGTAACGACAGCAGCGGTGACATTTGGCCGTTGCCGCGGTAGGGCAGCGTGCTGCCGTTGGCGCAGCAGTTCAAACGATCGGTGAACTTCGTAAATCCCCCAGCCTCTGGCTCCGCTTGACGTAAATGGCAAACGCCACAATTAGTCGAACGGAAGGTCACGCGTGGCGGAGTAAAGTTCGGGCACTCCCACTTCTTCCGTGATGTTTGGTCAGCTTGGAAAAACTGACCGAATTTGCTTCTTGGAGTGACCCTTCCGCCAGCGGTGGCGTGGGAAATTAGTTGCAGGGCTGCACCTTTACCCGTGGAAAGAGACGAGCTTCTTGATTGTGAGTGAGTGTCGGGTCAGTGCCAATGGCACATCGTGGTTGACGTGGCCCTGGTGGGAGCAATTAACCGTGGGGAAAAGTGGGGGTCCTCTCCAATTTCCCCACACTTCATAGCCGGGCACCTGGGCCACTCTGGACCGTGAGCCCTGGTGCAGTTGCACCGCCTGCACACTCGATAGCTACTCCAGTGCTTGGTGCTCATCTCCTTTGGTGGATTCAAGCCAGAGCCTGCTATTGGAGGGTTATAGTAAAAATGAATGGCATTACACCAACGCAATGTAACTGAAAATAAACTTAATTATAAATCACAGACATGATTTTGGGTTCGGCAATTTTCTGCAGTTCGTAGCCAGTGGTAGAAATTCCACATTCCCATGGCTTGGGCTATTCTTTGCACAGCACAACCAACATTGACTTTCCACAAATTGCTACTTTATCGATCCCAGAGTGTCGAAGGACTTGAGTGGACTCCCAACCGGGACTAGAACTTCTGATGCTCACGATGCGAGCCGAGCGCTGCAACCGTAGCGATGCCGCAGCAGGAGCGGCCGGCGGCAGCGGTGACTCCCGCCTGCGTTGTCGCCGCCAGGGCCGGCGATGCGCAAGCTCGTGTCCATCCTGTCCCCCGTGTACTGGGCGACGGCGCACGAGGTGGGCGGCGCCGTCAACGGCTACACGCTCACCAACGGCCTCTTCCGCCGGGAGACGCAGGTCGAGTTCGCCACGGGTGAGGCTCGCCCGCCGGTGATCGACGCGTTCCCGTTTACACCCCCCCCCCCCCGTGCCTGCCTGCCACGTTTACGATGCCCCGGGCCACGCTGTCCAGCGGCGCGGCGACACGGTGGTCTCATTCGTGGTGCCTCTATTGCCCCTGCTTTGGCTGTTAGCGCTTCTCCTGACCCTGCCCTGCAAATTTGGCCCTAGCCCCTGTCCTAAACGCTCAGGTCTTCTTCCACCGCTACCTTTGGCTTTTAACACTTCTGCTGCCCCTGCTCTTTTGACATTTGATTCTCCTCCTCGGCCTTTATTTAACTATAGCAGCCAGTAGCCGGTTGCATGAATTGCCTTAAGTGAATTACACCCTTAATTCTTATTACAATAATTGACCAGTCAGGGAAATTTTCTATTTCGGCCAAAGGATTACGCGTTCGGGAAGCAGTTGAAACGCATCTCCTTGGTTATCTCCACATTCCATGATGTGACATCGGTACATTTTCAACAACAAAAATCAGATGTCAAATATCCGTCTCTCCCGCCACCCTTGCCCTGACAATTGGGACAAGGGTGGCCCACCCTTGTCCTCGACCCTTGGCTCTCGAACCCTTCTGCCCCCCTGGCTGCAAACGCCGCCGGTGTCGCTGTCGTCGCTATTGTTAATGTCGTCACTGTCGTCACTGTCGTCGTCACCGGCGTCATCGTCGTCACTCTCGTCATCACTGTCGTCACTTGTCATCACCGTCGTCACTGTCGTCGCACTGTCGTCACTGTCGTCACCGTCATCACCGTCGTCACTGTCGTCACTGCCGTCACTGTCGTCACAGTCATCACGGTCGTCATTTGTCATCGCTGTCGTCATCGTCGTCTCTGTCGTCACTGTCGTCGTCATTGTCGTCATTGTCGTCACCGTCATCACTGTCGTCACTGTCATCACCGTCGTCACTGTCGTCGTCACTGTTGTCACTGTCATCACCGTCGTCACTGTCGTCACTGCCGTCACTGTCGTCGTCATCATCGTCACTGTCGTCACTTGTCATCATCGTCGTCATCGTCGTCACTGTCGTCACCGTCATCACTGTCGTCACTGTCGTCACTGTTGTCACTGTCATCACCGTCATCACCATCGTCACTGTCGTCACTGCCGTCACTGCCGTCACTTGTCACCATCGTCGTCACTGTCGTCGTCACTGTTGTCACTGTCGTCACTGCCGTCAATTGTCATCATCGTCGTCACTGTCGTCACTGTCGTCACCGTCATCACTGTCGTCACTTGTCATCGCTGTCGTCATCGTCGTCACTGTCGTCGTCACTGTCGTCACCGTCGTCACTGTCGTCACTGTCGTCACCGTCGTCACTGTCGTCACTGTCATCACTTGTTATCGCTTTCGTCATCGTCGTCACTGTCGTCACTGTTGTCACTGTCATCACTGCCGTCACTGTCGTCACTGTCATCACTTGTTATCGCTTTCGTCATCGTCGTCACTGTCGTTGTCACCGTTGTCACTGTCGTCGTCACTGTCGTCGTCACTGTCGTCGTCACTGTCGTCGTCACTGTCGTCGTCACTGACGTCACTGTTGTCACTATCGTCGTCACTGTCGTCATGACTGTCGTCATCACTGTCGTCACTGTCGTCGTCACTGTCATCATCACTGTCGTCACTGTCGTCGTCACTGTCGTCACTGTCGTCACTGTTGTCACTGTCGTCGTCACTGTCGTCATGACTGTCGTCATCACTGTCATCATCACTGTCGTCACTGTCGCCGTCACTGTCGCCGTCACTGTCGTCACTGTCGTCACTGTCGTCGTCACTGTCGTCACTGTTGTCACTGTTGTCACTGTCGTCGTCACTGTCGTCATGACTGTCGTCATCACTGTCGTCACTGTCGTCATCACTGTCATCATCACTGTCGTCACTGTCGTCGTCACTGTTGTCACTGTCGTCATCGCCGTCGTCACTGTCGTCACCGCCGTCGTCGCTCTCATCACTGTCGTCGCGCATCGCAGGCGAGGTGGTGAAGATGTCGCACGTGGCGCGCGGCGTCGACTCGGAGGGCGTGCTGCTGCTCGACGTGGTGCTCAGCGGCTACCTGCCGTCCGTCGCCGCCTCCGCCGACGTCGCCCTCAAGGTGACCGGCGCTCACGTCCTCGTCGCTCAGCGAGGACAATTGTTGTGCGTGTGTACGTACGTTGAACTTCTTTCGCCACCATGAGTAGCCACAGCCGTCTTAAGTGGGAGAAAACAGCAGCTCCGGAGCCGCGTGCGGCTCTTCAAGGGCTGCTTCGTGACATTCTTTATTAGCGACCATTTTGGATCTTAAAATATTGTATTGTTTTTTTATCGAATTAGATTTGATTTGTTTTTAATTGTCTCTTCATGTTATTTTGGTTGCCGACGCCTGGGCTAGGGGGATGAGGTAAAACAGGTGGCGGGGAAGGAACGGCGACAAACCAACGATGAGGTGTGCGGCAACGTCAGCAAATGCAAAAATTAAAGTTGCCTCAAGCGGCATCGATGGAGCTGGGGCGCACGACGGACGCAGGAAAGGGCCTCAGACGTGGTTGTTTTTTATCGCGCCTGAGCTTCGCGCAACTGCCGATCTCGCACGCTCCGGTGCTCACCGTTTCAGCGACTCACTCCCCGTGATTCCACCGATCGGGCCTCACGAATCAAATGCGAGGATTATGTACCGTCTCATTTGTACCTTCCGTGTTCTTCCATCCGTATTGTCAATGTTTTTATTGATTGTTTGTCTCGTTTGTATTTTCCACCTCATCAGCGCTGTGCCACCTTTGTCACTGTCTGTTTGAAACAGAAGAAAGGGAGAACATTGACCAGAGAACAACATTAGTAAGAGGCATCATTTGTCGGTTGTTAAGAAAAGTATGCCTGCTTGGCCAGGGCACGTAGCTATAAGGGGATGATACCCAACGGTGCTCACAATGGACTCGCAGCCACAGGAAGGATTGTGCACGAGAGGATGACCACCGCGGATACGGAGCGATGAAATCGGTTCGTGCGGAGGTAGCGAGATGGACCGTGCAATTGCGGGACTGAGGGATGGTGACAACTTGGGAAAGGCTTAATCCAACAGTGGATGGACGTTGATGATGAGAGTGCATGCTTCTTCCTTCGAACTGCTACGTCGTTACATCAGGGGTGGGTAACCTTTTTTCCTTTCTTGTGGGGCCCAAAAGGGCTTTCCAATTCCAGCTGCCTTCAGCACTGCAAGAGGCCCTTTGCTAAAGTTCTACACACAGTTTTATCTAAGTTTGGAATAATTACTCGCTTGTACCCAATTAGTGCGGCTAACCTGCTTGCAGTGATGGTAAAATGTCGTTTCTGGTCCGTTTCAAAGTGGAACGCCTCGTGTGGCTGCAGAGGCCGTATGAGAAGAAGTCGTGGTCTGATCCCTGCTTTCACCTCAGCCCGCCCGCTTGTAGCCCGGGCAGTTGCGACTATGCACGTGGCTTGTAATCCTGCACTGTCGAGACGGCGAGGGTTGGTGCATCGCTGCATCAATGTTACAAAACCCCCTTCTAGTGAGTGTCGAGGTGCTCTACCCCGGCTTGCCAGGAGAATACGGTACAGCAAGAAATGCGATGAGCACAGTTGCCTATGCACGGTGCGAAAGAAGTTCAACATATGTTCATGCAAAAATATGGACTCTTTCATCGGTATGGGATAGAGCGTTTCCCCCTCACAAGCGTGGTTTTTCTCCGGGTGCTACGGTTTCCTCCCGCATGTAAACACTCATTCGTGCCTGAGTAAATAGTAGAACCCTAGAGCTTGGGCAATTGTTGCTGCCACGCGGTTCGTCCTCACGCCTCTGGGTCGTCGTCTCTCTACGAGGCCGGGCGAACGCTCAACCGCGGCGGCGGCGGCGTTACACTTTTAAATTAACATTATCATACGATTATTGTCATTGTTGTTCGACGGATCGGCAGGATTACAACGAGGACTACATCCAGACGGGGCCGGGCCTGCTGTACGCCCACTCGACACGCCTCTACACGGTGGACGGCACCACCATCCCCTACTCGTGGAACCACACGGTGCTCTATGACGGCGCCCTTGGCAAGATGCCCTTCCTGGTGGAGACGCTGCACGTGACGGACGCCGGCGCCCGCTACGACCCGCGCAGCGAGCGCCTCTCCTACGCGCTGCACGCGCACATCGCCAAGGGTCAGTCACCGCCGCCCACGCGGGGCGGGGCGGGGCGCGAGCGATGGCCGCAGCGATAACCACGCAGCGTAATTGAACATGCTAAGGCTACAGCCGCGGCTACCATGTGCACGTGGTTGCCCCGTGCATATGCCGGGCTATGTAGCCAAGGCGTAGTACTGAGCACGTGTGAGCTGCCGCTAAAACTTTACAAGTGATTACAAAAACGTGTTTTCAGTCGGATTCACCGTTACCACCTGGCAAGGTGTCCGCGGGAAGCTATTTCATAAGTCACACTTGTGGGCTCTTACGTTTATATGAGCATCCTTTAGTAAAAAAGCATACTTTACTTGCTTGTGCCGTAACGTTTGAGAACGGACACTACTGTATATATATGAACAATGTCAGCACCAACTTAAAACATTGCATTCGTCCTGAATCAACTTGATATAAAGTTGGCAACACATCTGAAGATATGTACACTGTGCGTAGAGTAGATCTCTTTTCAATGTTCTTGGTCAGGGTGCTGCAGTGGCGAGATGCTATCTCCCTCGCCGGGTATGCAGGTGATAGGTCGGTTCGATACCTGACGCCTGCTGTATATTTGGAGTCTGCATGTTCTCCCCCTGGTCGCGTGCGTTTTTCTCCGCGTCCTCCGGTTTTTCCCTCCACATTCAGAATCAAGTCTGCATTAACCAAACATACTTGTGGAATTCTCTGGTCTAAAACTGGTGAGAGACGGTTTCAAAGATATATTATCCGAGCATGTTTGTTTGCATGGTTTGCCACAAGTACTGTGTGTGGTTAATGCAGACTTGATGCCTTGCAAAAGGTTTCTATTTGGCGTTTGAACATCTTTACACGACTTACCCTTCACGTGTGTTTTAGCTATGAAAGGAAACCGGAGAGCATGGAGGGAAGAAACCCACGCGGAACAAGGGGAAAACTTGCAAACTACACGCAGAAAGGCGCCCGAGTCAGGAATCGAACCCCGGGTGATTTTAGCTGTGGGGCACGAACGTTAGGGATGCAGAGTCGAAGGGTCTCCCTGCTCAGACGAATATAGGGCGGCGTTCGTCACCGTTGCTAGCCCCGAGCCAACAGTGGCTGGCGATTCCACAATCTCTACTGCAGGGCCAGTCTCTCCATTGTCATTGTTGAACAAATCAGAATGTTGATTTAGATCGGAGGAATCATTGGTGAACTATAACATTATAACATGATAGGTCTTAATTCAAGGTATGTGCGGTGCGCAAACCAGCACTGGGGTTGTGTTCATCCGTTTTGGATGAGATGGTGCTGGAAAGTGCTTGCATGAGATGGGCAACCACCATGCATGATGGGTGTTCGACGCTCCATGGCTACGTGGTTGGCAGTAGACGGGCAGTCCAGGGAAATGCATTGTTGTGCTATACTTCTATGCTCCCACGATGGCAACGACCAGCACTGTGGGGGGAAAAACAAGTCTTGAAACTCAATGAGGTTTGTTTGTATTCAATGCTCAAATCTTGGTTTGGGATCGACTCAGCAGTGGTTGTCTAATGGAGAGACTTGCCCCCGTCAGAGGAATGCGACATTTCCACGACTGGTTAATTTACGTATGTATGTTGAACTTCTTTCGCACCGTACGTATCCAACCGTGCTACCTAATCGGATGCGCGAATCGGAGGTTCAGTGCTGTGAACGGGAGATGATCGCCACCCGTCAACGCTCGTCACTCTCACTCTCAAGGGCTGTATAATTTAACGTTGCTGCTAATGACTCCACATGCACGCTGGCGTTTCCGCAGGGGAGCGGAGTAACCAGTGTCCTCAGGGCTTCTCGCTGGACACAACGGGACCGTACTGTGCTGGTGAGCGACTCTCACCTGCGCCGCGTGCGCGTTTAGAACACTGCACACACATACTCTTTGGTTCTTTCGGTAAAGTCACGTAGGTAGAAAAATAAAATAAAATAAACGCTTTTGTTGCGATCGAAACGTCGTGATATATTATTTTGTGTTTTATTTTATTTTCTTCTACCTACGTGACTTTACCGAGAGAACCACAGAGTATGGATTCCTGCAGCCACGAAAGCTTCAAATCAACATTGCACACCTTTACCGTTCGCGTCGCAATCCCATTGCAAGTTGTCGGCTATGCGTCTGTGTCTCTGCTGCGTGAATTCTGCAACCGTGTGTGTGTGTGTGTTCGCAAGTCCGGGTACGAGTGCATGGGGAGCGGTAGTGTAGCGGTTAGCGCACTGCACTACGAACCCGATGACCAGAATTTGATTCCCGCTCACGGTTAACACCCAGTGGTGATTACCTGAACCGGTCCTGGGTCCCCCGAAGCCGATTCAGCCTCAAATGAGTACCTGGTACGGTGTATAAACATCCCCACTAGGGAGACAAAGGCGGCCGGGCGTGGTGCTGGCCACCCACCCCCTCGTGTGCCGTGCCGGCCTTCATTGTAGCTACTCGCTAACAGCACTAGCTCTAAATGTCTGTTAATGCTATACGGGGGATCTTTGTCTTTGTGACGGAGGAGGGGGGTAGTGCCGTGGTTAGCGTGCTGTGCCCATGGCCAACACCAAAAACGATTATCGGAGTCGTGTCCGGGCCTCCCCTAGGTTGGCTCAGCCTGAAATCAGTACCTGGTGCGGTGTGTAAACGTAAGAACGAGGGGTGGGGGGGGGGGGGGTGTGCTGGCCACCCACCCCATCATGCGACCATGCCGGCCTTCATCTGTGCTCGCTCTCGGCACTTGTCCCAACCGCCTGTTGAAGGCGACAACGGGGGGGGGGGGGGGGGGGGGTATCCTCTGTCCGTGCGTGTGCACGTCACCCCCGTTTGCTTCTACAGACGAGGACGAGTGCGCGGGGAGCAACCCATGCTCGCACACGTGCCACAACACCGTGGGCACCTACTACTGCTCCTGCCCGCGAGGCCTCACCATCTCGGCCGATGGCCGGACCTGCCAAGGTACCGTTTTGTTTTTGTGTTAGATCTCGCCAACGTAAATGTGCCGTTAAACCCGCCAACCCCGCGACACAGCCAATTAGTAAACAGAACGTGCCAGTTCGTTACCATTACAGCACACCGGTGTGTTGGAGAGAAACCCACAACGTTCACAATTCGAGTACGAAAATTTCGATGGCAATTACAATCAGCCTCATCAGGCGACAGCCAGATTTGTGGAGAAATATTCCTGTTTCGGTCTTAAATAGAGGGATAAATGTCAATTTTTATTACATTTATTTTCACGCGATATAACCCTAAAACCTCTATTATGGATAATATTTGTCGCGAAAGCCTACGTGTTAAACAGATGTGTTCTCTTTCCAAGCTCACTCGGACGGATTATTACGAAATTTCAAGCATTAATCTCCCTGTCCATACTCTTTGGTTTTATTCGGTAAAGTCACGTAGGTAAAATAAATAAAAGAAACAATTAAATCACGACGTTTCGGAGGCAACACAAGCTTCTGTCTTCAGGTGGAACAATCACAGTAGAAAATCTGTGTCAGGGTGTGGTTGTTCCACCTGAAGACGGAAGCTTGTGTTGCCTCTGAAACGTCGTGATTTTATTGTATATTTTATTTTATTTTACCTACATGACTTTACCGAATAAAACCAAAGAGTATGAATCCTTGCAGTCACGAAAGCTTCAAATCTAGAATCATCTCCCTGTGTTCGTTTGTGCAATTTTCAGCTTTAGTTCCATTTTCTTTGGCTATTTTCACGTTTCTGATCTCTGTCAGAGCAGGTATGTAGATTTTCATGATTTATTTCACGCTATGTCTGCTCTTCTTTTGGTTATTATTACCGTAGCTACTGTTGCTGTGACCCCCACTCATTGATTTCTTCACCCATGCCGATGGTCCGGTCTAAAAGACTGTTTCATCTCATCCAAACTGTGCTCTACCACCACACTGCAGGTTACAACCACTTACCCATCCACTCACACACTCATTCACCCACTCATTCATCCACTCACTCACCCACTCAATCACCACCTCTCTCACCCACTCATTTATTCACCCACTCACTCATCCACTCAATCACCCACGAATTCATCCACTCACTTACACACTCACTCACCCACTCATTCACGCACCCACCCACTCACCACCCTCCAGGTCACAACACCTCTCTACCTTCATCATTCCTCGTTCGGCTCAACTTTGAAATTCCCTCCCGTCCGTCTCTTTTCCAAACTTCCTATGGTAACCTTGCTCGGTTTTTGTAAACATAATTAACTCAGACATTAAACCTGCGGTGTATTGGGCCGTTAGAGTCTGTGCCCACCAACCGTGATAAAAACAAAAAAAAACACCGTTACCATTGCATTGGGTCTCTGTTAACGTGAGAAAAACCGCGTGCACCTCCCCTCCCATCCCCCGCCCCCCCTTGCCCCTCCCCCCTCTCACCCCCCCCCGCCGTGCCTCCCCGCAGACATTGACGAGTGCACCCTGGGCGGCCACAACTGCCCCGCCAGCCAGGAGTGCGAGAACCTCATGGCCTCCTTCCGCTGCGTCGTTCGCTGCGGGGTCGGCTTCCGCCGCACTCACGACGGCGCCAGCTGCCAGGGTGAGCGACCGCTCCCGCAGGCCCCGCCGCGGACGCCAGCGCCGCCCAGAGGGAGGGGGCGGTGGGGGCGGTGGGAGCGGTGGGGGCGGTGGGAGTGGTGGGGGGGAGTTTAAGGGGATTCCCCCCCCCCCCCCCCCCGGGCAGTCCACACAACGGGCCCGGGGCTTTCTGGAGTGACCGATGGAGTAAGCGGGGCAGCGTGGAGCCTAGCGGAGACTGCGGAGCGTGGTGGCTCACACACTTGCGTGTCTTGTGTGTGTGTGTGGCTCACACGCTTGAGTGTCTTGTGTGTGTGTGGGTCACACACTTGAGTGTCTTGTGTGTGTGTGGCTCACATGCTTGAGTGTCTTGTGTGTGTGTGTGTGGCTCACACACTTGAGTGTCTTGTGTGTGTGTGGCTCACACACTTGAGTGTCGTGTGTGTGTGTGTGGCTCACACACTTGAGTGTCGTGTGTGTGTGTGGCTCACACACTTGAGTGTCTTGTGTGTGTGTGGCTCACACACTTTGAGTGTCGTGTGTGTGTGTGGCTCACATGCTTGAGTGTCTTGTGTGTGTGTGGCTCACACACTTGAGTGTCTTGTGTGTGTGTGGCTCACACACTTGAGTGTCTTGTGTGTGTGTGGCTCACACACTTGAGTGTCGTGTGTGTGTGTGTGTGGCTCACATGCTTGAGTGTCTTGTGTGTGTGTGACTCACACACTTGAGTGTGTTGGGTGTGTGGCTCACACACTTGAGTGTCTTGTGTGTGTATGTGGCTCACACACTTGAGTGTCTTGGGTGTGTGTGGCTCACACACTTGAGTGTCTTGGGTTGTGTGGCTCACACACTTGAGTGTCTTGTGTGTGTGGCTCACACACTTGAGTGTCGTGTGTGTGTGTGGCTCACACACTTGAGTGTCTTGTGTGTGTGTGGCTCACACACTTGAGTGTCTTGTGTGTGTGTGGCTCACACACTTGAGTGTCTTGTGTGTGTGTGGCTCACACACTTGAGTGTCTTGTGTGTGTGTGGCTCACACACTTGAGGGTCTTGTGTGTGTGACTCACACACACACAAGACACTCAAGTGTGTGTGGCTCACACACACTTGAGTGTCTTGTGTGTGTGTGGCTCACACACTTGAGTGTCTTGTGTGTGTGTGGCTCACACACTTGAGGGTCTTGTGTGTGTGTGAGTCACACACACACAAGACACTCAAGTGTGTGTGGCTCACACACACTTGAGTGTCTTGTGTGTGTGTGGCTCACACACTTGAGTGTCTTGTGTGTGTGTGGCTCACACACTTGAGTGTATTGTGTGTGTGTGGCTCACACACTTGAGTATCTTGTGTGTGTGTGGCTCACACGCTTGAGTGTCTTGAGTGTGTGTGGCTCACACACTTGCGTGTCTTGTGTGTGTGTGGCTCACACGCTTGAGTGTCTTGTGTGTGTGTGGGTCACGCACTTTAGTATGTTGTATGTGTGACTCACACACTTGCGTGTCTTGTGTGTGTATGGCTCACGCACCTGAGTGTCTTGGGTGTGTGGCTCACACACTTTAGTATGTTGTGTGTGTGGCTCACACGCTTGAGTGTCATGTGTGTGAGTCAGGCACTTGAGTGTCATGTGCTGTGTAGACACGAGGTGGTCATGTGTTTCTTGTCGACACTGGAGGATCTTGTCTGGTTCAGACACTAGAACGTTGTAGGAAGTACTTCAGTAACTTTATTGATCTCGTACAAAATGTTTGATGTTCAGTCGTGGGGGAATGTCTTACACATGTATCTGTTGTATTGTAAATAGCCCCCGATCCTTGCGATACTCCCGTGCAGCCAGGACCAGCATTTCTTCAATGACCAAAGGATTCACCTGCCACACCATCATTTGTGTCAAAACGTTACCTGCGTAGACCATGCTTCAATGGGTAGAACGACTCTACATCAAAGGAGGGTGCCAGATCTTAGCTGTGTAGTAGACGGGGCAGTGCAGTTCACCCAGACAGCCTCTGATGTCCTCATGCTGCTTTGTGTTTTTTTGGTCTGGCCATAACACATTGGAGGAGGACTTCATCCCACTGATTATCTCAATGCATTCCCAGAAAACGGAATTTGAATTTCCCCATTGTCTAGTAATGTAATGCCTGATACATTTTATATAAGTGAGACAGTTCTGTATTCTTGGTTCTTTCAGTAAAGTTACGTAGAAGGGAAACAATGAAATAATAAAAATATAAAACAATAAAATTCTCACGACGTTTCGACAACAAGACAATTTTCTAATTTTCAAACTTTCTTGTTGTGGTTTTCACACCTGATGATGATTGCTTGTGTTGCAGTCGAAACGTCGTGAGAATTTTATCGTTTTATATTTTTATTATTTCATTGTTTCCCTTCTACGTGACTTTACCGAAAGAACCAAGAATATGAATCCCTGCAGTCACGAAAGCTTTAAATCAAAATTTGAGACAGTTCTATTCTTGTGTAGCCACGACGGTAGGTTCTTTAGGAGACAGTTCACGTGGTTTTGCTGCTCCTCCGTTGACGGAGCGCAGACTACAGCGGTTTACGATGCGGTAACATGTTGGTTTTAGTTGCGCGGCCACAATCGGATCGCCGCACAAATGTTGTTCAACACCCTTCCCACGGACGTTGAGGAGATGCCGTACCCCTGGCTCGCCAGGAGAAGGCGTTACAACAAAATGTGGACTCCGTCCTTTGCGTCTGTATGGGGATCGAGTGTTGCCCTCTCGCACGTGCGGGTTGTCCCCGGCTGCTGCGGTTGCCTGTCGCACGTGAACGCTCATTATGATTGGCCGATTAACATTTTGAATACGCAGAGGACCGCAGAGCTCGGGCAATTGTTAGCGCCTGCCTCCGCGCCTTGTCTGCGGTTCCTCGCGCTTCCGAGGTCGTTCTACCGCTTCAAGAGCGAGTGAGCACTGCGCGGCGCTTTACAAATTGACATTGTCGTCAATAATTATTGTGAATTCACCATCGCCAAACAGACATCAACGAATGCAAGGAGACCCACCCGTCGCCCTGCAACCAGAAGTGCGTCAACCTCATCGGCAGCTACCGCTGCGCGTGCGAGCCGGGCTTCCAGCTACGCGGCCGCCGATGCTATGGTGAGAGATGCTCTTCCTCTCTTTCTGTCTCTCTCTCCCTCTCTCTCTTCCTCTCTCTCTATCTCTCTCTCCCTCTCTTCCTATCTATTTCTAGATGTATCCCCCCCCCCCCCCTCTCTCTATCTCTATCTCTCTCTCCCTCTCTTCCTATCTATTTCTAGATGTATCCCCCCCCCCTCTCTCTCTCTCTATCTCTCCCCACAAAGTGTGGAGCTGCTTTATTGGCCCCACAAGGACGATGCGCTGAGTCACCCCCCCCACCCAAGCCGGGATGTGAACCCGTCGTGACCTTTCCGATTGCGAGCCGCTCGGCTCTAACGCTGAGTCCGCCCTGGCCGGGCGTGAGGCTCTACGGTGGTGCCAGCGCCACCGCTTGTGAACACGGCACCCCGGCTCAATCGCCGGGGAATTTCCCTCTTCCCTACCCCCCCCTGTCCCCGCAGACATCAACGAGTGCCTGCAGCACGCGTGCCGCGCGGACCAGCAGTGCCGCAACACGCGCGGCGGCTATAAATGCATCGACCTGTGCCCCAACGGCATGACCAAGGCGGAGAACGGCACGTGCGTCGGTACGTGGGCGGACGCGGCGCGGCACAAAGGCGGTAGAACGAGGGCGCGGTACGGGGCGATGGGATACGGGGCCTGTACACATGCATTGTGTGCATGGGGAACTTCTTTCGCGCCGTACGTAGCCAACCGTGCTAATCGGAGGTGCGGGGGAACGACAACAGTGCTGGACCGCGGCACGCGTGACGAGTGTTTTGTGAGTGAGCGAGCGAGTGAGTGAGCGGGTAATTTGGCCGGCATTTGAGTGAGAAACTACAATATGTGTATATTGACATGCGTGAGTGTTTTGGGATAGTGAATGGTTGGTTGGGTGGGTGGTTGAGTGAGTGAGTGAACTGTAAGCGGGTGGACATTTGAAGGAGCGTTTATTTGCCTGCGCGAGTGAACGTGTCCTAGAGGCAGTGGGTGGTTTGAGTGAGCGATTGAGTGTGTTCAAATAGTCGAGGAGGTTTGGGGGGTAGTGGGTATTCAAGTCGGGGAATCAGTGAACATCAAGACAACCGAGTACATTTTGATTAAGTGGATCGGGAAGTGTTTTGGCACACGAGCAAGTGATTGAAGGGATGACTGAATTAATAGGCTGGCGATCGGATAACCGCTTGTCTTGAATGACGACCCAACAGACAAGCACGTGGGTGGACGGGCACAATGGTGGGTAAGTGGAGGATTGAATAATCCCACCACCACTCACCCACCCCAATGCACCACCCCCCCTCCCTTCTTCACATTGTCCTCCGTCCCACCCGCCCAGACGTTGACGAGTGCCAGGAAGGCACCCACCAGTGCCGCTACAACCAAATCTGCGAGAACACGCGGGGGAGCTACCGCTGCACGTGCCCTCGGGGCTACCGCTCGCAGGGCGTGGGCAAGCCCTGCCTGGGTGAGTGCTCCCGCCCAGCTCCTTGCTACCACTCCACTGCTCCTCCGCACACGCACTGCCTTGCGGGCACAAACGCAGTCAACATGCCAACGTCGGAATATGGTTGGAACCGTTGGACCAACATTGGCCCAATGTTCGCCAAACGTTGGCCCAACATTGGCTGAATGTTGGCCTAATGCTGGCCCAACGTTGGATTAACGTTAGATTAACGTTGGCTGAACCTTCCGTGTTGTTCACTGGGAAGAGCTTTAAAAAAACAAACGGTGGTTCGATGAGTCGCCACGATTCGGGGTCATGACTCAATTTAGCAATCGATTATTATATTTCATGCCATTTTTACAGCTTTGGTTGCCCCATTAACCCTCATTTTACAGCTGGCACATCAATTGCATACTCAGAGACATGGCTATGTGCACGTATCATAACAGTCAGCATGAGTCCCTTCATCGTTACGTGCTTAGTAGTTGAGGTGCCGTGGTCCGTCTAACGGAAGTTTGGAGCTTCGTCAATTCCAAAAATCATTGTGTGCCACTGCCACGTGGCCTTGAGGCGCACCGGCAGAGCGCCCTCCAGTGACGTCACAGCCGCGCTGTAGTCCTCTCACGAGGCGGAGTAGGGGGGGCCCCACGACCGTCAGCGTGCGTTGTGAGCCACTCCGTGCTTCCCCTGTGGGGAGCTCAGTGCACAGAGGGTGGAGTGTGGACCCCGTTGCAGGAGCGGCTCTCCCCGTCCGGGAAACGGGAGCCAGGCATTTCGAGGCGCGAATCGGCAATTTTTTTTTATTCTTCTTCACGCAGGCAAATTGCGACTGCCGCATCGCCACAGATGAATATTGTTTTGGTATCGCGATAGCAATGTCACTGTATGTACGTATGTTAAACTTCCTTCGCCCCGTACGTAGCCAACCGAGCTAATCGGGGGTCCTTTATGCACTGCGTCTTCCATTACTGCACGATCCCATGGGCCCATTGACAGCTGCATGCGCTGTGGCTGACGGGTCGGTCATCTCCTGGTGGATGCTGTGACTCTCACGAGGGCATTGCTTTAGCCCTGGGTTCGCAATGGCAAATTCAGATTGAGGCCCCATAAGGTTTGTGAAATTGGTTTCCCAGGGCTCTAATGTACACAGTTCAGTCTCTTGTCTCTAGTGTGGCACAAACTGACCACTTTTAACGAACTTAACTGTTTTTATTTTACCAGGTAAGGCCCACTGAGCTACGTAGCTCTTTTTCAGAAGCCACCTGGCCACAAATGAAAGTTCAATGAAGTGGCTTATCACGTGGAAATTTATAACAGGCAAATAGTGTACTCTAAATGCATGTTTCCAAATGTGGCGGTGAAAAATCAGAGGACCCAGGTTGTTGCTGTGCATCTACATGAGCCATACGAGAGAAGAGGAATTGCGATTGTCAGCTGAAACAACATCAATGATACATGTCAGCGAATCAAACTGCGTCTAATTGTCTCCCTGATAACATCCGTGTCGTGTGGCGCACATCCCCAGCTGAATGTTTACTCCAACAATAAACGCACTCGCACTCCCCGACGTTGCAGAACGTACACGTCCTGAATTACACGGCCTTTTTTTGCCATTTTTATAGGGGTTGGCCATTTTTTTACCTTTTTAATTAACACAAGAGAATGGGGGGGGGGGGGGAGGTGATCCCCAGTTCATGAACTAAATTTTCTCACGTGAGATGGGAGCCACCGCAACAAATGTGTTGAGGTAAAAGTGCAAAGCGGATTGTAAATGGTTGAGCCTCTAAACGTGAACACGGAGTGAGGTTGCTTCGACTTGCAAAGAGCGCCGCTTGGGAGAGGCGGAGATTGTGGATCCCGCACGGCACTGATGGGTTTGGTCGGTATGAGGAAGCACGGCAAGCAGGACCTACAGATTTTTTTTGGGTGAATTTCCCCTTCATAATTCATGAGTTTTCTCCGGGCACTTCATTTACCTCACACTCGCAACCAAAATACTCGAGAAATAATTGGGCTAACTGTCTCTCAGCACTACCCTGCTGAAAATGTAATCTGCAAGCTCAGTGGCGATTTTCCTAGAAAGATATTAGTAAATGTTATCCGAGTACACCTTGAGACTGGATAGCCTGTTATAGAAGTCTTATCCGAATACATCTTGTCACTGGATAGCCTGTTATAGATGTCCTGTACATTTATATTCTTCCCATTAACCAGTGCTTCGCAATTATATTCAAAACACATCACCTGTTTCTATAATCATAAATAGAATAGAATAATATTAAAAACTAAAAAATGTAAATAGCTTTTGTCCCCCATATTTATAACAATTGCCCTTTATCGGTATCAAATCATGAGCTAAAAAAAAATCCATTCAAATGTCACAAAGAGCAGTTCAGCTCTCCGTATTATAAAACGATCCACGGAAGCTGATATCACAGAACTGCTCCTGATGTCCAGGAGTAGCTTTGTTTACATGCAACGCCTCTGCTGCAGTGTTCCATTAGACACCTCCTCCCACTTGGCAAAATCTTCTCAAGCTTCAACATTGGCCGCTATGTCTATGCTGATGACAACCCAAGCCCTACAAGTCCGTTGACTCCACACACCCGACCTCCCTGTCCATGATTCAAACTTAAGAGTATTTTGTGGTTAGATCGACGTGTAGGTATCATGTCGTATTTTAACTGTATAACCCTCAACCACCTGACAAAGAGCCAATCAAATCAAGTTGTGACGTCGTAGGCGGATGTGCCAATCGATGCGGCTCATCACCAAAACGTCAGGATTGTTCACAGGCAAGTAAATTTTTGACAAAATTGTCACGTGGCAACTTGAATTATTGGCTCTGTCGGGTGGTGTCTTATTGTTAAAAAATTATAGTATAGCTAAACGACGATCTAACTCAAAATAATAGTTAGAATTTACACTTGTGAAGTGCCCTTACACAATTGTTCTCAGGGCGCTATGCATGGAAAGGCGGAAAATAGTTAACAACAAAAAAGCAGAGACTTAGTGAGAAAAACATTTGAAAATAACTAAAGAGAAAAAGCTATTTTATTTTAAGCAGAGACGCTTCTTTAGTCGAGATTTGAAGATCTGTAGTGTCTTGGAAGTCTCCTGACTCGAAGGGCAACGAGTTACAGAGTTTAGGTGCCGCAGTCACCCCAAGTGTGAAGCCTAGACCGTGGGACATTGAGCAATGCACGAGTTACAGCTCTTAATTACCATTGGTTGTCAAAGCCTGCGTATGAAATTAACTCGTTGTCCATTTCTCACGTCCTGCCTGGACGTGGTGTCACTGTGCATTTCTCCAAACTCCCTCGAGATAAACTCGGCCACAGCTGACGTCCTCCTCATTGCCAAAACAAAATGAGGACTCTCACATGTCTGAGTCTGCGCCTTGTCAACTCTGGCATCATGCTGCATGCAAGCTTGGAGTGGTCTTTGATTCTAAGTCTCTCTCTAGCATAATCCACCCCCCACCAAGCTCTGTCCACCCAGCAGTATAAATGTGTTCACCACACAGTCAGTCGAATGATAACACCACGGTTAGGCGCGTGTGGTGGGGCACAGTGCGATCGCTTCCACCTCTTCCACGGTGTCCGAGGTGAGCGTGGAAGAGTAGGCAAAGCTATTCTCTCGAGGGACTCTGCAGAGCTCCCTTTAGTGTTACCCTCCAGCGGTGAAACTTCAGGACTCGCAACCTTTGTCTGCCGTTTTCTCAGCAGCACCGTCGTGATTGTACGATGACCCCCGTCGCTCCGACGTGCGCGCCCGCACGCGTCCGAGCGACGCCTCGGCCCAAATCGAGCGACACGCAACTAAAACGGCGCGCGCCGCCCTGTCTCCCCGTGTGTCTCTGTGTCTTCGCATGCCCGGGCGGGATCGGGGACGGGCAATCGGGGGCATGGGATCGGGACGGGGGCAGACATTGACGAGTGCGGATCGTTCCCCCGGCCGTGCGCGTACCGCTGCGTCAACACGCCCGGCAGCTTCGAGTGTCTCTGCTCGCCCGGCCAACGCTTGCTGGGCGACGGGAAGTCGTGCGCTGGTCTAGAGCGATTGCCAAATAACGACGACGGCGGCGGCGGCGGTGTTCGCCGTCCCTTTCCCCGGGGCCACGCGTTGGGCGGACCGGGCCCCGCCGCTGGCGTTTGGAGCGGAGATTCAGCCACGGGCGACTTCACCTTCGTTAGGCAGAGCGCTCGCGCGCGTTACCGTGGCACCGGCGGCCGTGCCGCCGCGGCGACGGCGGCTAGGATTCGGAGCCGTAGGGCCACCGCGTGCCTCCCTGGGTATCGCCCGTTTGGCGGAGAGTGCGTAGGTACGGCCGGGGTCTTTGTGTGCGTTGAAGGAAGGCTTGGTGGTGGTGGTGGTGGTTGTCATTCGTCGTCCTCGTTGTCATAGTCACAGTCATCACCAGCCGTTTTACCAAAGTTGCGGTCACCCTCATTGTAATCATGACCATTGGTGTTATTGTCAGTGGCATCAATTTCATCGGCATCTTCATCGGTGTCGTGAACAGCGTAATCATCGTCGGCCATTTAGCATCATCGTGATCGTCATTATTGCCATCGTCATTGTTGTCATCTTTACTATCGTCGTCATGAGCATCATCAGCATCATCACCACCATAATCATCTTGCTCAGCATCATTTATGAGATGTTTCGTTACAGTGGCATTCCAAAGTGTTATTTAAGATATCAACATACAGCCTCTATGTATTTTAGTAATGGTCATACGTCTGGTCTGGACTTTGGATGCGGTGTGTACAGTTTCACATCTTGTTTAAATAACTTCTCTTCATGTTGCCTCTGATGCAGTAAACAATATTGGGAACAATAATAATAATAATACACGAATGCTAATAATTTATTTACCAAGAAAAGCCTCACCGAGTCTCAAGTCACTCTCTCTCACGGGAGGTCCCTGCCAAAGTACTCGTCCCATTAAAGAGTTTGAGCTTGCTTTGACCTTACGAGTAAGTCGATGGTGGCCGCAGAAACTGAACGCGCGCAAGGGTGGAACACTTAGACTCAACGCTGATGCCAGTAACCTACTTGCTGCACTTTCCCCGATGATCGCTTTATTGAGAAAGCCATGAGTAGCGTTCTGACCCGGCCCTACTGGACATCTGTGAAAAAGAGCTGTACAGCTCCTCCAGTATAAATAAAAATTCTCATTCTGAGATCACTTGGCTCACTTTCTTATTCCAGTTTAACTTAGCAATGCCAACCTCGTGATATTTATCTAAGTAAAATTAGATGATATGGTCCCGACACTTGTATTGTCCTGGAACAATGCATTTGCCAGTGCTCATCTCTGTTAGCAGTCCTAAGACATTGGTCCAAATTCCACATTCCTATGGCAGGGACTTCCAACGAAGTTGAGCTTGGTGTCTGTTACACACCGCATGTGCAATCCACTTAACGTGTCCATGTGTGCAATGTATGTTACGCTAATTGAATGCACGTATCCACCTTCACTGGATTTTAATGTTTAAAATGTGTAGTCACACGAGCAGCTTTGTTCATTCTTACGACTGAATTCATAGCATCGTGCGTGTGTGTGCTCGTCTTAGAGAGCAGTAGTGTAGCGGTTCGCGCACTGCGCTACGAACCCGGGGACCCGAGTTCAATTCCCACTCGCGGCCAACACCAGTGACGATTATCTGAAGCGGTCATGGGCCTCCCCTAGGTCGACTCAGCCTCAAATGAGTACCTGGTGCAGTGTGTACAATCGCCACTGGGGAGACAAAGGCGGTCGGGCGTGGTGCTGGCCACCCACCCCCTCGTGTTCCATACTGACCTTCGTAGATGCTCGCTAACAGCACTTGCCTCAACAGTCTGTTAAGGCTATAGGGGGGATCTTTGTCTTTGTTTCTCTTAAATGGGGATATGTGTTCGTGCCCGTCTGTGTGTTGTGCATGTCTTGATTTATTGTCATCCCGCGTGTGCTGTGTGCATGTGTCATGCGTGTCTGTGTTTTTTGTGTATCTGCCCATCGACCGTGTGTGCTCGTGCATGCATTAATGTCGAACATGTGTGCACATTTCGCACGTCTATGTCGTGCACGCTTGCATGTTGCGTGTGTGTGTGATGTGTGCATGTGGTGGGGAGCGCTAGTGTAGCAGTTGGAGCGCTGCGCTACGAACCCGGCGACCCGAGTTCGATTCCCGTTCACGGCCAACACAAGTAATAATTATCTGAACCGGTCCCGGCCCTCCCCTAGGTCGACTCAGCCTAAATGTATAAACATCGTCACTGGGGAGAGAAAGGCGGCCGGGCGTGGTGCTGGCCACCCACCCCCTCATGTGCCGTGCCGGCCTTCATAGGGTGCTCGCTAACAGCACACACTCCGTTACAAGTCAACACGGGGGATCTCTGTCTTTGTGTGCACGTGCAACTCGCGTCCGTGTACTGCGTGTCTGCGCCGCCTGTGTGCCACGCGCGCGTCTCATGCCCGTGCGTGTGCCCCCGGCGCAGATGTGGACGAGTGTCAGAACAAGGAGCAGTGCCAGCACGAGTGCCGTAACTCCCCCGGGAGCTACCAATGCGTCTGTCCCGGTGGATACCGCGTCGCCCCCAACGGCAAGACCTGCCAGGGTGAGTTCCCGACTCTCTGCACCCCCCCCCCCCCCATGTCTGCAGCAACCACCCTTCACGAGCTAGCCAGAAGGTGGTGGCTACGCTGCTGCACGTGTGATCCAGCACTGTGGAGACAACAGCGAGGGGGTTGATGGATCGCCAAGCACAAACGTTCTGAAACTCCCTTCCCGTGGGCTGTCGAGAAATGTGGACTCAACCTGCTCCGTCTGCGTGGGGATAGAGCGTTTCGCCCTCGCACACATGGGTTTTTCCCTGGGCGCTCTACTTTCCTCCCACATGTAAAACACTCGTTGATTTGAATTCACAATATTCTGATTGTGAGTGAAGTGCCCGCTGTAACCACAGCTCCTCCTGGCGCTCATAGAGGGAACTCGGGAAACGGTCTCATCACCCAGGGTCACGATTCATCTGGTGGGGAAAAACTTGGGGGGGGGGGTGGGGGGGGGGGTCAGTGCGCTGACTTAATGGGCTGGTCTGATCGATTGTATTTGTTGACGCTGGTTAAGAAACATTCAGCCGTAAGCTGTTTTACAATAATGGTCCGCGGATGACCTTAGTGAGACAGGGAACCAAAAGGAAGCTACATCAGCGAATAAATGATAACATCATCGGGCTCCCTTGTCAGCATCACAATATAAGAATAGGTTTTACCCTTTCTGGCAATAAAACAGTTTGTGTTAAGATGTTAAAACACCAAACAGAAACCTTTTGCAAGGGATCATGTCTGCATTCACCACACGTAGTACTTGTGGTGAACGTGCAAACAAAAACACGCGCTCTGATAGTATATGATGCATTGTCTTTGAAACTGATTGGTCCACACCAGAGACAGCTTTCTATAGAGCCTAGTCCCAAACAGTGTTAGACCACGGGACGCCAAAAGCCGAACAGCACAATGACAATGCCACTCTCAGGGCATTGAGAGCTCAGTTAGAGCAGCTATGTACATCATGGGACCTCCCTGATATTGCATTGTTTTTGTGCTGTTCGCCTTATGGTGTCCTCTCGGTTTCTGTTTGGTGTTTTAACATCTTAACACCTGTTTTATTGACATAAATGGTAAAACCTATTCTTATAAATGGTAGCATTGCAGACACCGAGTGGCAAACGCATTCGGGGAACACAAAATTCAGATCGTGCACCACTCCAGTAACACTGGCAGGTGACGCACATCAACACCGATGTACCAGGTGGCACCGAGCCGTTAACCACACGTGCAGCGATGTAGTGCATATCAGAAAAAATTAGAACTAAACTATTTACTTGAACAATTTTTTTGTTATTTTACCCAGGTTAGGCCCACTGAGCTATACAGCTCTTTTTCAGAAGCGGCCTCGCCACAAATGATAGCTCAACAAAGTGGCTGATCACGTGGAAATTTATAGCAGCCAAATACTCTAAACGCGTGTTCATTCTAAATGTGGAGGGAAAAACTGATGGACGTGGAGAGAAATCCATGCGATCACGGGGAGAACGTGCAAACTCCAAATATACAGGTGCCGGGGTCAGGGATTGAACGAGCGACTTCCTGCATACCAGGCGAGGGAGTTAACATCTCTCCACCACGGCGCCACATCACGCTGGGTTGGCTAACCACGTGCACAAGAAGGGTTGTCAATAAATCAGTTCCAACTGCTGTCTCCTAATGTCTGTGATGGCCTACTGCAGCCATTCCTTGTTACCGTGACCCTGTGGTGCCTTCACAGTACACACGACTACTGCTTTATGTGTGCTGAGGTTGACATTTGCCACGTGTCTGTTGTCTCTGAACATGCAACATGCGCACCCACGCACACTCCGACACCCACACACGCACGCACGTACGTTTACGCACGTACGTACCCGTGCGTGCGTGCGCATCCCAATTCTTGCGCCCACCTTGCGCAAATCCACACGCGCTCGTTCGTGCAAACAAAAAAAAACACGCTCTCTTGCACGCACGTAAAAACAAAAAATCACGCACGCGCGGCCACTCGCTCACACGCAGACATTGACGAGTGTCTGGAGCAGAACGTACAGTGCGGACCCAACCGGATGTGCTTCAACATGCGCGGCAGCTACAAGTGCATCGACACGCCGTGCCCGCCCAACTACAAACGCGAGTCGCGCTCAGGGTACGTCGACGCGGCGCCGGGCCCGCGGCTCGGCCGTTCTGCCTCCGCCCGCACCCAAGCACGGCCTCCCGTGGCCTTCTCTCGAAAACCGCGAACCGGCGGCGTCCGCTCGGTGCGAGCGCTGCTGACCCCGCGGCGGTAGCCGTGGTCGTGTGAGGAGGAGTCTCGGGGCCCTCGCCCGATCTCGTCGCGGCTCGGAAGTGAAGCGGGGCTTGAGCCGGGATGGCGATTGGATGGGCGGCCGCCGCGCGTAAAACGTGCGCCGTAGGCCGCCGATACTGGGGCTGCGTTGTCAGCGGAGGGCTGTGAAGCAAATCACATTTGTTGTCGTGCGCCGCCTGCAGCCGCCAACCCGCCGCTCTCCAGCGTGGTGAAGTGCCCTCAGGCATTGGGAGGCTCCAGGCCGCCGACTCAAAGGGGATTGAAAGTGCGACGGTCCCTACAGGCGGCAGTGCCGTTTGCGGTGCACCCCTTTGCATACCTGTCAACCCCTAATGAATGCCCTACCTTGTTACGGACCAATTCTGACCTTATTGGTCACCCCGTGCCCCTTATAAATCTCAACGTTCATCCGACAAAGTCCCATCACAAACAAATAGACGAAGAAATGTTTGCCCGTTCTGAAACGGCTGTACGCCGAATGGACCTGAAAACTCAATTTCCCTGTACAAGAATACGGGGTGAACGTATGGGTCGACGGCTGTGCCTTTGCCCCGTCGCCATCTCTGCGCTCGCGATGGCCGTGACCGCGTACCGCCCCGCTTGCAGGTTCTGCCTCAAGAGCTGCCCCCCGAACGACGTGGAGTGCCTGCTGAGCCCGCTGGCGCTTGAGTACAAGCTGGTGGCGCTGCCCTTCGGCATCCCCTCCAACCAGGACCTCGTGCGTCTTGTCGCCTACACGCAGGTGAGTTCCGCTGCACCGTCTTGTCAGTTCCGTGCGTGCGCGTGTCTGTCTCTTGGGGTGTAAATATCCCCTCTGTGGAGACAAAGGTGGCCGGGCGTGGTGCTGGGCACCCACCCCCTCGTGTGCCGTGCCGGCCTCCATTGGCGCTCCCTAACAGCACTTGCCCCAACAGTCTGTGCAGGCTACACGGGGGATCTTTGTATTGTGTGTGTGTGTGTCTGTCTGTATGTGAGCCATCCTGTTTGGCCGTGCGCTTGTCTTATCTGTTTGTCAAGCGGTCTCGGTGCTAAATATATTAGCCAAATAATATTTCATTGTTTGTCCACATGTCCGTCAGTCTGTCTGTATATTTGTCAGTCTATTTTATCCGTGAGTCAGTCTGTCTATCTACCTGTTTTTGTGTATGTCCGATGGTACGAATATCTTTCGATCTGTCTGCTGTGTGCTTTCCTGTGCATTTTTGTGCGTATCTGCGTGTCTGTCCATATGCCTGTCATTCCCTCCATCCGTGCGTCCATCCCTCCTTCATCTTTTTCCCTCCGTCCGCTCGTCATGCTCTCCGTCCTTCCGCCCGTCCGTCTGTCCGTCCGTGTGCGCGCAGGACGACGTGATGCACCCCAGGACGCGCTTCTTTGTGGTCGACCCGGACCCCAGCGTTCCGTTTGCGATCCGCGACGAGGGCGGCAAGGGCGTGGTGTTCACGATCCGCGCGCTGCGCGAGGCACACACCTACAGCATGAAGGTGCGCGCCCTCTCCTACGCGGAGGACGGCTCCGTCGAGTACCAGACCACCTTCATCGTCTACATCTCCGTCTCCGCCTACCCCTACTAGGACCTGGCTTGTGCTCCGTGTCCCCACGCTCCCGAACGCCGTCACCGCCGCCACCACCACAACCGGGAGTTAGGACATCCTTTTGGCGACAAGGGCCGTCTTGCGGTCCGGCGTCACAAAGTGAAAAAACGATCGCAGGTTCTTTTGTGGCTTTATTTTTGTTTTTTAAACGGTATGATAGCCTAGGAGCATTTCCTTGAACGATGTGGATTATGCAGCGTTCAGCATGCATTGTCGAACATCCGGAGCAAAAAAAAAAATATTTACTGTAGAAATCTGTTACATAGCTTCATTTTGGCTGTAGCCTCGCTCAAAATGTTTCTTTGTGGACCGCAAACTGTGTTCGCCTTGTTGTACCAAAGAATCGTTATTAAGACACTAACCGCACAACGTGGGTTCACTGAATGTCCCAGCTGAAAAAAAGGCCCACTGCATTGCGAATAGTTAATCTACTCGCGTGGGAGGAGCAGTCGTTTAATAAATCGGCATCATCGCACTGCCATCGACAATCTGCCGGTGACACCGTGAAGCCATCGCTCGGTCTGGCCGGATGCCGCGAGCGACGTCACCAGGTTGGCAAAGTGGCGGGGGTAGGATGTGAGGTCAAAGGCAATTAGGTCACAAGGTGCAGCCCCACAATTGGTTTGCCCGTGCCACTGCTTGCGGAGAGGCCTCCACGAGAGGGAGCTCTGGAGGGGATATTTAGATGCCGAGTTACGTGGTGTACGTACGTTGAACTTCTTTCGCAACCGCACGTAGCCAGCCGTGCTAATCGGAAGTGCGGGAGAAGGACGACAAACTAAACACGAAAAAAGCGACGGTAAAGAAAGGAGTTTTCAATCTAAATTATTTTAAACTGCATAGGCTCCAGTGGTTTCGTAATATCGGAAGGAAGAGCGTTCCAGACGGCCGCAGAAGCACGTCTGAAAGCGCGCGACGCGGTGACCGTCTTTGTTCGACGGTGAGCCAAAAAAGCCGCCGCTGCTGCGGCGATGAGCGGATCGTAATGAAAACGATTCGGCATCTCGTGAGTTGGGGGCGGTTGTGGGGTGCAAGGGACTCGGGGGCTCCTCGGGTTGCAGTCGCCGCTGGGGAGGTGCCGTTTATTGCCAGAAGTAAAAACTCCTCCAGCCCGTGCCGATGTGTCTGGGAGGCTATTCACGGATCCTCCAATCTGCCGCGATACGCCGCAAAGCTTTCGGCGTGGTTAAAAACTCCTCTCCTCCGCGAATTTACAGTCACAATTGTTGTTTTTTTACAGTTAGAAGAGGAGTTGTTGGCCGCACGGCGATTTTTTTCGCGAATTTTTGTGGTTCTCGTTGATTGTGGTGGCGGGGGTCGGGGGTCGGCGGCCACCTCGAATTGTAGGATTCGCGGAAAAGAGGAGCGCTGAGTTTTACCGTCATCGATATTCGAAGTGCACTTGAAAAACGTCGGTGCCACGTTGAAACACGTACTTTTGAATGACAAAGTACAGTACGTGTTGTCACCACGCCACGTGCTGACGCTGCCGCGTTGGCAATGGATCACAAACACTGAACAAAGCCCAACACATTCGCCGATAACGCCGTGGCCTTCAAAGGAAAAGTATCTAGAGTACAGTCATAGGTGTATGTTTGTGCTAGATCATTGCCCAAAACGTCACCTATGAGGTATAATTTTCCTTTTAACGCCGCCACAGTGCGATTGACAAACGTGTTTGTGTTAAAAAAAAAATCTGTAAGTAAGTTAATTGGCCTTCCAGTTGGTTATCCATGGGGACTTTGCGAAGTCGAATGTTTTGCCCCCTCAAACCCCACACAGTCTGCCACGCGTGGGGCGCTGCCTCTGGTTCAGATATCGCCGTGGCTCGGAGCGCTCGATGCACCTCGTGAGAGAGGTGGCTCTCCTGCAGCCAGACCAGGGCCCCACTGTGGAATTTGGAAGTTTCCACCGCTGGTGGCCGCTTGCACGCCTCATTTGGGGAGACGGGTGTGAGAATGTTGAAATTGGTCTTCAGTTTGGCTTCACAACCACATCGTCCATCGGCTTGGGAGGGTGGCAATTACCAATGAGTAAAAACAAACGTCTGTGATACAACACAAAACTTTCGAGGGACTGAGAGGAGTCGCGTGACTAAAAACCCCTCAACGAATTTAATAATAATAATAACAACGCATTTTTGTTAATTCAATTATTTATCTGCTGGACGTACACACCACGGAATTTGGATTTCGTTTGACAACCGAGACACCTTCCCTGGTGGCATCGACTGCATTCCAAGGTCACACTTTGAGCGTTTTCAGCTGGGACTGGATGAGAGCCGTGCATAAGCTTAAATGAATGAAGAAAGTGAATAAGTGAATATGATGTTTTGTGTTTTGCCTTAAAATAATACATGATTTTTAAAAATCAGGTTTCTAAGGTGCTTTTGGGCCTTACCACTATTTGGTGGGGTGTGCTGACAATCAATGGTATTGGGCCATGGTGGCATCTCTTGACTAAAAGTGACCGACCTCCTGTGATGAGTAAACAACAAGAAAAATCCAATGTATTTACTTCATTGGCAAATTATGCTTCATCACACAACTTCAGCACCGAATCAGGGAATGACTGGGTTTAGTGGGGGAGGACAGCCTTCGAATATTTATCGGAACAATGAATGATACCAGCTGAGGAGATTAAACAGATGTCAACAATGTAACATTTGAATGGCCACACAGTGCACCAACGCACGCACAGGGCTGCCCAGTGGCGTAGGAGGAGAGACGGGGGGAGGGACGGGGGGGGGGCATTATGTTCTGAGCCTCATAGAAAAGAGGGCCTAGCAACAAGACCGCTGACCCGCCCATACTGGACGTCTGTGATAAAGAGCTTTATAGCTCATCGGATTCCTCCAGTCTAAATAAAGATGCTGATGATTCTCACTGGACAGTGGAATATGGGCCCCCCCTCCCCCCACGTGGCATTCTGCCCCGGGTCTCCATAAACCTCTGGGCGTCCCTGCGACAATCCCCAAATACTCTGCCATAAACTTGAACCATATTCGGTTGCGCTGCACAAAGTCCCCGCGTGCTAAGTGAAGGGTTCGTGTTGTGGAACGAGATTACATCGGCACTCGAACGCGTTCCTCCCTTCTTCATATCTCATAGTGTCCATCGAAGGGAGGAATGGGCAGCGTGGATGGTGCATTGGTAGGCAAGGCGAAACAGGCTCGTGTTTTGGGAGGTGTGTGTGTGCCTGTGTTAATACGATGTCCACACACAGCATGCAGTATTTTTTTAAACATATTTATTCGGAGGTGGCATCGGTATGTATCTGTGTTGACGTATGCGTGGAAATATAATATCGCAAACACAATGCATTCGATAAAAGCTTTTTTTTACGTTGATTTTAAACTAGTTGTTTTTGCGTGTTTACTTATTAAAACGTTTTAAGGCTTTAAGCACTTCACCAAGGTGAGAATTATCAAAATTGGATTATGGGTATATTATACAATATCTTGGCCAATTGACATCAGTGGTAGTACTAACTTACATTCACAACGGTTAGTTTCACCGTAAATTAAAGACTTAAATGACACCACGACCTTTGAACTAATTTACCGAGCTTCATATCTCATAGCGTCCATTGTTCAGGCGGTATTTACGCTACACAAATCTTGTTACTTTGGTTGCATCGAGACGAAGGCAAAAGTCTGGAAATACCACAGTAGCCCGGTAGTTAAAGAGGAAAGCATTGGGTTACTCTGCTTAATTGGGATAAGCCATGGTTTATTTTCTTTACGGGCGAAAATCCTATGGTACGTAATGTTATGACGGTCAATTTGAGTCCACTCTTACCCGAAACTATGACAATCATGATGGCTGTTTCTTTAGTGGCAGAGATAAACAATTGCAGAAAGGATGGCGATTGAAAAGTGTGTGTGTGTGTGTATAATGGTGCCAAATGCCAGATTATAGCCAGTGCTCAACACCTCACTTGGATTTGAAATATACACATCTGTGAAATGGTCAACCTCTATGAATTGTTGTAACCACCAGTTAGTTACTGTGACTCGGTGCAGGAATTAAAAATGATGTTGGTGCAGTTTGTTTGAAATTTATGAAATTGTTATAAAAAATATTGATTTCTCGCTGAATCACAATGAGCAATGATTTGTGTTTCAAACATCTGTGATTGTATTTCTGATTTATAGCTAAAACGCATTGTAGCCATTATCTAGTAATTACATCAACTTTGATGGAAATCAGGTGCTTACATTCTTATTTGGAAAAAGTATCAGCATTTTTTAGTTCGAGATCTCATTTTATAAATAAAATATAAACTTCTAAACTAATTATTTTAAATCATGTTGCACAGTGTGATTCTGTTGAACCACCAGGATATGTGAACTTGGTTTCCCTACAACACAGTTCATAAACTCCGTACTCCCAATTCACTGATGCCGTTAGATCTGATAACGTATAGATCCTGATTGTTTGCAAAATTGTGAATTTAAAAAATTGCCAAAGTGAAGCGACATATGGTATTAATCCCATTGCTGTCGTGTGTCAGACCCAGCGAGCGGTTTGCCAACCCGTGGGCCCATAGGGCCCACCTGGCGGTCCCCGAAGGTCCCGTGGGGGAAAGCGGTTCGCGGAACTGTGTCGCAGAAACTACACCGTTGATTGTGAATTTCGTTTTCTTTTTGAAAGACTCCGTTGGCGGCGCACGGTCGGGTGGCCCACGGGACGTGACGGGTGGTGGTGGCCCCCGCAAATCCGGAGGGAGGTTTACGAAATCGCTGTTGTTTAGATATACTGCAAATGTGTTATTGACCCTTTTTTTGCTTTGCAATTTCAAGATTTAAGTACAGAGATGTATTCTATTTTTATGATATGTAAATACGAATTTGTACCAGTGTATTTTCTACATGTTTACATTACACGTATATTCTGTAATGTTACCGCTATGCAATTCCGTACAGCCTCGGTAACGTTTTATAAAATAAAGTTATGCAAAATATGAAGAAAAAAATTAAAGCCAAAAAAAGTACAAAAATAAAATGTGCTTCCTTTTGTTTTTACTGCGGTTAAAGTGATGTTATTGAAATGCATTTAAGTTATTTTAGTTGCGTTTATTTGTAATTTAATAAGCAAAGGCATAGCCATCCGATCTCTCCCACCTGGCGATGCAGTGGTTGGAGCGCCAATCATTCCGCCCCTACTGGACACGTGTGAAAAGAGCTTCACAGCTCATCGGATTGCTCCTCCAGTCTAAATAAAGATTATGATTCAACTCAAACTTTGTGAGGGTGCAAGTCCTAATCGGGCGGTCACCTCAGCTAGTCAACCGTTCTGGGCTTGATTCACCCGAATTCCCCTTCGCGGGAAGTCAACAAATTCCTGTTAATGAGCACTCAACAGAAAAAACGATAGTGGCACGGTGAATCGGGCGCGACACCAGCAACGACAGTGCAAAGCATCTCGGCACGCCGAGCGGACAGCGATGGTGAACCCGGACTTTCGCGGGCATCGTGTTGGGGAGGGGGGGGGGCTGTCACCTCCTCCAGAAGGTGGGGAGTTCGTTGCGACTGCGGCCAAGTGCAATCCATCGCCCTGTGCATATTTCTTCGGGTAATACGCCCAGAGCATTAACCAGGGTGGCGGCCACATGCCTGGCTCGAACCGCAAACCCCGGCAAAAAGATGTCATGCCATGGCTCGGCTCAGCCCTGGCACGTGGCATGCCCAAGGCTCGTGTGAGAACGGGGTGACTCACAAACGGCTCCAAGGCAATGCATGGGTTTCCACTTCCCTTGATTTCACGCGATAATAATATTATTCATTTATCCAGGAAAGCCTTTACTGAATCTCTGGATGCTTTCGAAGGCGGGTTCTACAAGGATCATTCGGATGTTTGGCCAATACATTTATAATGAAACTATTTATTGATGCTGCGCTGGCAGTGGTGCACGGGCACAACAGCAACAAAAAACTCACCGCGTGCGTCAATAACACTGTGGCCTTAAAAGGAAATCTACATCATCGATGACGTTTACCCTGGCGCTTCTTCATGTGAACCGTGGGGTGACCCGTGGGTAACCCATGATAAACCTCATCCGAAATGCACCTAAACAACGACAAGCTTTAACGCCTTCGCTTCGCGGGTATCCCCACAAGGTAACCCACGGGGTAGCCCACGGGGTAGCCCACGTGGGTTACCCACGTGGGTAACCCACGGGGTAGCCCACGTGGGTTACCCACGGGATGCCCACGGGTACCCTATCCTCTGCAGGATTTGAGGTTCGGGCACTATCAAGATCCGGGATTCAAATCTCAGTTTCAGTCACCCACAGCTAAAGCGGGTTGTATGTATGTACAGTACATAGAACTTCTTTCGCACCGTACATAGCCCAACCGCCGCTAATAGGAGGCGCCGACACAGCGTCGTTGCTGAATCTCCGCAGCGCGCCCCGCGGAAGAAGACGATTGCCATCGACAGACACGACTACTTAGATACAACGTGAAGCAACGTTGCTCTTTCTTGCTTCAAGAGAAGGGGGCCGTCAATGTCAACGCAGTTCAAATGTGGCGCCAACACGTTTCGACCGTTTTCCGCCGGTAAAGCTTTGTTGATTCGCGAAACCCCACCCCCTTCGTGAGCGAGCGAACCCAACAGGCTGCTGCCACCTCGTGGCAAAACGAGGGAGGTTGTCAAACCGGACGATGTGTGGCGCGGTGATGCCGGCAGGAGCGCTGTAGCAAGGTCAAATCAATCGCGAGAGAATGAATGATAAATTATGTTAATATTTTAGGCCCATATATATGAAGTAACCGGGGGCGACTTTGCCCGACGTTTTTAACGCTCAAATGCTCGATTAAACGGGGATAGACCGATTTTTTTTGCGATACAAGCTCGATCCATGCGCTCGAGCATGGATTAAGCATGGCTATGATATTTTTAATACGTGTGTCTATGTGTTTGAGCATGGATCGAGCACGGATCGAGCTGTGATATTTTGAATGCACATTTTTAAATCGTTAAAGTGATTCCTGTCACGTGATTTCTGGATCTAAAGAGACGATTCGCGGATCGAAAAAGCCCCACATTAGGCCGCCCCTTGACGCTGATTGGTTTCCATCTGCATTAACATAATTTATCATTCATTCCTTCGCCGATTCATTTCGTCCTGTGACAGCGCACCGGCTGAGGGATGGATACCGTGCAGGAGGGGCATTGTCTTTTAATGTGCACGGGGAACGTCAGCAGAAACAAAACACATCGAGACACAAGTGCGAGACAATTGTCTTACGGACGAAAAGGTACAACGATGACCGAATCCCTTACCAACAACTACGTCGACTAGAAGGGAGGACAAGTGATCTCTCTCTCTGTAGGGGTCTTAGGAAACACAGTTGTGGGTTTTTTTTAGAAGATTGGGGGGGGGAAGTGGTGGGGCATGGGGGGGGGCAGGAACCAGTGCTCTTGATTGGAGGGGGGGGGCAAACCACAAATGTTGAGAACCTCTTTCCTAATGAGTGAAATGAGGGTGGGGGAAAAATTGGTTATTTATTTCCGGACGTGTTTATTGCGAGTCAGTGGATTGTATTTAAACCCCGGTCGTCATCCTCACAGCGGGGGCTTTCGGCTGCTCGCCATCGAACAAAGACGGCGGTCACCGCGTCGCGCGGCGCTTTCAGATGCGCCTCTGGGGCCGTCTGGAACGCTCTTTCCTTCCAATGTTAGGAAGCCACTGGAGCCTGTGCACTTTAAAATCTCGATTGAAAACTCACTTCTTTAGAACTCCGCTTTGCGTTTTGTTTGTTGTCCTTCCCCCCGCATCTCCGATTAGCATGGTTGGCTACATCCGGTGCGAATTAAGTTCAACATACATACATTGCAGTGATAGCAGCCACTCCCTTCTCCCACCCAAGCTTCCACAGAGGTCACTATAAGGCCGCTCCATCTGCCTTGTTGGTCTGTCCCATCTGGCCATCGCATCTGATTGGCTCACGTTATCTCTCTATTTAAGAACAACAGGGGAGGATTTCTCCACAACTCTGACTGTTGCCTGATGATGCTTGCTGTAATTACAGGCGAAACGCGGTACTCGGATCGTCAACGTGGTTTTACTCTCCAATACACCGGTGTGCTGGACTACTAACGAATTGGCACGTTTTTGTTGACATGACAAACCTTACTTAATTGGCCTTTCGGGTGGTGGCGGGTTTACCGACACATTTACGCAATCTAACCCAACAACATCTTTATTATGGTCTGTTTTGTTATTAACTCGGGAGAATGTGGACTCGTTTTTCACGGACACGACATCCAAGTTTCAGTGACAGGAACCAGCAACACTTTCGCCCCCGTCGTGGATAATTAACAACACGGGGCGTATCTGGAGCCAGCCCGGGCTTGCCCTCAAAAGAAGCTAACACCTACCTACTGTCATGTGGTGTGACAGTATGAGCACATCTACGGAGTGCTTAATTTGCGAGTGCAGTTACAAAGAGGATAAAATAATATGACCAGCAGGAGGTGACCGGGTGACTCAGGGGTAAACCTCGCTGAGCCCAGCACCGATGAGAGCCTGGGTTTGAATCCGGGTTTCAGCTGCACGCGGTTAAAACTGCGTTTCCCCCAAGGATAACAAGGAGACGAATCTCAACCCGGTCACCAATGTCTTCACAACAGTGCAATTGTTAAATATGGTTTTTCATACTCTTTGGTTCTTTCGGTAAAGTCACGTAGGTATGAAATAAAATAAATCACGGCGTTTCGGGCGCACACACAAGTGTCCGTCATCACGTGGGAAAGCATGGTCTGCTGCTGAGGCAGACTGGGTGGTTTTTCACTTATTCCAGCTCTGGAAAATTATAGTTGTGTTTTTTTTTAAACGTGACAATTGGTGCACAGAATTACACGCTGTGCCCATTATTGTGGATAAAGGTGTCTATGTGAAAGTGACAATTCAAAAGTTATTCTGTGATTGGGTGCTAGAGAGCCATTCTCTAACGCAGGGAGGTGCACTCAAAGCTGCATTTCCAAGTAGAGATGACGTCACCGCATGACGTCGATTCACTGGTGGCCAGGCTGAGATGTTCTACTTGCTATACATGACAACGTGGTTTGGTTACGGATGGCTGGCCAGATTCAGGCCCAGGATCTCAGCAGCGATGGGGCTCAGTCCTCTTGAGCCCTGAGCTATCTGGCCACCTCCTGCCAAATGCACATCACAAAGGAAAACAATCAAATTTGGTTGTTGTTGTACACTTACTGAACATAACAGCTGCAGAAAAATGAGAATAAATGAAACCAAAAGATTACATTTAAACCCGATGTGCAGTTTTCAATTAAAGAACGTGTTGACGCAGAACTCTACCACAGAAACTGTGAACAACTGATTGTATTATCCAAAGAATTACGGTCGTAATAATCTCTTGCATGTATTGGGCGCTTAAAAGCCTCAGAAATTCAAAGCGCCGTACACATCGAATCTCACATCACATTCGCAAGGTATCCCCACCCAGAAGGGGCAGCTGTGATGTCCCTGTGCAGCACAAGACGACTCAACAACGGTCTGCAAGTGGGCATTAGTCTCTCAGTAGGGAGGGGGGGGGGCGATTGCTATGTGCGATCTCAATTAGCAATCATTGCCCAAAGATTAGCAATCATCAAGTGTCGTAACCTCAATTAGGTTCTTTGCAGGTCACATGATGCCAGCGCACAATGGCCTGCTTGTTTAGAATGACGAATCTTCAAACGCCCACTTTGAAGCAGGCCGCGTAGCACTGCAGTAATAACCAGGGCGGCCTGCCGGATTCGAACCGCGAATCTCTGCATCAAACGGGGCTCCTGCTGGGCCACGTCACAGCCCAGTTTGTGCCTAACGAGGTGAGGAGCGGTGGTGTAGCGGTTTTAGCGCGCTGCGCTACAGACCCGCGGAGCAGAGTTTGATACCCGCTCACGATCAATAAGTGGCAAATGTTTGAACCAGTCCTGGGCCTTCCCTAGTTGAACTCGGCCTCAAATGAATACCTGGGGTGAGTGGTGTGTAAACATCGGCACTAGGGAGACAAAGGCGGCCGGGCGTGGTACTGGCCACCCACCACCGCTAACAGCACTTGCGCCAAACCGCCTGTTAAGGCTATATGTGGGGGGGGGGGGAGTTTGTCTTTGAGGAGCCCACAGAGACAACGCAAATCTGTTGTGAGGAAGAACTGGTGCGTGCTGGGGGGAAAATAGAGTTGCGAGAATACAGGACGCAAACTTGGTTTTACCAGCAAGTTTTTAAAAGTGCAAATGTACAAAAGATTTCCGTTGCGAATTCCAACAAGCTTTAACATTTTACACACAGCCAGGATATCAAAACGCACTCTTATTTCGCCGACTATATATGAAAAGTATAACACGATGAACTATTTCACACAAATGAAGGCCGACAATCGTATAAATTCAACATAAATACAAGCGTAATGTTACGCTTTATCCTAATTCCAGATTTATGCCTTCTACTATTAACCTAAAATGTTTGCAAACCACCTTATCACGAGAGAACAAAAAAAAAGCAACTTCATAAAAACCGCTTCGAAAAACAAACGTTACAATTAGAATCAAACGTCCCTTGCGATGGACGGTGCTCCGGCTACTTCGGCAGCGGAAATTCCCCATTCCCATGGCGGGAGCCGGTCTCCTCATACCACAAGCACTTCTGATGCCCCAAAAATGTATTTCCCATTTTTTTTTACCTCGGACGGATGACGGAATAAGTCAACCCCCCCCCCCTTCCCGAGGAGGATTTGAACTTGTCACCTTCGGCATGTGAGCGGAGGGAGTGCTCTATCAGGATTCGCTGGTATTGTTCCCCTGTGCCGAATGTGTGTGCGGGCTGGTGCTGTACGAGTAGGGTAATGGGAACTGAAAACATTCCTCCCGCTAAGCCTACACCGCGCCCGCCGGGTGCATTGCGCCAGATTGGGTTGCTCATTCCCCCCACCCCGCGTGCGCAGTGAAAGCATCTTGCAAACAAAGCACTTCAACAACGATGCCGCTCGACAAAGGCTTCGCTGCGTGACTGCGTGCGCGCGCGTGTGAACCGGCCGCTCATGAATGGACGATGAAAGGGGAACTTGTGAAACTCAATTTCGCGGCTCGTTTTTGTTTTTTGTAGAAACGAACGAAACATCGCCTGTAAAATAGTATTTGTACAACGAGAATTTTAGAGGCATGCCTGTTGACACGCCTGCCCCGTCCGTTTCGCAATATTGCAATCCGCTGTTGGGTCTTGCGTAATTTTCTCTGAGGTGTGCAACCGACGCAATGAGCGGTCTGAGATGCTGGGATTTAATGGTTTTTTTCGCGCTTGTGAATAAGGTGCCACAATGCCTTGGGAGGGCCTCGGGTCCTCTAAATGTAGTACGAATTGAGAACATTTTCATGAATCAACATGTGAAAGAGATGTTCCACGGGATAAGATATTCAATAGCTTCTTGTGTTTGCCGTTTGCATATCACAATCCCTTGGTAGGCTTTGTGACTTTTACACGTGGTGATGATCGACGGCCTTCACAAGCAGAGGTGCTATGACATTTCTTCATGAGTGTTTTTGGGGAAAACCCCACAATCCTTTCGGTGGAACCCTTTAGCTTGTGCTAAACGCAATAATTGACATAAGTCACAAAGCCAAGCTGCCAAAGGAAAATCCGGAAAGACGACAAACAGAGCGGGAGACTTCCAACGTCGTTCCGATTCGTCCTCGGACCCGGCGCGCCCTGGGGCCAGCCCTCAGCCGCCGTTCCGCCTCACGGAGCCAACGTCAGGAACTTGGTGCTGCTGGACGTGGAGGCGAGCGTCTGGGTGTCGTTGGCGGAGGCCGCGACGCACGTCACCTGGGAGCAGGTGACGGCCACCACGATGACGGCGATGACGGCCAGCACGCACGCGACGACGCACACGATGTCCGAGCGGTAGCCGCGGGCGCTCTCGCAGCAGCCGCCGCGGTTCTCCTCCTGGCGCAGCCGCTGGCGCTCGTCGTCGGCGTCGGCGGCGTGGGGGTCCTGCGGCCCCCCCCGGGGTCTCCGTCTTGCGGCCGTCGCCGCCAGCGGTCGCCATCACTGTGAGGGGGGTAGAGCACGTCGGAATGATAAGAGGGCGCCGTGGTGGCGAGATGTTAACTACCTCGCCTAGTATGCAGGAGGTCGCGGGTTCCATCCCGACCCTGACGCCTGTTGTACAGTGAGTGAAAAAAGTATTTGATCCCCTGCTGATTTTGTACGTTTGCCCACTGACAAAGAAATGATCAGTCTATCATTTTAATGGTAGGTTTATTTGAACAGTGAGACAGAATAACAACAACAAAATCCAGAAAAACGCATGTCAAAAATGTTATAAATTGATTTGCATTTTAATGAGGGAAATAAGTATTTGACCCCCTCTCAATCAGAAAGATTTCTGGCTCCCAGGTGTCTTTTATACAGGTAACGAGCTGAGATTAAGAGCACACTCTTAAAGGGAGTGCTCCTAATCTCAGCTTGTTACCTGTATAAAAGACACCTGTCCACAGAAGCAATTAATCAGATTCCAAACTCTCCACCATGGCCAAGACCAAAGAGCTCTCCAAGGATGTCAGGGACAAGATTGTAGACCTACACAAGGCTGGAATGGGCTACAAGACCATTGCCAAGCAGCTTGGTGATAAGGTGACAACAGTTGGTGCGATTATTCGCAAATGGAAGAAACACAAAAGAACTGTCAGTCTCCCTCAGCCTGGGGCTCCATGCAAGATCTCACCTCGTGGAGTTGCAATGATCATGAGAACGGTGAGGAATCAGCCCAGAACTACACGGGAGGATCTTGTCAATGATCTCAAGGCAGCTGGGACCATAGTCACCAAGAAAACAATTGGTAACACACTACGCCGTGAAGGACTGAAATCCTGCAGAACCCGCAAGGTCTCCCTGCTCAAGAAAGCACATATACATGCCCGTCTGAAGTTTGCCAATGAACATCTGAATGATTCAACTGGGTGAAAGTGTTGTGGTCAGATTAGACCAAAATGGAGCTCTTTGGCATCAACTCAACTCGCCGTGTTTGGAGGTGGAGGAATGCTGCCTATGACCCCAAGAACACCATCCCCACCGTCAAACATGGAGGTGAAAACATTATGATTTGGGGGTGTTTTTCTGCTAAGGACAACTTCACCGCATCAAAGGGACGATGGACGGGGCCATGTACCGTCAAATCTTGGGTGAGAACCTCCTTCCCTCAGCTCGGGCATTGAAAATGGGTCCTGGATGGGTATTCCAGCATGACAATGACCCAAAACACACGGCAAAGGCAACAAAGGAGTGGCTCAAGAAGAAGCACATTAAGGTCCTGTAGTGGCCTAGCCAATCTCCAGACCTTAACCCCATAGAAAATTTGTGGAGGGAGCTGAAGATTCGAGTTGCCAAACGTCAGCCTCGAAACCTTAATGACTTGGAGAAGATCTGCAAAGAGGAGTGGGACAAAATCCCTCCTGAGATGTGTGCAAACCTGGTGGCCAACTACAAGAAACGTCTGACCTCTGTGATTGCCAACAAGGGTTTTGCCACCAAGTACTAAGTCATGTTTTGCAGAGGGGTCAAATACTTATTTCCCTCATTAAAATGCAAATCAATTTTTGACATGCGTTTTTTCTGGATTTTTTTTGTTGTTATTCTGTCTCTCACTGTTCAAATAAACCTACCATTAAAATTATAGACTGATCATTTGTTTGTCAGTGGCCAAACGTACAAAATCAGCAGGGGATCAAATACTTTTTTCCCTCACTCTATATTTGGAGTTTACGTGTCTCTTTATCTCCCTGTGGTCGCATGGATTTTTCTCCGGGTCCTCCGGTTTTTCCCTCCACATTTAGAATCAACGTCACCACGCGTTTATAGTATTTGACTGCTGCTATAAATGTTCACGAGATAAGCCACTTCGTCCAGCTACCATTTGTGGCCAAGTTCCTTCTGAAAAAAAACTATACAGCTCAGTGCGCCTTACCTGGTAAACAAAAAAAAATTAGAATAAGTTTTTTAAAGGGCACGTTATTATTAAGTGTTACATTTTTACATATTTTTTTAATCCAGGGCAAAACATTTTAAGGACAACAAGGATGCTTTCTTAAGAAGCCTCTTAAGAAGCATTTAGGGCCAATTAATTTTCAAAACACATGCATGGACAGAACAAACTCCTTGCACGCGATGGCAGCAATGTGTTCATGAGCTAAATATCAATGTGTTCATGAGCGAAATGTCAATGTGTTCATGAGCTAAATGTTAATGCGTTCATGAGCTAAATATCAATGTGTTCATGAGCTACAACTTCATAAACTTTATAATAGGTAAAAATATTAATGCTCATTATTCGTACATTTATTTCTCAGATACAGTCGGGGAAGGCTAGGGGGGAGGTACAACAACGGAGCCACGGTAGCCACAAAAAAACGTTGAGAACCACTAAATCAGGCTACAAAAATGAAAGATCCGCAAAGACGTGGGGGGCCACAAACCCACTTGCTGCGCTGCCACAACGGAGGCCAGCAGCTTGCGGCGTTCCACAAGTCCACAAACCCGAACGCGACTCCTCCGACCCGTGCCTCTCCGAGCGTCAGGAACCCTGTGCGGGGCTCGTGGGGCCAGCCCCGACCTGCGAGATCCGCGGCCGAGGCAAATGCAGCCGTCAGGCTGAAGCCCCGTCGGCCGACCGGTGCGCGACGCGAGCCGGCGTTGCGTGCCAGCACGCGATAGAGCGCGGGGCGGACAAATACCGCCAACTGATTGAGCCGTGTTGACGGAATCGGTCATAAACCCACTGTATTTTGCAGCACGGCAGTTTTGTGTTATGTCGGGATCAATGAAGTCGCCGATCAATGCCTTATTTTTTTGTGTTCTCATAGCGAGATAGGGAAAGCTATTTTGCAATGCGGGTGGCAGCGAGCAATACAACGGGCAGTAGCAGAGCAACGGTCACGGATAATACAAATAGGGGCTGCAGTGATTGTAATTGATAAGGGCGGTGTGGGAGGCAAAGGTAAGTGATTGCATAGAAACAGAAGGGGGCAGTTTTGACGGGTAGCAACGCTGTCATAAATTGTCAAAAGACAAAGTTTATCCGTTATCAATTCCCCATTCGTTGGTGTGCAGCCTGGCTCAGTGTTCCACTGCTACAGAGAGAGAAAGGGCGCCACGGTGGCGAGATGTTAACTACCTCGCCCGGTATGCAGGAGGGCACGGGTTCGACCTGACGATGCCTGTGCATGTGGAGTTTGCATGTTCTTGCAGTGGTCGCGTGGATTTTTCTCCGGCGGGTCCTCCGGTTTTTTTTCCCTTCCACATTTAGAAAAAACGCGTTTAGAGTATTTGGCTGCTCTCCATGTCCACATGATCGGCCACTTTGTTGAGTCATCATTCGTGGTTAGGTTGCTTCTGAAAAAAGAGCTGTAGAGCTCAGTGGGCCTTACCTGGTAAAATAAAAAAAATAGTTTATGAAATTGTCGTTTTGTCATCTTTCTTCGACAATTTGTGCTAAGTTGTTTTGCACACTACCATGGATTGACTGTTATACATTACGCCATGTTTTGTTCATTTCTAATTGTATGTTGCCGTCCCTGTTTTTAAAGTTCAACATCTTCCCGTAAAACGTCATGCAAGAGACTGGAGAGAACTTTCGCTCCAAGTATATCCATAGGAGGTAGAATCATCGCCGACCGGCGCCTTGTCAATAACGTTGACCCGATAGCCAGGAATGAACAAGAGTTGTGCATTTTAACAAGAACAACACTTGAAGACGGAGCGGGCAGACGAAATGGAGATTAGTACTGACAAGAGAAAATTCTAATCAAGGGAAGCACATTCAGAAAGACAAATGTATCAATGAAGCCAAAAGATGAGAACACCTTTAAATGCCTCGGCTCCACCATCACCTCTGACGGAAACATCCACCACTGAAATAAAGACAAGGAGAGCACTGGGAAGAGCAGCCATGACCAAACTGACAGTAATATGGAGAAGCAAATTAGCATTTGCCACCAAAATCAGACCGCTGCGTATGTGTGTTGAACTTATTTCGCACCGTACGTAGCCAACCGTGATAATCGGGGGTGCGGGTGAAGGACACTGACTAAACACAAATCAGTTCTGAGAAAAAAGAATGAGTTTTTCAACCTGGTCCAAATGTCTTGTGACCCCACCCTACCCCCCCCCCAATTAACTTCACTTCTGTTTTCACAACCCCATTGGTATGCAACAATATGAAATTTGAAATAATTAAAAGGGGGAATGGGGGGGGGGTCATTAAACAGCGTCCGCGTCTTGGAGATTGGTGTAGGGTAGTGCTCCTGAAACTTCTTAGGCCCCCCACAGCCCTTGGTGACCAACCCCATTCACTGTCGTGACTCGCCGGCCCGCCCGTACTGGAGAGCTGTGAGAAAGAGCTTCGCAGCTCATCGGATTCATCCTGCAGTCTAAATAAAGATTCCGATCTGGGACCACCCTGTACAACAGAGCTCTGGGGCGTTTCCGTGGACAGGTACAGCCGTGAAACGTGGACTCCGACGGGCTAAGCGGAGAAACGTGTGCCGAGCATTTGAAATTAAATGTTGTCGCGAGATCCTAAGGATTCCCTTGCAATCTGGGAAAATAAATCAAATGTACAACAGACCATGAACTCTATACCTGACAAAAATGAAGGGCACCTTCACACCGCCAATAAGATGAAACTCCACTGGTTTGTCCTCGCCGCATGGAGGAGGAGCAGCAAGTCGAGTCTATCTTATTTTTGCTTCCAAACGTGGCGCCTTTCTCGCACAAATCTGCCCCCTCAAAGCGCCGTCATCACATTATAAATGCACTTGTTTATGTTGAACTTGTTTCACACTGTACGCCGCCAACCGTGATAATCACAGGTGCCCCCGGGGGAAGGACAACAAACTAAACACACACAAATTAATAGCATAACTACAATAATAGTAGCCTGTGGAAACAGCACCTCCCCTCCGGGGAAGAGGTCGAAGGAGAAGTAGAGGAACCCAAATTAAAATCTGATTCGGAAGACGTCCAAGCAGTGGACAGGAGCAGCGCTCTTCAAT